AACGCTCCAAAAAACAAATGAAGTAGCATGATACCAGTTTTTGTTTAGCATTTTGTATACTTTTTTTACCATTTTTGTTCATTTAGTTAGTTGAATTGACAAATAGATAGATCTTTAATGTCGATATTTGTGCTATCGGTCGAATCAAGGATCGTAGAGGCCTTCTTGTGCAATCGTTTCGGTGATTTTCTTGCTACGAGGTATAAACTTAGCCAAACAAAATCAATTCTTCTTCTCACATAGCCTTTGAGAAAACCTAACAAGGCAATTTTGGTTCATATGCATTAAAGTAAAGCAGAAATTAAGCTCAGCAGAACAAATAGCAAGGTTGTCTCAAACCTCGCGATCTTGTGAGATTTTTTATCTTCACCTTGTAGAGATTTTTGACGTTTGTAATTGCAAAAAGGTAAGAGGGTCTTATGTCACTATTAACAAAACCATCTACGCAGGGGCGGATGCAGAAAGAAATCTGACATTCGCAAAGTTTCGACCACGCCTATATGACCACGCCCAAAAAAAATCTGTCACATTTTACTATAGTCTCAGAATCGAAGTTTTCCACTTAAAGATGTATTTTTTCTTATATTAAGTTTTAGGATTAGGAAACAGAAAATGTTGAGGCTCAAAGGTTGAGAAATTTAAGGATAAATATTAAGAATAACAGCCAGGTCTGGATTTCATTGACAATTTGGCATTTTACTTATTGAGTGAACAAGAAAAGAGATCTCTGGAAAAATTTTGAGAAACACTCATCAAGTTTTTGTTGTGTTGGCATGTTTTGTTTCCTACATGGCTTTTGTATGGAAAAACAGCAGCAAAGATTTGAAATGTCCTCTTAATAATGATTTAATGGCAAGTCTAGGCACAGAACCACAAATTGTCAAGAACAAAGAGGATGAGCTAAAATAAGGGTATATTAGATGTGTGTATCACCCCTTCTCAGGGAGAAAAACTCATGAAAAACATTTTATGTCACTCACTTAAAAAACAGCCATTTAAAGAAAGGAATCTTAGTTCTATTTATACCATGATATTATTTAACAATCAAATACTGTGTTTAGTGTAGAAATTTTCAATGCAATATCCACCCAAATGTTTGACTTCAACACCAAGTACCTTAGGGGCTCAGAGCTTTTCTGTTATTTATTTTGTGCATTCACCTTTCTATCTAAACTGCTGTGTGATGTGCCTTAAATATGGCCAAAAATACCAGTTAGGTCAATACACATCATACAATTTTAGTATTTTCAGGTGTTGGTAAAACAGCAAATGTAACAGAATTTAAAACAATTCATTGTCTTTCCATAACAAGAACATCATAAATATATATTATATAAAAATTTTAAATGTACATCAAACAAAGTCAGTAATGGCAAAGAAATAAGGCAAACATGGTAACTTTTACTATATGGATTTATATGAGATATTTACTTGGCAGAACCAACTTGCTGTGAATTTCTTATTAATAATGTAGTAATTCCCCCATTAGGATCATTCCATTGATTGCACTTATTTACTACCCATATTTACATTTATTTACACACACAATTACATAGAAAAGAAAACTGTCAGTCACTTGCAAATTCATAAACAAAAATTAATGAATCTTAAGGGTATTTCAGAACCAAAAGTTTCAAATGGTATACTCTTATAGTGTGGAAACCACAAATAATTTTACTAGTTTTAGAGGTTAAACTCGTGAAAAGGGTTACCATATTTATGGCATGACCAGACAAATAAAATCAAAATACTATTACAATTTCTCATTTACAAATATGGCAGTCTAGATTTTTCCAAAACCGACAGCATAAAATTAACAAGAAAAGAATACGCCGTAGAAAATGCAATATCTTATTCAAAAACAAATCCCCAGCACAGTCAAACTATTTACAGGTTTGTGATAATAACAACATCTATCAATAAAAAATATCTAGAACTCTAAAATTCAGCATATTCAAATTCATCAAGATATTTATAGAACAGCATCATTCGTCAGAATGCTACATCATCATTATCAAGATATACCTGACTTGAACCCTAAAAGTTCTGATTGAAAGCCTGCATAAAAATGGCTATTTACCTTAAAATGCAACACGTATTTTTCAAAATATTATTTGAGTCTGAATCTCTGTCTAAATAACGTCCTCCATCATGAAAATGAAAACATAGGCAAAATTTTGGTTCAACAATTTTAGGTCCAACTGAACTGTCCTCGCATATTGCCATCTATCAAATTCCATCCATCAACCAAAATCTTCGACAAACTTTGAACATCTTCATAAGAAATTCGCTGATTCAAATTAAAAATCATCTTATATTTGACTCCTTTCACTCCCTCTGAAGTACAATTGCTCCTCTTCTGCAAGCAAATATCTCCACAGCTTTCCAACAACAATCATGGCGGTTGATGTGGAAGCGAGGTTTCAATCTGCTCTCTTTCCAAGGTTCTCTCCCTCAACTGGCTACCGAACATAGTTCGCATCTACCTTCGCCACATTCGCAAAAAAATTTCCCATATACATTTCCTATTGGTTTTCAGATGGCTAAATAACATAGCTTGACTGACATTCGCACAAATTTTTGGCATACATTTTTCAGTACTACTTCATTTGCGCACGCATGCCTAATATATTATAATTCCATTCGACATTCGCATCAAACCTTATTGGTGCTCTGTGAATTTATGCGTAAAAGGGGGAGCCCTCTTTCGAATATATCATCTCTAAATCACGAAAACGAGGGAATAAAACCTAAAAAGTAAACAACAAGGTGACATCATAGCAACTAGGGCAAGAAACAAAACTTTTATTTCTTGTATTCTGTGGACCTTTTTTTTATTATCTGGCCATTTCTAGTACAATATTCACAATGCTAAAATGTATTAACAGACAATTACAAAAAGACATGTGGAAATCTGACATTCGCCAGTGCGAATGTTGCAGAATGTCTTGAATCCGCCCCTGCATTCTACGCGATAAAATCATTAGCGTTCCTCTGCTAGAGGAGCGTTATCGAATGTGGCGTCTATCGTTTAACCTTAAAATAAGACGCCACTTTACATGTGGGCGCGAAAGGGTGAACTTATTTAAAAAGTGTACGTTTTACCCAATGTAGACGAACTACCCGTTTGGACGGGGTCTTAATTGCATATAGCATATTAAGGATGCTAGATCAAATCTGTCCCTAGTAAAAGCGGCAGCGAGGCAATCAGTGGCAACTTAACAACACAAACAAACAGATCTAATATTAGTCGTTGTCCAACGCTCTCTGTAGTAGTCCTATCCTTTTTAATGGATAACGCTAGCTTGTTTCTCCACGGCCAATGACCAAATCTGCACAAGCCCCGAAGAAGATATGGTTAAAGCAACAACCAAGGTTGCAAATCTATCAAAATTTCAGCCACTGTTAAGGAGAGCGACAGCAAATTTGACGAGAAAATAAATCCAAAGAAAGTAAATTTTCTGAATGTACCATCAAACTTTCGGGATTGCGGCAAGGTTATAGATGAATTTTCGTCGAAAACCAACGTTTTAGAACTTTTAGAATTGAAAGCTGCAAACCCTTAATGTCCTAAAAGGCTGCAGATTTTATGGGTAGCGAAGAAGAAATTCTTTTATCAGAGCTCTTGTCTATTCCAATTCAATAACAGTCTTTTTGTATAAAATTTCTCAGCAAATCACTTCACAAGAATGAAAAGAATAAAAACCAAGATTTGAACTTACTTGCCTCATGAGCCAAAGCCGCTTGGCAATCTAAATGACTTAAAATCATTTCAAAACATTATAATCTTCATAGAACGTTGATCCTATTTAATCAATATTGCTAAAATCAATTTTAACCAGTGATGGTTTGAAAGAGGCAGATATGCAGCTTTTGTAATATCTCTCAATGTGTTAATATTTCTTGAAAATTAGTGTATTCTCTAGTGAGCCTGAAGCTTTTACAATCTCTTGCTATCTTCTATTCCCCTCGACGTTTTTGAAGTCCTCTTCATTTTAGATATTATTATTGATGTCGTTTAAAGGTAGCAAATATTGGAATAAACCTTATCGAATCTCCTGTGTTCTGCGTTTTTCAAATCTTAAACAGCCGCGTTCATGAAGCATTGCGAATGGCGGGAAGGCTATTTGATGCAGAGGCCCACTTTCATGAGAGAAGAACACGAAAAGAGGATAATTATTTTCGAAGTTTCGTATGCTGATAAGACTTCCAGAGGTATGACTCAGGGGCGGCTAACGCGGGGGGGGTGTGGGGTATAAACACCCCCTCGATACTTCAAACAATTCGTTACAGTAAATCTTCAGTTTGGTCTAAAAAAAATCCTCGTTTGTCGGTAAAATATTCTACCAGAAGGCAAATAGCACCTAAATTCTTCTCCGTCTATTGCTTTTGTCGGTAAATTCTTGCTTTTGATGACCATCCGCCCCCTATTCAGGAAGTTCAAGCGACGCCACTGTATTAAGCTCTTGGTAACGGCTGGAATACATCAATGACCCACCGGGACAATTCACTTTGACCCCGGTTTAATCTGTGCGGATATAAATTTATCCGCCTAAACTGTTCGGATGCATTTGCATTACACTGTGCGCCACAAATTTGTCACTTTGCCCTCTCTGTATTCACAAGATTTATCACAACCAAGGCAGCCAAGATGGGGTGACAAGGTCTTGCATGGGAGCAGGAAACTAAATTGGATTGAAATAGCCAATTGACTTTTAGAGCAAGAATTACAATGGTGGATAAAATTATCTGGATACAAAGTGTTTACACTGTACCACATAGCACCCAACTATTATAATCCACTTTTGTTCTCACCCACTAAGGTGAACTAATTTTGTTCGGATAGCTGTCTCAAATTTGTGCGGATAGCATGGGTCTATTGTTAACGCCAGGCCTATCTGAATTAATTTTGATGCAGATAAAATTTATCCGGCACAGTGTAAACGGGGTCTTAGCGACCCACTTTTTTGTTTCCTGGTTGGAAGTTGAATTGAATTACAAACCTTTCGATCTAGCAAGGTTTCTGAAACAATCGAAAATTCGGATCTCAGAAGTTCAGCCAGTTCAGGATTCACTCTCACATAATTGCAGCTATACATCAGTTTCAAAATCAGGTTGGATGACTTTGCTCTTTGATTTTTTAAGCTTTCTCGGGAGCTACCATCCCCAAACCCTCGTTTATTCATCATAGATTGATTCATTTTATTCCATATCCAGTTATAAACAAATGTCTTTGTTTCTTCAAAGCTTCATTCTCACTGTTGCTTGCGTCATTATTGCTAGGTAGAAGTGATTCAATTCAACTTTTGACCAGGAAACAAAAAAGCGGGTCACTAAACTGCAGTCTAGCCTAACAGCCCCAACAGTTGAGCCAAGCTGTTCAGAAGTAGTGGCATTTCTCATATATAAGGGTCCTTTTTGTATTCAGTACTTAAGGTTCCTAGGGATCCAGGGATCCTAGGGTCTTAGGGTCTGGTTTTCCCAGGATGCCAATAGACTTTGCAACAAGCCTTTTCATGACCTAAAAACTCCACATGTTAAGTCTAATTCCCTGCTTGCATTTAGATGTTTATTTTCACTTTGAAAGTTATAGAAATAGATTTGTCTGGCCATCAATCTTTAATGTAGTTGGCCGTCACAAAGCTTTAGCTAAATTAACACACAAAAATAGCAAAGCAAGCAAACTTTTAACATCTTCTTTATTTACACCAATTAAAAGCTACTGTTACATTACAGTAATAAGGCTTGAGTCAACCAGCAGATATGTTCCTGAACTGAAGAAAAATATCATGTGATAGTCAGTTTCACTATGGGATATAACTGCATACAGCACACAATGTTCAAAATTAGTCACATGTCTATTTTTTGATGAGCCATATATCTAAATATATCAATATCTAAAGTATATTCAGCATTGGGAAAATAGAAGGCAATTTGGGCATGATTAACTTCTTGTATCAGTTTTTCCATTCTGTAGACAAAATATTTTTTTCATTTTTCAGGCTTCTCAGCATGGCAGAAAAACCTGAAGATTTGAATCTCCCCCATGCAGTTATAACAAGGCTGATCAAAGAAGTTGTAAGTTGCTCATTAGATGATATATTTTCCTAGCAGTAACAGGGTCTTAAAAATCAGATTGAGCTGTTTGATTTATATCCCAAAACAACCCGTTAATATGTTGCACATTGGGACATTATTGATGAAATTATATTTGCTGGCATGGGGTGAAGTGTGATCTATAAAAAAAGATCATTACAATTTTTATGAAGACATAATAGCCTTTTCAAAATAAAAGATGGTCTTGTGAAAATAAGTGTTGTATCACTGTTTGAAAAGGGGTATGAGGTTTTTATAAATCAAACAATTCTTATTGAATTTTAGAAGAAGACGAAGTTTCTTGAAAACAAAATAATTAAACAAAAGGCATACAATTTTTAAAGGGTGATTATGCCCCCAGGAAATGCCATCAAGATAATGCAAACAAAAATCAATTACACTATTAATTTAGAGAATATTAATAAGAAATTAAATGAAAAAAGAGTAAAAAGAGTAGTTGGTCAAAAAGTGGTGCTGCATGTGAGATAAAACCATACCTATGGAGTTTAAGGTGTGCATGGAGGCATATGCATGAGATTACATGCCTGTATTACCAGGGCAATAATCCTGGTCAAAATTTTTTAACCTTTATCTTTGTTTTAATTCAAAGTCAGTGACAGCCTTGTAGACTTTTGGCCAAGTATTTTGGTATTTAAGATCTCTGCAAAGTGGGCTGGCATTTTCAGTTCAGGTTGGATGAATCTTTATATATTCATATGTTTTCTTTTTAAATTCTCATTAAAGAATATTTTACTTTGTTGAAGGCAGTATTTTTGAAGAGTAGTGTTTTGCACTTAATCTTTTCTTACTTTACAACTTCTTTGACAAAATGATTCAAATAACAGTTTTTTGCTTCTTAGCTCCCAGATGGAGTTAATGTGTCAAAAGAAGCAAGATCTGCGATAAGCAGAGCAGCAAGTGTTTTTGTCCTGTATACTACATCATGGTTAGTAGAAAACGTGACAATATGTTCACAATAATCAATGAGCTCCTAGAAAACCAGTGTTATTTCTTTAAGAGCTTTTTAGAATTGCATTAGATTGTGTTCTGATTTTTTAGAATTGCATCTGCATTCTTAATTTCGAGTTGAAACAGTGTTAAGCCATTTAAGTTTGAAAATTTTTTAATATTATAACAATGATAACAAGCTTTTCTATAATTTTTTGTAAATTTTAGAAACCAAAAAATTTTCAATAATTTTATGCAAATTTTAAAACTTTTGATGAAACCTGATAGCAAATCATAATTTGCTTGGTTGATAGCACTTATTTATATTGGTTCTTGCTTGACTTCTAAGCAGACTGGCATTTCAGAGCTTTTGTCTAATTACTGTTGAGATGCTGTAGGTATAAGCTCACATTTCTTATTTCACCCTTAGATTTAGCAAGGTGCGACATTTGTCACAGTCCCATAGCTTTGAAAAGGTTGGAATTGATAATTGTACATATTCCTATTTTCCTTTTACTTTGGTCTCTAGCGCAAACAATTTAGCACAAAAGCAAAAAAGGAAGACCTTAACTGGTCAGGATGTGTTGACAGCAATGGAAGAAATGGAGTTTGAGCAATTCATTGAACCTTTAAAGCACAGCCTTGAAGGTATATATTTTTCACGTCGTTTCTAAAAGACTGAACACTCCAAGAACAGGCTGAACACCCCAAGAACACCCCAAGAACACCCTAAGAACAAGCCATTAAGCCGCTGAACACCCTTTAAAACATATCAAAATCGGCATGTCATTCGAAAAATAATTTGATCAATCAATCAAAATTAATTTTGGGGCGGGAAAGGACCTGATAAGTCTAATGCTGTTGGTGTTGTTACAACCAACTGATGTTTTGCGTGCCAGAAGTGTGAACGGGGGTTTGTACACGCGGAGCAAATTCGAGTTTGACTCCCTTTGTGCATTCAAGCAAATTCCCGTTGTTTTGAAAATCTTTCACATCCTGTGACAATGTAAAAATACGACATGTCACTTGACTACCATTCGAGCACGGGCCCCAAAAATGTGCCCCTCCTAAGCCCTCTTTTAAGTCGCAAACTGTGGTCCTGCTGCTACCCTCTAACAAGTCCAACACTGTGCATTTTCTGTTTCATTTGTCAAAAAATTCCTTATAAAAAACCTCTCCAGCCTGCGAGTGCACCCGCTGGAGACGTCAAGAGAGGAGCTGTGTCTCGTTCTGCTTGCACTGGTAAACTAGTAACTAGCTAGCGTGCACTAGCATAGCGTGACCATTTGGGCAAATTAGCGGACGGGAAGAACAATTGTTCGGAAGACAATAGGTAGTCAAGTGACATGTCGTATTTTTACATTGTCACAGGATGTGAAAGATTTTCAAAACAACGGGAATTTGCTTGAATGCACAAAGGGAGTCAAACTCGAATTTGCTCCGCGTGTACAAACCCCCGTTCACACTAAGATTTTCAAAACAACGGGAATTTGCTTGAATGCACAAAGGGAGTCAAACTCGAATTTGCTCCGCGTGTACAAACCCCCGTTCACACTTCTGGCGCGCAAAACATCAGTTGGTTGTAACAACACCAACAGCATTAGACTTATCAGGTCCTTTCCCGCCCCAAAATTAATTTTGATTGATTGATCAAATTATTTTTCGAATGACATGCCGATTTTGATATGTTTTAAAGGGTGTTCAGCGGCTTAATGGCTTGTTCTTAGGGTGTTCTTGGGGTGTTCTTGGGGTGTTCAGCCTGTTCTTGGAGTGTTCAGTCTTTTAGAAACGACGATATTTTTCATCAAAATTTGGCCTCAACCATATTTTTATCCTCCAAGGTTTTAAAAACGCTTATATAAAGTTTAAGGCCTTCCTGAGATAAAGAAGCACAACCGGGCATTTTGCACTCCTAGACTGTGGTAGGAGTTTGACAGAGTGCTAATGGTGTTTTGTCTTATTTCTACAAAAGTTCAGTTATATAGTATTTAGAACCATAAAAGCAGGCCTGGCCGTTTGTATTTTTATAGGTGAGCTGTGAATCGCTCCCCTCATTTGCTGAGGCGAGCTAAATCAGTAACACATAAAATGTACTTCAAAGACAATCTACAGATGACTTAATAAGCCCCTTTGGTATCTGTTGGTTTCCTTAATGTAATTGCCTCAGTCAGGAGTGTTATGTTTTACTTCTTTCAATTTGTTTTTGCTTTAACCGTGACTTAGGCACCCCCTTTACTTGAAGTATTTGAAAGAACAGACTCTCTCCGTTTTATGTAAAGCTAGCACAACACAAAAACAACAATTCTCTTGCAAAACAATCTTTTTGTTGCACAGAATTTGAAAATGGCTTTAAAAAACAAATTTTGAAACAAACTTAATTATACGTCGAGCAATCTTCAGAGAATAAAACGTCAGAACATAGAAGGAAAACTCTACGCTAAAATACCCAGTTTTGGATCGAAATAGGCCATCAGAAAACGCGAGGACATGACTGTTGAGGTTTTCCAATAAGTGCCCCTTTCCTATTGAAAATGTTACCAACTGCCACATAGATGGAACGATGATCAGGATGATGGAACGATGCCAATAATGCTAAACATGTCGCCGTTATAGCTTTTCACCCAATCTGGGTTTTTCAGTAAATGCTACTCGATAGTGGAATTCCATGTTTTGGTTGTCGTTTTTGATCTGCAAGACAGAGTACCCTGTTATCTTTGAGGGATAGTTTTGTTTCTATTGCTGGAAGGGACCTGCTGTCTTATTATATCCCCAATCTACAATTCCTACCCATTTCTTCGACTTTCCTTCCAAAAATATTCCTGTTCTCTTAAGATTGAAAGGTTCTAATCGCTACAAACAGACCTTTCGGTTAACTATCCTTTTCCAAATAGATCGAAGTTTATGCCTATCATAACAAAAACCACCCAACAAGCAAAAAGTTAATTGCAAAAAATGCAGTGACGGGAGAAATCGCTGTTACAAAAATAAGCCAATTAACCTGTTTTCAGTGTTCTCTGAATAGGAAAAGGGCAAATGAATGGAAATTTTAGGGGAGCGATTCTCCCTTCATGTTCTGTTTAGGAGAGCAATTCATAGCTCGCCTCAGGTTGCGAGGGGAGCGCGGAGGCGAGCGCGAGCTATCGCTCGCCTCAAACGGCCAGGCCTGAAAAAGCCTCATTTCTCAAGTCATTTCTTCAGTTCTCCCACAACTCTTACAAGAAAATGGTTTTAACTAAAGCAAGCTAAGCTTCGAATTTCTGAAGAAATATTGTAGTATTTTATGTCAGGCTTGTAGCTCTAATTTACTTTTTGTCAAAAAGATTTGCCCAGTAGTTGATCCTAGGGATCATAGGGACAAAAGTTCTCTCTGCTGAATTCGCTTAAAACTACTTATGGATTAGGTATAGGAGATACAATTGCCTCCAATTCTACAGACTTTTTCTACAGTGTCACACTTAAAAACTCTCTTGTCACAAACAAGGGAAAGTATCTAAACTAGATAAAGGAAATAAAACTACATAAAGCTTGTGTGCTCAAGGCAATACCAGGAACAATTTCTTGAGAAAGTAAAAAAACCAGACAAAGGCCATAGATCTATATAAATCTAGTAATCAGGATACCAGAATGTTTTTTTAATCCATTTCGAAAGAAATTTTAAGCAAAAAAAGGAAACTATCAGGAAATGGTCGATCAAAAAAGAAACAGTGCACTTTTGACATAGTTAACAACTTGATTCAAAGCCATTCTATAAGTTTATTAGTCTGATGTGCAACTAAGCAGGACAATTATTTAAAAAACTCTGAATATAATTTTTGTTTGATGCTTAATTTGATGTATTACAGCAATGGTTGCTAGATATAAATGAAACCTTGCAATTTTAAGCCAATTGGATGTTTTATATAGCATTCAAGAAAGAACAAAAAGGGAAAGAAAACAAGAAAAAAGAAGCAGCAGAGAAAAGAAAACAAAATCAAGAAAACAATGAAGGAGGAGATGATGAAAAGAAGCAAAAAACTGATGATGCCATTGAAGAGGAGGCGGAGGAAGCTGGCAGTGGACAATGATTAGGGTTTGTTTAAAATAATCTTGATGACATAAGCTTGATATCAATACACTTTTCAAAGGAACATTTTTCAAAGGAGACAATTTTCAAAGTTGGTAAGTCACAATCCCATTAAATCTTTGACGAGAAGGAACTAATAGAAAACTGAACAATCAGAATAGTATTTGTAATGGATAATGTAAGCAATTAAACTGGAATGTGCAATGGGAAGAACACATTATGATGTGTTCATAGCACAAAGCACTGAGAAATGAACTTTTCCAAAATGCTTATGTTCTAAACCACATTGGCATACTGGTTTTCAATTGAAATTATTGTCTTAACAGTATACTGGTAAAACGGTATGCCAAACTCAAAAATCTCTTGAGCATGCTAATGTTTATTGTCCTGAATGAAAGTATGGCATTTGCAGAAACGATTTATTTACCACACTGTATGGCGTTGACATGCTTCTTAAAATCTTCAAATAAAATGATTGGTGGAGCTTTTCTCCCTTCAAAATTATTACCTATTTAAGATGGAGGTAACATTAGTCCTTTCAGAGATGAGGAAAGTTATGATTAGGTAGCACTGAATGATAAACCGGTGATATACAGAATTTTTGTATTAAAAGCCAGCTTTGAAACTCCTTCAACCTGTTAAATGGTAAATTGATACCAGGTTATCTTCTGCAGCATAGCTCAAACAAAACTTTTTGACTTACATGAAGTTGTTAGATCAACATCCCTTTACTAGTGGCTACTATAATTATTAATATTCAAAGTTAACAGTCTGCATACACAAATATTTTTCTTAAAACGATAAAATAGTAGAAAAATGGTATGCTTATGCTACAGTTTGCACTAGATACAATCTAGTGTCAAATTGATTGATGTCTATGCAAGTTATTTTCTATAGATATTTCCAACAGTTTTAAAAAAATCCTGTTCGGTTTCTTTGAAATGAGCTCCTGTTATGGTTGTGCCTATTATTCACATCAGCAGGTACTCCAAATATATTCCATGATGTCCCATATGAATTTGTATGCTGCACTGTTTGTTTATACATTTCGTTAACTGAATAGTTTTTTGCTTGAGAATGGCTGCTAGCATTCATTATAGGGTCTTTTCTATCACCATCTGTTTGAAGACTTCTTTTTCTGAAAATGTAAATGACAACACTTAAATATCAATGCTTGTCATACATTAGGCAAGTAATTCTGTAAGTAAATCTACTTCATACGCAAGTAACTCGGTGAATTAGGGATGGTTCAGTGGTTAGGTCTGCAGACCGTTCCAAGGGTGTGTGGTTCAAGTCACTGACACAACAAAACTTTTACTTAGAGTTGGGGGAGTCACTATCTCTCTAAAGTTCCATACATAGGAATCATGAGATGGTGTCCACATCGGGAGGAAGACCCAGGACACTGCTCAATAAGCATAGCTTCTAAGTGTCCTAAAACCTACTTTTAATAGCAAGATAGGAGAAATATCTCTGAAGGAATTTCTTTGAACAAAAATCTAATACAAACAAACCAAACCAATGAATTTTCTTTTGAAGTATAAAGGCTACCTGGCTACAAAATGCTTTGATAACCAATGAAGTTGTGCGTGTTGTACGTCGAAAATGAACAAAATTTATAAAATAAAATAACGACTTTTGTACAAGAATTTAATATTTGGTACAAGGCTCAAAACGTTGTACCAAATATTCATTTCTTGTACAAAGTCGTTATTTTATTTTATAAATTTTGTACAAAATGCTTTGTATGAGTACTTAGCTAAAATGTTAGATTCAGGGACGTATGAAAGCTTCCACTTCTTGGGATGCGAAAAATGCTTAGCTTATATATTGCTGAAAGCACATGGCACTGAGCTTATTATCTTTGGCAATCAGGGGATATTGGTGCATAGAGTTCTGTTATTGTTAAACTTTGTGTCTCCCTCTTCCCTGATTCAGTTAAGATTGAACACACCAAGGTAAACCATCATAAATCATGACAGTATTGATCAATACTTACGGTTGACTCGCAGATGAATTTAAGCTACCCAAAGGCATTGCCTCCAATGAATCATTTTTCTTAAGAGGTGGAAGAGTGCTCCCATTGCTATTAGAAGATGATTTTGTTTGATTGAAACTCTGGCTTGAAAGTTTCTCTGCCAGGTTTACATTTCTGTAACTATGTCTGCTGTATAGGCTGCCTCTTTCAGGGATGACTTGGTTGCTTGGTAACCTCTCTGCATATCCATTATTACTAGAATATGAAAATACTGGCGTAACTGCTCATTGAATTTTGCCAAAATTTAAAAATGGTCAAAATTTCTAAACCTGGCTATCTTGCAGATTTTTTCTATTAGAAACATACCTTCCTAAAGACAAATTGCTTGCATTGCGCCGAGACCATGTTCCCTCTCTTTTGTGTGTGTTTGTTCTTTTTGTTGGTTTTGGAGGCAGTCCAATGTATTGACCGGAGTGGCTGGGGTATACCAATAAGCTTTTAGGCAGGGCTGTTGTGCTTTCTTGAATGTTAAGTCCAATAAGGCTGCTAGCATGCAGCCTTCCAAATGCATTTGCACTAGAAATCTGCCTGGAACCTGTCCAAAAACACAGTTGAAAACATAGTTATCATTTGACTATTGTTGTCTGATAAACAAGCAGAACATAAATCTTATCTATAGAGTTTTGAAACATCTGACATTGCTAGTAAACTGACTGGGTCTGAATGCAATAGAACACTGTTCAAAAATGCCATAATTTGGGAAAAAATTAACACCAAAGCAACATGGCAGGCTTTATGCAGGTAAAGATTGAATCCCCTACTTCATTAGTTTTGTATAATATAGCAGTAAGTACATTTGGTGAAAAAAAGTGTTGCACAGGCTGAAACAGAAATGGCTGCACCACAGCAAAAAAATTTTGTGAACCAGAATTTAAGTGGCCATAGTAAGTTTCATAGAAGTAATAAGATGACTTTTTAACTGGAATATGTTGGAAAATTTATCAAGGTTTGATGGTGAAAATAGTGAATGCATGAATATTCTTGATTTTTGCCAATTTCTAAACAATATCCACATGTCGCAAAAGCACAAAAATTGAGCCATAATGATTGAAGTACCTGCAATAAAAAAGTTCATTTTTGCACCAACTTGCGATATCTTATTACAATGAACTTGGGGGTGCTTTCTTTACGCTTGGGTGTCTAGAACTGCTCATTTTCCTCACTTTTGTTGGAGAATATGCTAAACGTTTTGCTTGGAAATTTTTGGAGCCGCAATGGGCCTAACCACGTGGCCACTTCGTGATATGTAGCAGCAAAATTTTCAATAAAAAAAACTTTAGGTCTATCTTTTCCAACCGATTGCGATTTTGTAATGGAAACAAATAATGCGGAAAAAATTGCGCAAAAAAAACATTTCATCCTCTCATTAAATGAAAATACCAAAATTTCTACGATAAACAGGTTCATTCAAGTGCCTCAATAGCTGTAAGAGAGTGGACATAACAAAATGGCTTGAAATATGCCACTTTCCACCAATACAAGGTCATTTATGATCAACTTGGTACTTCAACACCTAAATGTGATCTTGCAAATGTTTTTCTGAACTTATCATGTCGCGATTAACAGTACCTGTTAATAAACTTTTTGATAAAGTTTTAGCAAGTCTCACAAAGGTTTCAAAGCTGGAAGACTGCCTAATAAAAGGTTAAAATTTTTTATTTTTTAAAAAGTAACTTTTTTCAATTTTTAAATTAAAAGTGTTGTCAATAGTTTGAAGTTTGGTTTGATTAGATTTTAACCATAAAAAGTTGCCTACTGGCTGTACAAAAGTGGTTTGAATTTCGTTCGCTTTGTTGTTGACAATGTGGTCGCCATTACTGAATTGTCAAACCTGTGCAATACTTTTGCTCACTAAGTGTACTTTTGAAATGTAAATCATATTTAAGAAAACAATTTATACTTGGGGTTGCTGTTTGTTTTCGACTGTCAACTGGAGCACTGCTGACAAATCTCTTATTCCGTGGGACATATCCAACAGCTGATGAAAAGATTAAAAATAAAATCAAAGAAACATTAAATGCTTGGCAAGAATTACTAACTTCTAATCTAACCTAACATTCAGTTTTTTATAAAATGCTAAGAGAGATGAAATCTCAGGCTGGGTGCACACAAGCCATGGATATGAAATTTAGGACAAGGAAGAGGATTGTATGCTAAAAATTAAAGAAACAAAGGGAAAGAAAAGACTATTGAGCAAATGCAAATGGACAGCAAATGGTTCAAACAGCCAGAGATGTAAGCCTCATAAACTTGCTAAGCATGAACGTTGATTTAAAGAAGTGAAGCGGGAAGAAGAAGTGGAATTTAAAAGAGAAAAAACATGCAAAATGAAATGACAAAATACAATAAATAGCACACACCCAGACAGGTTCTACAAGATGACAAACAGACAAAGAGAAAAGGGTATTTAAACATCTTATTGAATGTCAGACAGTGGTGAAGCATTCACAGAAGCTGCAATCATTGTATCTGAGATCTGAGAGGCTGCTGAGAGGTTTTGGGTCCATTTTGAGAAGATACATTTTTTAGGGGCAGCAGGCAAGAGAAGTAAACTAATAAGAGCAGATGTCACTATGGGGCATAGAGAAGAAGTTTGAAAAAACGGAAGCAGGGAGAAGAGCTGGAAGAATAAAATCTAGGAATTTGATACATAATTAGCAGTCATCTGTATCTAGTGCACACTTTAAGGAGCCTTCTAAGAGCTAAGTTATTTACGACCATATTAACTGAACATAGGACAAATCTGAAGGGCTAAAAACCGTAAGCAGCTTTTGTCAGCAACTTAAACCATGTATCTAATTAATAAAAGCAGTATAACAGTGTGTATCCAACTAGCAAACAGTGGGTGTATACTTCTGCAATTACTGACAAAAGTCTCACATCTGCAAGACAAATGCCAATGTTAAATATCTGCATTATTCACATTACTAAACAAAATTTTAAATATAGTAGCATTGATAAGCAAAAATGTAAAAACCTACCTGTTAAATCTCTAAAAAATAGATCAAACACCACAAACTTGTTCATCTAGAATTGAAAATTACAGTTGTATTAATGCTTGGTTATACCACCTAGGAAAACAATCATAGCAAAACCAGAGCTTACATGAAATTGTCCTTACTAAAAAATTGTTCAAAGCATTTACATAAAAAGATGAAATCTTGGAGTCTATATAGCATAAAACTGAGGTTGGCAATGTACATAGTGTTTAGTTTGAAGGTATTTAATTACTATAAAGTGCTACTTGTGGTCTTCAATAACAAACACAAAATTAACAAAACAGGAACCTTATTTCTGCAACAAAATACCATTTACCTGGCTTAAAGCATTCTGTAAGTCAAAATGTTTTTTCAGAAAAGATATAAACTTTGATGATGGTCGGTCATAAGCTAAAAACTGTGGCTTTACATCTTCTCTCTAAAAGAAAAAATGCAACTTAATGTCACCATAATTATCATGATAATCAAATTTAAAGTTCTCCTGTGTTAGGTTATCATTACCATGTATCTTACAAATACTATAGAAAGGCTGAAACATGGCATAATCAAAGTTAATAACCTAAAGGTCAGAGAAAATCTACATCCAAATGAAGATTGAAAGTAACATTTCTATTGTATCAATTTTTTTCTGTAGAGGTGCTTGTATCTAAGCCTTTATTTCATCAACAGTCAGAGAGTGATTTATTCCTAATAGAAATGAAAAAACTTACTTCTAACATGAATTTAAATAAACGCAGGCCAAAGCCACTTCGCTGCCTGTGTTCGTGGACGTAAAAGTCAAGAACACATAGAGGATTCACTTCCAGCTGTTGATTATGATAATCCTGTAAAAAATAAAAAATATAATTTATACATTAAATACATTCCCAGAAGAATTTGAAGTTTCAGGAATTAAAAAACAACAACAAAAGATAATTTGGCTTGTTTTTGTAGAAAAATTAAAATTTCTTTATTTTCTAAAAAACTTTGTTGTAAGGTTATGAGAAACACAAAGTTTTCTGTAAGTATATATTTTTATTTGAACTCAAGTTAACATTTTGGTAAATTGATAAACAAATCGCAAGCAAATAAAAGTAGACATTTCTTATCAACTTACAACTACAAACAGCCTTTTTTTACCAACTTTCAGTAAACCAACCACAGCTCCTTTACCACTATAAAAATGAAATATTTAAGAAATGAGCAAGACTACATTTATAAACTAAAACTTTGTCATAGCAACCATAGGTTTTTGCAGAAGTGGGAGGAATGTAAATAAAGAGGTAAAACATTCTAATTAAATAAGCAAATAAGCCAAAATTTGGGTTTTCTTTGTCCAAGATAGACACAAGTTGATAACACATTATGTAACATGAAGCATTTGAAATGTATCTTTGCTAAAGGGAACAATTTGTCAGGACCTTGTTAAAAAAATTGAAAAGTTATGAGGGAAATCAACACAAATGAGCAATAAAATTTGGTATTGCTGGTTTTTTGATTTGCCAATCAATCATTTTTCGATTGGCAATTGACTTTCTGTCATTGCTTCTACAGGGCTGCAACCCCTCAGCCCCTCTACCTTATGATTCTTTATCAGTCTTAATATTTCAATTAGCAATAGGTAGCCTCTATATTGTTCTTTTGAAAAGTATCTTGGTTTAAGAGTTTACATTTTTTATGAAAATTATTTATCTGAAGGGACCCAGTATGATATTTAAGTTTCTGGCAATAAGCTAAAATTTGATGATAAAAAAATATGTGGCCGAATCAGCCTTCAATGTTCACATAAAAACACAGTATATTAAAATCTTCAGTATCTCATCTAAAAATTATAATTTAAAATCACAATTACCCATTTGATGTGCTGTCCTTCAGCAGATATAGGTGATGATCGCTAGCGGAAATTTTTCCATGAGTTGTTATTGTAGTTTTCAAACCTTGGGCCTTATAAAAGAATGCTAATAAGCTTTCAAAAGTAAAATTATCACAAACATAACTTTAATTCAAGATCAAAATTATCAAAGGTAGTTGACGTGGAATTCCAGGAATTTTTTTGTAAAAGTCATAATAATTGTAACTTTAGTAATAGACTTTTAATTACATTTATCCTTTGAGATGCAAGAAAGCAGCCTGAATTTCATTGATTATTAAGCCCTGACATTATCTTGGGCAGTTAAAATTCATGAAAGGTGCTAATGGCAAGTGTTTAAGTGGGGCTCAAACATACATGTATAAAAGGCAGTGGCGGACACTTGGGGGGGCGAGGGGGGGCGACCGCCCCCCCAATACTTTAGCGAACAATGGTCTTTTGTTCTAAAACAATGGGAAATGTGACGTCACCTTATTAAAACAATAGGCTTGCCCCCCCAATATTTGACCAAGTGTCCGCCACTGATAAAAGGGACAAGGGTAATGTGATCATTATTGGTAAGAAAGTAATGTATCCTTCATTTAGGATGCAAAAAGCCTATGCTAAAGAATGTATGATAATAACTTCAGAGAATATATTTTATCTCGTACAGTATAGTTTAGTTATTACATACTTCAAGTAACTTGCTGAAATGGGTATTTTTACCCAATATGTACAATAAGCATGAAGATTCTAAGATGGTATTAAGTTAAAATTGAATACCATATACAATATGATGATGATGTGCTGTATTTTTATGTAAAATCAGATTATCCAGTAATGTCTAAAATTATCTTAAACACAAGTGCTATCTGCTTTCTGTGAAGTTCTTTGCTTTATTTCTTTGGATTTTTCAGTAAAGATAAATTTTCAATACAGATGTAGCATTTCAATAACCATCATAATAGTCATCATTATTTGTATATCATTTCACCTTCTTGCTTTATTCTTTGTTCATAAAGTTCCAGTTCCATCCTGCTCTGTATTCTCTTGACTTTTTACCTTATTCACTTTTGGACCGAGGAATCCAATAAAAGTTCCATATTCTAATCTAATTAGGTCTAATCAAACTTTGGATATTGATTTTCTATATGACAAAAGGATTGTCCAATTATTTCTAGAATTCCACTGCTTTCTTGGAATGCTCTCTAGATCTGACATCACCATGGCCTGTGCATTATCCAGTTTTAGCTGTTAATTTGACCTTTACATCTAATTATGCAAGAGTCAGATTTTAGGGCCAAAGCTGAAAAATAATTTTCCAACTCCTTATAATCAAAGCATGAAAAACCTACCCGGCTTGAAGAATTTCCCATTTTGTCGATTACATGTTCTAAATTCTTCTTTAACACTTCAATTCTGTACAGGGAAAAAGGTATTGAAATAAACCATTTGCAAACTTATTCCTGACACAAAAAAACAAGCTGATGTGTTAATAGAGGTGTTATCACTTCTTTACAGCATAATTATATTTATAACTGACTGGTGCAACATTGATTTGCACATTTTAGGCATACCAAAAATGTACAAAAATGAAAATAGGTCTAATATTTTTGGGAAAAAAGATTTGGTAACCTCTACCTCAAATATGAGGTATTGTAAGATAAAATGCAACAAGGCAGATTTGGGGGGAGGGTAATAGAATATTTGCTACCAGTGTACAATTTTCTATTAAAGGTATCAATTTTAACCTTTTTCCTCAAAACTATGCGGCCAGGAGGACTTTTGGGAGTTCATGAAGATTAAATTGAAAGTTCTAGTAAAAAGCTCTATAACAAGATCTTTTTTCATTTTTAGCTTAACCATTTTAGCAAGTTTTCTTTTCCTGTACATTTGATACCTAAGAAAGATAAAAAAGATAACAGCATGTTGAAAACTCAAGTTATTGACTTCAAGATATAGGAATACTGAGCTAGACTTTGCTTTAATCAAAATCCGTTACCTTTCACACCTAAAAGAAATTAACATTGATATCTTTGTAAAAGCTGGTTTTTTGGGAAAAATCAGAATCGCGACTCAACGCCCAAGTACAAAATATAAGTATACGAACCCTTTTTCCTTAACATGGGTATGCTTGAAAGGATTTATTCTTGAGTCAATCAGTGTGATTTCTTCTGGCAAAATTACATTGATGTCGAATTGAAATTCCATCTCTAACTATTGGTTTTTGCTATCAATAGTTCCCGTTTAATATTCAAACCTTCGAAAGCATTGACTAATTCATGATAGGGTTATTATTGAAAGTAAATCTTCAAAGTTTTTGCCAAATATTAAGCATCATCTTCGTGTGTAGTGTTGTGATGTCAATGCCGTGAAAAATATTGTTGTACCATCTGATCTGCCTAGATTATCCCAGCTTTATACTTTTTGAAAAATTTCAATTGAACATCCAGGTCTCGGTCATTGGCTTCACCTTTGCGTATCAAAACCCTTGACTCAAATTATCAGAACTGCCATCAAGTGCTACCATGTTTGTTGCTGTGTTATTCTAGTAACCGAGCAAGTCACTGCGAGTTGTTGCCGTTGTTGTGGTCTACTCTGTCGAACGGTCATACCGTAAATCCTCGAATCGCCTGATTGACCGTAAATCCTGCGTTTATGACGTGACGAAATGCTCAACTTCAAACAATAAGGCAATTTTCAGTCTCGATAAAGAAACCAACTAAGAAACCTTTAGTATTGAAATTGGAAAATTTCGATGCCAAATTAAGAAGCTTTCAGTACTTAGTGCTGATCCAAGCTTCCTGTAATAAAAAACGTGTATATGATTGGTCTAGAGGCTTGAAAAACTGCGGAAGTACGAGCTATGGGGTGAACATCCAAGAACATTCAGGGAATTGTCATTTTTTATGCTGGTACTGGGCTTGAAAATTTTCGGAGGGGTTCGAAATTTGTTATCCTTGTTTTACTGGGTTATCCAATTTTCTTCACTAATTCCTGATGGGATATCGATTTTTCTTAATACATCTCCGCCAAGTTAGAATTCTTGTGTATGCTAGTTATAAAATATTAGCTTTTGCTACTGCGTGCGAGTCTTTTTGTTCTTTTCTGTTGTAAAAGGAGAAGCAAGATAATACATAGGAAGGTAGCTGTAGTGAGCTGTTGTTATCTTTAAGAGCCTGGTCCCATAGATTAATAATTATTTTAATGAGATAGACATATTTCAAAGAATTACATTTAAGCTGACCCGAGATAAATTCCGAAAAAACATGTTGATGCATGATACGAGTAGCATAAATGTTCTAGCATTAATTTTTTTCAGTATTTTAAATTGGGGTTTCAGATATCTTTGAATTTAGTAAATGAGGTATGAATATGTTTCCAGTTGTCTTCAAAATTCCTCCATCCCTGTACACAGCATTCAAAAGGACAACTCCCTTACTCATCCTTTGAAGTTTTTTGTCCTTAGCTACAATTGCTGCCAAAAATGGTTAGAAGACCGCAATATTCACATTCAAAATTGATTTACACCCCCTTTTTTTATAAGAATCAGTAAATTTAAGTTCAGGCTGACTGTTCTTAATTTTTTCGAAAATCTGAGGCTGGATTGTTCTTAATTTGTTCTTAAATTAATGTTCTTAATTTGTGCTATTGCTAGATTTTTCGCTCTAAGGAGGTGTTCAGGCCTCATTTGCCAACAAAGTGAGTGAGACGGCCTTAATTTGCTGACAAATTTTAATATTCACCGAAAAATCACCCACACATCGCTAAAAATCATCGGTTTTGAGAAAAACGTCGTTCAAAATTGCATTTTGCAGAAGCTCAGCCTCAGCTTGTTCTTAATTTGTTCTTAACTTTTGACCAGTTTTGAGGCTCCTGTTCTTATAAAATTGTTCTTATAAAAAAAGAGTGTAACTACCTTCCTCACAAAGTTATCAATGGTCGCTAACTCTCCCCCTCCCTATAATGACGATTCATTTTTAGAAGTGTTTATGCACCCAATCCTTGTTAGACCGTCACTGGCAACAAGCCATATTTATATTAAGGAAACATTGTAGGTGTAGTTTTTCTGTAATTGTTCCCAGGGGTTATTCTAACGTTGTTTTGTTACCGTTTTGTGGTGTTGTAAAAATTTGACCAAGTGGAAAAATATTTCGCAAAATATAAAGAATCGTTGGGTAAAACTATACGAATTTCAAATCAAAACATAAAAACTTCACAACAGAAGCATTTTAGTAAATAGTCAGCAGGGACGTATTTAAGCAACAATGATTGGATGTTAGACACTAAATGGATTTCTGTGTCACACCCTTCAGGTCACTGGTACATGATGAAAACGCCCATTTTTGAAATTCGTTTTTAACTTTAAGGTAAAAAAGATAAGAAGCAGTAGCGTAGCCATGGTTGAAAGATTGGATGGGCAAAGATGAGAAACTTTTTGCTGACCACAGCCTTAAGAATTTGGGAAACACCCTATTTTGAAAATGCGTTTGCAAAATTTCTGGCAGAGGTATGCCATAAGAAATATTTTTTCCAGATTTGTCATTAAAATTAGAGGGTTCACTCTATAGCTATCTTCACTTAAAGCTTAAATTTGGAATTAAAGCTCTTATTCCAGGATAGGTCTCGTGTTTACAGAACTTTTTTTGCAGGACAGGGTCAAAAAATAATGCAGAAGCCATATCCTCGAGGTTTTTCTCCAAGGTAGACCCCGTGGGGGATAAGGTTTCCACATTTCGAGCAATGACAAATTGAAATGCACATGTAGGTACAGTTTTTGTGTGGTACATATAACGATATAATGATGATTCAACTTTACATGGATTAGCCTCCTAACATCCAATAAGTTTGGAACTGCAGCTAGCACCCTAGCCAATGCTTGCATAGGATACGGATATACATGTTTATTGATAGACATGACCGAATATGCCAGTTTCATATTTTTCATTGCGGCATTTGTAGAATTGAACACATCTTGATGCTGTAATGCCACCAGTTCCGTAACGTCCAGATCCAAGCATATTCTGTTGTTTGCGCACTTTGCGATGGGTGCCCAGGCTGTATGTTTATTTGTCTAACAGAGTTGTAAGTTTCCTCAATTTCCTACCACTCATATGCATAGAATCTAGGAGGTTGTGCCCTGTTTTACGGGCCGAGTTTTACTGCTTTTTGAGTATTTGCTTTCTTATTAGGTAAAACTACACTATCCTCCATATCCCCTCAAAATTGACAGTCAACGCCCCCTACAACGCCAATGCTAACACTGAAGTGAAAAAGACTTACTTTTTAGGTCAGTGGCTCTTATACTACCTACCGCATTTCCTCACGTTTTGAAGGAAAGAAGAAACTTACACCAACATAGAATCTCCCCGACCAAAGAAAGTCAAAACGATATTCTAATGTGAAACTAAATTTAAATATTTGTTAAAAGCCAATCAAAAGTTTAGTTTTTATCTTTATTTTCAAACATATTAGCTCTGTCCTCTTAGATGTGCCACGAAAGGAATTTGAATGAAAAAAGTAAACAAGGTACACAAAGGAGTCTTGATGGAAGTGACAACATCTGCCTTTGAATAACTTCATTTACCATAAAAATGATGACCTGCCTTTGATTTTTAAAACCATTCATAACTTGGATACTGCCTTCTGTCCAGGAAACACTCGGAGACAGAGCTTTGATTTGCTCTGTCCAGTCACGAGCCAATCAACTTTCAAACTTAGTAGGGCATCTTGCTTTTTGAAATACTCGAAGCTCACTTTAACGGACTTTCAATTCCAAATCTACATTCTGCAATGCTTTTTCTTAAACAGGCCATATTCTTATATAAAAATGTGTATAATTGGCTAGTATCGTTGTTACTAGTCTAATTGCTTACACAGGCTAACATAGATCACAGGAGCGAATACATGAACAAAGTTGAGTCTTGAACAAGTTGATGGAGATTAGTCACCGCGAAGCGTTGAGCAAATTGGAGTATCTAAAAAAAGTTGGGGGGGGGGGCTAAAGCCGAATAAAAAGAGGCTCCATCGGTGGCTTTCTATAAATTTTGTATCTTTTGCTAAAACTGGGGAGGGCTAACGCTAACGCCCTCCCCGTGCTCCGCGGTGCCTGGGAAATCATTGACAAATGAGAGACGGGGCGTAAACATGAGTCTTGTGGCACAACCAACTTTATCTTTGTAATCAGCAATATTAACTTTACTAAACTGCTTATGGCCAACAGGTTTACTGTTTTAAGTTCCATAGAGATGAAGCTTTTTGCAGAGTATTTTCAGTCAACAAATTGGTAATTAGTATGACTGGCATAAATAATGGCCAACTTGCCTGATGTTTGTTTCACGATGGCTGTTTGCCCTCTTACAGCACAGCCATTTCATAGTGACTCGCGTGACAGAGTCACACACATATTTAGTTGTCTAGTAAAGTCAGAATTATTTTCCAAAGCTTGTGATACAATAATAGAATCCCCTTGAGCCATTCTTTATCTTGGCAATGTTTTGTTCCAAAAAAACTTGCTCACCTCTGCAATTTTTTTGTTCATCTGGTGTGACCATCACATTTTGAAAGTCTTTACTTGCAGTTGCCTATCTTACTTTATCTGAGAAATTTTAAAACCTTTATGAAGAAGCTTTTAAAAAGATTGCCCCTACTCATTGAGTCACCATATAAGTAGAAAATTTCAATTGAGGCATTTTTGCTTTTTGAAATAAAAAGACCAATGCAATGTGACTCGTGTGACCCACAAATGTGACTCGCGTGACAAGTGAGAGTTAACTAAAGGAAACCCAGCTTAAATCAGTGTCTGGAAGTGTAACATAAAAATCAGAACTTTTTCACAGAACTAAATGATACATAAAGGCCATCAAATCAATAGCTTGGCATATCTGGTATTTTAAAAATTATTTTTCAGTTTTCATGAAACTTATCAAAGGCTTCCTTTATTTTTGTTAAGTCTTGCTCTGTCAACTTTACTTTTGAGCACCTCGATGATGAGACTGGCATAGGGGCATCAACTTTTACAATGATATCAGAAACAGAGACAGACTCAATATCATTTTTTATCTTGAAATTGTTTGCATCAGCTGAAGTCTGATGTAGGAATTCCATTGTGACATCATCATTTGAGTCAATTCTCACTACATGCCCCAGGAACCAATAGTCTGTTGGCTCCCAGTAAACAGCATACCAATGACCTATATTGGGCTCAATCAATTTGGGAAATGATATTTCTCCACCTTAATAGCTTTCTAGTATTTTCTCAACTTCATTGACACTGGGTACCAACATGGAAAAGAGATTTACAGCCTCATTTGCATGAGAAACTAGTATTCTTCCATATCATTGAGTATTATTCATGTCTATAACTGATATATGGTACCCAAATAAAGAAATTAATTCCTTGACATTGTCTAGACCTAAATCCAACCCATTAGTCTAATGTGACTTGACTAATGTGACTCGCGTGACAAAACTTGAGGGTGATTTTTTGTGAAAATTACTGGGCTGATCAATTTCAGTTTCTAGGTCAGCATGGACTTTCATTTGAAAGCCAAACTATGCTCCAATTAATGAAACAAGAATTAAAGGGAGAAAAATGAGAGTACTTTTATTATGAAAAGTGTGACTCGTGTGACCATTCAGAGAGGGTCTTTTCAGTGTGGCATTACATAATTATTCATTACTTAAAAAAATTTTTTTGACTGCATAGACATTCTCTCATATAAAAGGAATTAACAAACATGAAAATAACCACAAAATCTCATTTATGTCAATAATGAGAGCTTTTTTCTTAAAATGGTACAAGTGTCTGTCAATGACCTTTAGCAATAGTAAGGTCAGGTATAGCCATAGCCATGCCCATTATCAGCAATTTTTGGGAAATTAAATCATAAATATGCTTAAGCAGGGTATTTTACCACTTAAAAAGCAACTTTTCACATTCAAATTCCAAAATATTTTTTTTCATCAATATGTGTCATTTCCATGGAATGGCTGAGCAGCCTTTTCATTAAGGTTCAGACCAAAGATTAGTTAAAAGAGGCATAGATTGGGTTCCTTGTTCAGGGCCTTAGGGAAACCAGCCCATTACGGAGCTTGATACTCATCTTTTTATAAATACTGGCAACATATACAGATCAATGCAGTACTGCTGCAACCCTGCCCTATATCTCTTTCATTTCTCGTTTCAAAAAAACCATTGAATATCCCAGATAAAAAGACACACCACACACACAGAGTAAAGAAATATTTTACAAGAAATGAGCATTTAGTTGATATTTTCAAAAGTGAGAATACAAAAATTTCTTTCTAATATAGTTTAATTGATTTTTTGCAGTTGAACGATTATGTTAGTGTGTTTATTGTGGCACGTTAGATGTACTGCAAAATGTTTTCAAGGCGAGTTACAGAGACAAACTGTCACACCAATGATAGAGATTAACAACCCAGTTTTAAACATTTCCGGTTTTCGTAAACAGTGACGACAATGCATTTTGTGAAAAAACTGACAGCATCACTTGCTGGGCAAAGATGTTGCTACCAACAGATACTGGGCAAACCTAACTAACTGGTCTTAAATTCTAAATGAGTACAAAAATGAACTGATGAACTTCCAAAGACTGTGATTCCAAACAATGTGACTGTGGTAAAGAGAAAAATAAATAAAATAAAACGGCATTTGATCAGTATGTTAACATTAGAAAAATAACAACTGTCTAATTGCTAATGTGTTTTTTATATTGCATCCTTTTTAATTCCTTTTTGCAATAACTACATACAGGCATTTCCCAAAATTAAAAATAAAATAGACTGAATATATCCTGAGATAGCTAAAGAGTATCCAAAATTTCAAAATGTTAGTTCTCCTTACATGAGAATATTCTAAGATGTTATTTTTATTGCAATTAGATTGCTATTATACTTAATCTTCACACAGCATGGTAGCTGTACAGAATATCAATGAAGAAGAACTTGTCAATCAAATTTCCATGGAACCACATTTTGCTTGTTTCTTTTTATCTCGCAAAGACCTTCAAAGGTTTAATCTTATTAGGCACTGGGAGTTTACCAAATCCTGATGCATATGAATAAAAGTACCCTTACTCAAACCAAATAAGCAAGGCAGTGTTGAAATTACTGGTTGTTTAATAAAATAGGAGTTTGTAGAGGGATATTAAAAATATCATAAATATATTCTTATAGTATTTATGAAGGTGTAGCCTTGGCTAGTTAGAAATATAATCATGTCATCTGTGCCTTGTTAAGTTAAAGGCAAGGTTCCAAAAGTAGTTGTTTCAATTAGATGGGGAGGGGGAGATAAAAAAATAATTTTCTTCATAATAGCTCCAAGAAATCATTATGTGAAGCATCCCAATTCACTAGTTGATTATTTCATAGCCTGTTCAAATTTTTAAGTGCTGTAATAGAAATAAGGTTTAAATATAATATGGGTGTAATTGTAATATTGGAAAATGTTCTAGAAACAAATTCAAAATTATGCTAATGCTGACAGCTTTATATCTGTCAATGTGACACTAACCTTTCTGCTACATGAATGCTACTCAAATAGAGCAATAAAAACCATAAGCAAAACGCCTACTAAAAGAGCTACAATTTCCTTAAAAGACTGTTTAGGATTTGCATCTTCTAGCAATTCTGGAATCACTGAAACTGTTGCAATGTAAATAAAACCACCAGCAGTGAAAGGCAATATTCCAGATGATGCAGCATTTCCAATATTCTCTGCCAAAAGACCACAGAGAGTGCCTGCAAGAGCCCCAGTAGCTGTGGTTAGCTGTAACCACATTGCCTATGAAAAAAAAGGTTAGTCATCATTGAAGTTTCTTTACAAAAAGACTGCCAAAACTTTAATTTGCACCATTCAGTCATGGAAGTTGTATTCAACTGATTTTTAAGTAATAAATTGATTAACCAGTGGCCTGTGCATCAATAGTTTTAGGCAGAAAAAATATACCAAAGAAGTTGAAGAAAGAATGCATATAGAAATGGAATAATGTCCCGTAGTCCGATTTTTAACACACACATCAACAAATTATGGATTCAAAACGTCAAAAACAGTAATGCAGATACACCAGATTTAATTCAAAGATTTGTCTTACTGAATAATTTATTACAATACCAAATAAGTACCAAACGTTACCTTTCGTTTAGAGCAACCAGACTGCACTAAGATGGCAAAATCCCCAATCTCATGTGGCACTTCATGAAGTAAAATTGTAATTGTTGTCACTAGACCAACATTTCTACTGACTAGGTATGAGGCACCAATAGCTAAACCGTCTGTAAAATTATGTGTGAAATCTGCAGCAAGGTTCAGGTATCCTGCTACCTTGATCCCTTCCTCTGGAGCCTCAGAATGCTTGTCTTTATCTAGAGTTAAAACAAACAATTAAAATTCAAATAAGCCTTTGGTACCACAAAAAAGAAAATACCACAGAAGAGGGGAAACATATCATACTAAAGAACTTTTCTTCCAACGCTCTTCAGAGTATAAGCATCGGATAATGTCCAAAGTTAAGCATTTCCTGCATACCTTTAGACATTATCTGTGGTTACACTTGGACAAGTGTCCAAAGAAAGGTACTTATGTGTGATTTGTTTCCGCTCTTCCATGTATTCCCCAAATTTTGAATCTCACTTTTCTAAATAAATGTCTCTTTTGTTGTTCACGAATACAATATATATGTTTCTAAAACAAATTTACAGCCTAAAAAGCAGCCCAAACACAAGGATATAATACATCAACATAGAGATACCTTGCAACTAATTTGCACATATTGCAAGGGTTAATTAGATCGTGATGCAAATAAGGTGTGAAGTATCACTAACAATTTTACTTATGACCTATAGAAGAGACTTGATCATCATATGATAAAAAAAACCTAGTGAAAGTGCTTGAGACTGTGCCTGAGATATCCACCCAAAAACTGTTAAATTCTAGTGTCATTATTATGAATTTTGTGTTCAGTAGTCATTTCAGTTTTACTTTGGCAGTCCTTTTCGTTTAGCGCGTGCGATCGCACCCGCACACGCCTGCACATGCGCAAGTTAAATTGCGCGTGCTTTTGACCACACGCGCAAACAGGTGTTTTTGCAGATTTCTGTTAAAGGGCCTCTCCAGCCAAATTTTGCACTTGCATTTTATTGGCAATTTTTATAAAGAAGTTGAGCCTGCTGATCACGAATTCGTTATTTGTTTTTTCGATATTTTTTTACAGTTTGTGAGATATAAGCTCTTGCATTTCGATAATTTAATTGAATTAACCGACAAAAATTTTTGGTTTGGTGACACTGTGATGCAGTTTTGACGTCACAGTGTATTTCGGATAGTCTCGCCTCAAACCGAATCGAACGACGGCGATTCGCAAATTGAGCACTGCAAGTGATGGTACTTTCAGTTCTGTTCCGCCAGCTTTTAGTTTGAGCATTTCAGACACCAATTCTGAAGCCTTTAGTTGTTCATCGTTTCTGGAGAACAACTGAAGTGACAATTTCGATTAATTATACGCGAGGGAAGAGCTGGAACAGGAACTGGAGCTGGATGCAGTTATCAACGCGTGACCATGACTCCTTCACGCTTCGGTGGAAGATATACGAAATTCATGGCGAACGAGAGCCGCACATTGTGACGTCAGAATGTCACCAAACTGATTCGGCTTTTGTCGTTTTTTTTCTCGGAAAGGTGCAACTTTAAAGCCTTGCAACTTCTAAACTAATTGGAATTTTTCAAAAACAATGACTTTGTCATAATACACGCACCAGATGCTAACTTTTAAGTCATTAAAAAAAATTTTTTTTGCTGGAGAGGCCCTTTAACATCAATTTCCCATGGTCTCATGATTGTTTATCCTTTCCCTTGTTACTTGATTCGCACTTTTGACCACAATATGATTTTTCCAATTTTCGGAAGTGATGTTTGGCTTTTGACTGAGTGCTCCATTCAACTTAGCGTCTCGTCTTTCAGCTAAGTCGCCATTAGCATGTTAAGTGTAATAACTGATTTCCTGTCAAAACGTAATTAGGCCCTGAAAGCAAGTAGCTGTTGGAAACAATTTTTACTTGCTCTTGTAACTTTGGAGAGTTACGACGACTTTTAAAAGATGGCTGCTAAGGGCAACAAAATCTGTTATGTATTGATTAATTGAGTTTTGCTCTTGCACGTATTCGAGTGGCTTTTTCCTTTTACCAATTTTATCAGGTTTGTACTTCAAATTTTCTTACAAGTGCGATCGCACGCGCAAATTTGTTTACATGTGCGATTTGCCACACACGCGTAATTTTGCTCACGAAAAGGACTGCTTTGGTTTAAATAAACTCAAGTACCATCCTTACCATCTGTTTTTTCTTTCTTTGAGTCTTTTTTAGAGTCAAGTTTTCTTTCTCTCACTTCACTGTTTTCTCCATTTTTGCCTTGCTTGACAACTTCAGCAGTATCTTTTTCTTTGTTAGGATTGCCATGAGAATGGCCATGGCTATGTGAGTGCCCACCCTTAACATGTCTCACAAACTTTTCAACGACTAAGAAGGCAATCATGCCTGCTAATACCCATAAACCTACAATCATATCAGCAGAATGATCATGTGAATGCTCTGCATTCACGCCATCATGGCCATGGCTATGGCTGTGGCTATGAGAATGTGAGTGATGTTCGTCAACACCATGTGAATGTGGTGAAATTGCATGAGGAATTAGATGCAGAAATGCATCTCCAAGCAAACCACCTGATGCGAAACTGAGCAAAACTTTTAGCAGAGGCCTTTGCTCCTCTGAATTACTCTCTAGGGGGACAAAGAAAAGGATGAAAAATGGAGCAGCACTTATCAAACAAGTTGAGATGATTGATTCAAGCCAAACATATCGCATTGGCTGTAGCTGGACCTTCTCTTTGGCACCATTTTGACTGTGTCCACGTCCATCATGACTGTGTCCATGTCCCTCATGGATATGACCATGTCCTTGATGACTGTTTCCATGCCCGTTGTGACTATGTCCATGTCCCTCCTGGCTTTGTCCATGTCCCTCATGGCTATGTCCATGTCCCTCATGGTTATGGTTGTGTTCATGTCCCTCATGACTGTTTCCATGTCCCTCGTGGCTATGTCCATGCCCATGGTGACTGTGCCCGTGTCCATGGTGACTGTGCCCATGCCCCTCATGTTCATGTCCATCTTCTGTGTTCTTACTTGGACCTTTATCTTTCGCTTCCTTCAGTTTCTCTTGCAACTTTTCATTAGCTTCTTTTGTATACCAGTGTCTATGATCTTCAAGATGTTCGTCCTCGTGAAAATGATCATTTTCCATACTGCCATGTTTGTGTTCATGGCTTAGGCCAATTCCTAATAACAGCGAAACAACGAAGAACAACTTCATTTCTTCGAATATCCTATGCTTAAATTGTGGTTTGACTTGATTTGGACTATTCGACGCACTAGTTTTTACAGAAAACGTGCGTTTTGACCTTTTTCTTTCAAGTAACTCTTCCAATAGGGCACCAGTTTCACCTAGCCACCATGGTTTGCAACGTGTTCCGTTTCTTATAATAAAATCCTGACCAGCCTCGATAACAAACCAGACTCATTTCAAATCACACTAACCCTCCCGTAGTCCCGTAGGTTTCTTGATATCAACAACCAAAAACTTCCATTCACAGCGGAGTAATGGTTTAGCACAGTGTCTCCTATCCTTGGTTGCATTTCCTTATGATATTTTGATACAAAACCATAACATTTTTATTCGTTTTAGGCATTCAAAATGGTTTTCTAATACTGAGGCCTCGTTTTGGAAAGTCATATTTATATGGCCTAGGCACGTGAAGCTGAAGGCATTGGTTAGTTGTCCAGTTGAACAAACCCCCCACTTTATAAAATGAGTTCTTCGTACATTAGAAGAATGGCTGTGCTGAGTGCAAAAATTTTTGGAAACATCCCAAGACCTGTTTCAGAGAGGTGAGGTAGAAAACGACAGTAATTTGACGTTGTTTATTTATTTTCTCTCCTAACAAGTGCCAAATTAGAGCGGGACCAGACCTGGGCTGTACTGTTGTCATAACAGGGGCTGGTACTATCTCTATAAAGAAGGCCATTCCTTTAATTAACACCTTTTCCTTTCCTCGTTCCAGGGTTTCACAATAGAGAACAATTTCTCTTATTATTTTACCGTATACTGGGGCGCCCTGTACTGGGGGAAACGTTACCAACATTGCTAAAAAACCTGGATGTAGAACTGCGGGGCCTAAGTACATGGAATGCACCCCCAGGGTTAAACTCCCAAAATTATATTACAACAAAATAGGGCTTTTTTGTAAAATTTTCGTTTTGGGAGTTTAAAAGTAAAAAATATAAAAACTACTGACTGTGTCCCCGAAATCCTGAAGAATTTTCTCAACTCTATTTACTTTTCTGGTTGCCATTGAGCTTGCTTGCATGTTCATTTCTAAATCCTGCTAGTTCCACTAGTTCCATTTGTTCTGTTGTTCCCACAGATCTCAAAGCAGTCTTTTATAGAGAACAGTGGGTTATGATCATTCCTTGGTCTTTATGCTTGTTCCATGGTCGTTCCACTAGTTCTGCACCTGTTCCGCTACAGTAAATCTCCGCATATAAGAACCTACAAAAATAAGAACCTAGAGGCTGTTTTTCCTCAACTATGCACCTTGTAATTAAGAATCTCTTGCATCTCTTGATGATGAATCCTAAAATTTTAAATAAGTGATCCTTCGAATAAGAACCTTCATACCCTGAAATTAATCTAAGTACCTTTCCAATAAGAACCTATTTCAGCCTGAACCTCAAAAGAGTAGGTTCTTATCTGCGGGGATTTACTGTAGTTCCTTGTTATAGCAACTCAAAAAGAAATGACCAGATTGGGGTCCGTGTTAATGAAAGTCTTGAGAATTGAGACTTGAAGCTTAGACACAAATAAACTGCATGAAAAACTTGGAAGCTTTAATTCAGGAACAATTGAAAAACTGATGAATCCTGATTACCTTGAAGTCATTATCTTGACGTTTGAGTATTTTGTGTTTTAAATGTTCATTTTTCACTATCAACATCTTCCCAATTTGATTGAAGGTCAGCAAAAGTAATTCAAATGTACAAACAAAAACCAATGGGACAAGACCGATTGAACTACTATCCGCCACTGGACAAGTTCAATGTTCTGCTACAAAAACTAAGACATCTTGGTATATATCACGATGAATATCTAGTAAGTATAAATACATCCTGTTATCAATTCAAAAGCTGGTAGAATGTTGTAAATAAAAGTTTCTGACTTGCAATGTCTTCATTATCATTTAATGTTAAAACTCAACTTAAGCTTGTGAATTTATTTTGTACTTTCAAGGAAAGTACTGCCTACAACAGTCAACAAAGTTCCCCATTTACTAAATTTGAAATTCTCAAAAAGTAAGACCAAAAAATTTCAATGCTCTTGGAAGAAAAATAAATATGAGGAATATGCTGGGCTTCTACCAAAAGAGCAAGAAATAGATTGTTTCCCTTGAAAAACTCTCATACCCATAACAAGCATTTAGAAATAGTTGGTAGCTGCAGCTCTCATGCCTCTACTCCCCCTGCAACTTCTGTCTGATTCCTCCACTTCCTCTGCAACTTCTGTCTAATTCCTCCACTTCCCCTGCCACTTCTGTCTAATGCCTCCACTTCCCCCTGCCCCTTCTAACTGTCTCATGCTTTCACTTCCCCTGCCACTTCTAACTGTTTCATGCCCCCACTTCCCCTGACACTTTTAACTGTCTGCAGAATAGGTATCTTGTATCAAGCAAAATAGCAATTTTTTATTTTCTTCATCTTTCGTGAACTGTTTAGCAACTGTGGTAATTTGAGACATTTTGTGTGATATCCCTTTGTTTTTTAGGATTTCAAAGAAGAAATGAAGGCTAGGAGGATAGCGAGAGGGAAAATTCCACCTAAGAAAGGTATAGAATACATGTTTTCCTGACATTCAGTGTCATCTGCAGTGTATTTGATGACGAATCTGTAGTCTAAAATAGATTAGAGAAGACTTGGGTTGAAAGGTTGTAGTCACTTAGAGTAAGTCTTTTGTCGTTAACTAAGAGCCAACCACTGTAAAATACCTGCAGCAACAAGTTAGGCTAGGCTTTAAATATTTTGACTACATAAGATGTGAAGCTAATTATCTCACTCATGATAAACCTTAGAGAAAGATACAATTCTATTTTATGTATAAAGAAAAATGAAAATGCTATTAAAATTTTTTTTCTATGAAGGATATATGCTCCTACAATAAACCAATGTATTTTCAATAACTGTGAATCCATACATTTGCTATAACCTTGCTGGGATGCCACAGTTAACAAAAAGTGATACTATTATGCAACCGCATTTAAAGATGGTATGTCCAGTAGAATAGCTCAGCAGTATGCTTGAGTTGAAGAACTTTTTTTGTTTGTCAAAGATTTCGATTTTTTGATATTCCTTTCAACTTGGAATGACTACACCCAAATCCAAGTCTTGGCTTATGCCTTGGGCCTACTGGGTAGTATTATTCTTGACCTTCCTTTGAGAGCTTTGTATAAATGCCCACTTTGATGGCCATATGTCTAATCGCTGATCTGACCGATAATTCAGACAAAAATATAACAAGGAACACATCAGAGAAAATCTTCAAATCATTTCATTACTTTGGAAGCAGTGAGGTCTCTCAGAGAGGGATAATTGCTCACATGTTCTGTTTGAACAATATTTTCCCTTCTTCTCTCTCCAACAAAACAATTTTCCCTTCTTTTCTTTGATGAAAGAATTTTCTGGTTTTATCAAAGATTTGGAACTTTTTTGAAAATAGTGTATTTTCAATCATAAGTAGAGTTTGTCTAAATTTGAACGCTCTTTGCACCCAAATCAGAACCCTCCTTTCCTGCCATTGGCTAGATCAGTATCAAGTCATAAGCCTGCATCAACATAAGAATTAAGATTTTGTAAACAATCTCTTGGTGATACAAAGCTTAATAATGGCTTTGAAAAAAGCAAACATTTGAGTATAATAAAGCTTTTTGTTTAAGATGATTTGAATACTATAGCTATCGTTCAAGATGATTTGCAACAGAAACCTTTATTTTTTTCTCAAGCTGATGGCATTACATTCCCTTCTATGATGATTGATACTCTGAAGAGTGTCAGCCAAAAAGCTTTAGTATACTTGAATGTTTGCTTTTTTCAAAACCATTTTCAAGATTTTGTGTTGCAGTCCAAATTGAAGAGCCGTATAACATATAAGTAGACAAGCTTTCAGTATTTTCACGCTTACGTTATTTTTTGTCTCTATTCTGGCTTAAATGGTCAGATTTTGTATACACAAAATACATGATCCCAGCAAAGATAAAATTTTCCCCTTGCTCTATTTCCATGTTTTGAGATGTTCCCGTATTCCCGAAAACTCTTCGGAAACCCCAAATAATAGAGATTTTTATTTCCAGGTGAAGGGAAGAGATCAAAGAAGAAATAACTTTTGTCGTGGTTGTGTTGTTTTGTGGCATGCGATGTTTGCACCCTTGAAGCCGAAACGAAGTTTGATATTCATGTGGCAAATTTTCAAAGTAAAGACTCAAAAATGATGCAAGAGACAGTTCAGGGTTAGTTTTATGACATTAAAACACAAGGCCAGTATACAACTTGTATCATTTAAGATGAGTTGCCCCAGAAACCTTAATTGTTTTCTCAAGCTGATGGCATTACATTCCCTTCTACTGACAGTGAATCCAAAGCAAATCCAAATGATGGCAGTCAGTGATGTTTTGTCTATAAACTTTCCAAAGATGAAATTTCCTTAAAGAGGGGCAGGGTTGCAGTGAACAAGAGGACAGGCTCTCAAGTTTCGGAATACCTGTTTTCGGAATTTTGTAAAGCTCCGTTTCATTTTTGCCTAATTTGTCCCATTTTTTAGGTATTGAGAAGCTTTGTCAGAAAACTATTTGCCCACCCAAACATTTTTGTCTCACTGCGCCCCTGAAGAGGGGTGTCGTCTTTGGAGGGAGCAACTGGCTGTTGATACAGCCCAGAGACATGAAAAGGCACTCTCTCTAGCTACTCTAAAAAGCCACTATATTATAGATCTGTGATGCATTGGCTAGACTTTGCGATACCATCATCACTTACTTTATGCATTATCCCATGTTACCACGTGCTTTTGAAAGCCTGTTTGCGCTACGAAAGCATTATGATGCCAACGCCAGTTTAACAACTATATTTAGGTTTTATTGCCTCCTCTTACTGCCACATTTGAGGAGGATGTAGGCTATCAATTAACATTAATACGTTCTTTCCAAAATTTATAACGCAAATGAGAAAATAATTGGAGTGGAATCCTCTTTTAGAATAGCAGAACTTCAATATATAGCAGTACCGACTTGATATATTGAATTCCTTCTTCATATCTGACCACAGGATTTGCTGTGTAATTATCTTTGAGACACGATGTCTTTCTAGCCTGTTTGAAGCTTTTGTTTTGATTAATGCGTATCCTATACCGTTTATTGATTCCAATTCCCAATAAGTGCCACCAAACACAACAATTATATGTACCTGGGCAGCAAACGCTCCGAAATTTGAATATGATTGTAGGAATGGGTAGTTTCGACGCTTGATGTCAAGTACGCAAATATTTTTCAATAATATCTACCAAGGTAGTGCTACAACTATCTGGTTATTCGGTGTTATAATTATCAAATTTCTCGGTTAAAATTGACCCACCGAATTCGGAAAGCTGCTGTGTTATTTTTACTTTTTGTTTAAGGTTGCAACGTTTTCTATATTCTTGTCCAATGCTCATGTTCCAATGATAGGCGACAACAAAAAGCAACCGTTACAAGCGGGGGTGTAGTGCTAGGGGGCTCAGGGGGCTTAGCCCCCTTTGTTAATGTCGAAAGTTGGCATATTACTACTTTTACTATTGTTTTTCGCACCATTTTGTGCAAGAGCCCCCCTTGTTATTTTGATAGCACTACACCACTGGTTACATGCCGTGTTATATCTCGATTAATAGGATGTACAAAAATCTGCAGAACAGAAAATGGCGATTCTGTAGAAAACTCACTGTTTAACAGATACACAGCTCTATTGAAAAACAGCTTAAAACATAATTTCAACTTGAACAAATGTTATCAGTTGCATCGTAGTATAAGTGTGGTCATTAGGTATATTATATACGGGGTTAGTCATGTCGAAGGAATCATACCGAGAAGCATTAATTATCTGGAAAAATTGCTTTGCTATTTTGTGGAAATTTAGAAACAACTGAAGGATATATTGCAACCTTGTACTGCACTCCTGCACCCTCTTTGCACTCCTCCACCAGATATTGTGTATAGTAAACACCCTGATATTGTGTATATCTGGAGAAACGATTTCCTATTGCAACGCCTATCAGCGATGTTCTGGTACACAAGACTTTAGTTACCATGCTAGAGGACGATTTTTCACACTTCTTTTGCCAAGTTGAGGGCTTCCTGAAATACCATCAAACTGTCTTTTTCCTTAGCTCTTCACACACTTGGTCGTTTTGTTTTGATTTCCTCAATTGAGAATATTGTTGCATTTGATGAACGCATTGGTTGGTTCTCTTGTCCAAACTGTAAAGGTGCCAGTGGCTCGACTTTGCTCCGTCCGAGATTATAAACACATTGCTTGATTCGCTTCCTGATTGTACGGTCTGTTGCTGCATAAATCCAAGGGTTGAGAAGCGAGTTGAGAAAAATTAAACAGTTGCACATATAAATGTATTGCTGCCCCCCTAAGCCAGTAATCACTGTGCGAAGAACTACGGAAAACCACGGCAAGTATGCAACGGCAAAAGCAAGAACGATAAAGAATACTTTTCTTGTTACTTTGCCTTGGGTGGTTTCAACTGATTGTATGTGTGGGTGTCCTTGCGCTCGAATGGCTTTCATTTGCCGTACTGCCACTGCAAGCATAGCCAGCTGTAGAATGGCTACCAAAAGAACCGATGTAGCAACTAAAACGCCTGTTATTAGGAAATAGGTGGGTTCTAGCGTCACACCCCAGTCACAAATACTGTTCAATGGACGCAAACATTTGGTTTTCTGTGCCCAGCCAAACGATGGCAATGCACACCAGATTATCATGTATATCCATAAGGATACAATGATTATTTTGCTTTTCTTCTCCGTCATGATTTCATGGTACCTAAAGGGCATGAAAATTGCTATCACACGATCCAGTGTCACCAAAACAATGTTATACACTGTGCTCAGTATAGCTATTAATGACGACCCAGCAGCGAACCTACACCAAGTCTGTCCTCGGAAGATTGCCGTATCACCAGATAAAAGGTCAACAGCAAAAATGATCGAAACCAATATGCCTTGAATTAGATCAGATATCGATAAACTCAGGATAAAGAGGTTCCCTACAATGCGGTGCAGCTCAAATTTCCATATAACGTAGTCGATGAGGAGATTGCTTAAAAACCCCGCGATGCCAATCCCTACAATGCGGCCAAAGCTCAAATTTCCATATAACGTAGTCGATCAGGAGATTGCTTAAAAACCCCGCGATGCCAATTGTCAGAAATAAACACGCCAAAGAAACTGTTACTGTTTGGTCATTTCTTGTTAGTCCATAATGGCAGGTCGAATGGCACGAGCTGTTTACTACACTACTCTCAGAGGCGTCCGGATAGCCGCCCATCTGTGATTCAAACCGAAATTTCATAAATTGGCGATCGGTTTGATAGTTGATGGCTTAAGCTAGTTGAAAAGTTCTTCTTCAGCTTTTGCTTCGAGTGATATGCTTGTCTTGGCTTTTTTGTTAGACTTCCCATTAGCTCTACGGATTTCAAGGTCTTCCCATTAGCTATATAGATATCTCTGTCCTGCATTGAAGGCGTTGTAAATACCTTTCAAGTATTGCTCCTCTGTTTTTTGTATCATAAAGAATGACCACCCTGTTCCAAATGTTGTTGCCAATTATCAAATATTAACGATGTCCATTAAAGGTATCCATTCTTTGATACTGATAATTGGTGCATCATTCAGCATTCGATTATCGATACACACAAGATTGAGAAGCATGAGGGCAGAATTCGTTTCTTGCAATCACGAGAGCAACCTGTATTTGCGTCATACCCCGATTATTTTAAACGGAATTACCAAAAATTCACTAATGTACCAAGCAATGATTCTGATGATCGTTATAATCAATCCATTTTGTGTTTATCAATGAGGTGTGACCAATAATCAAAACCCACGCGATGCTGCTCTGTGAAGAAACTTCTATACGGTCTCCAACCAATAACTTTTAGCCATATTGTATAGAATACATTGATAGGTCTACAAATATTCATCGATATTTTTTACATTTTCGAACAGGAACGGAAGATGTTTACCATAGTAACAGGCAAGGGAATCGGAAAATTGACTTATTAAACTCTTACCAAGTGGTAAGAATTGCCATAGCTAAAAGGAAACTGTCTTCCATGCTTATTCGCTGCCTTTTTACTATGTATGGTCGATATCACTAGCTGTTTGATTATTTGATTAAGGAGAATAAGCCTATCTAGCAAAAAATCCTTCTATCCCATGCTTTTGCAAAGAATGTCAAGATCAGTAACCAATAGTTGCAAGTTTCAGCTCAAACAATTATAAAAGCATACAAATCGACTTGTGAGGATAGTACATTTAATTTTAAATGAAATTTGTCTTACAAATGCGCTAATTTTGGAAGCACCTTAACGAAAAAGAAGAAAACCATGGATCTCAACAGGAAAAAGGTCAGTGATAAACTTTAAACAAGCCAGAACAGCGCAAACAAGCCAGAGCAGCGTCTCAGTTGCATCCGAAGAAAAGTTAGAGAAGAACAACAATAATCACCTCCAAGGCCTTTTGTGTTTTTTTCTTGTGGATTTGTAGTGTGATCCGAAGGCCATGACAGCAGTGTGATGCATATGGATAAAATGAAATTAGAATTATATACGTCAATCACAAGCAAATTCGTATCCAACCTTCTTTTCTCCTCCTCAGTGTATCCCACACATGTCCCATATACAAACAGTACCAAATATGGCGATACATTGTCTTTAAATGTTCAGTAACCTAACATAACATTCCATAACAAAACATACCAGCAAAGAATTACGGATATAAGGTTAGAGATCTCTATGGGTTAGAGAGATCGTAATGATGGGCTCGGGATGAATACAAAGCTCGTACTCGAAAACAAAGAAAAAGAGGGAATTGCTTGAAGCCTCGATTAAAGGGCATGATGCAGCGAAGTATATGACACAGAAGAAGCCACTTGTACTGCCAGCACAAGTTGAATGGCTAGAAATCGAGAAAAATTTATTCATGGAAAATTTTTAGGGAAGTTATAGTTATCGACAATAGATAAGTCCGAAAAAAATGCCTCTTCTAGATACGTAATGTATCTAATCTATCTAAAGCCAACTCAAACTACGCATACTATCATTTAAACACGTGATCTATCTATCAAACAGTTCGATGTCATGGCTCAGACATCGTAGATGTGGTAGGCAAAGGAAAGCCAAGTAGACCTCCTACGAAAGAATTCTGCCCATCTTCCAACATCTTCTCTAAATCAAGGCTAGAAACTATTCTCAAAAGAGTGATTTTCAAAAGAAGGCGCTCATTTCTGGGAAGAGAAAAAGCAATATGCTGGGAACTTGTCCCTTTTTATACTGACAGAACCAAATTTATTTCTGGACGCCACTGCTACTAAACTTTGTTTGGTTTTTCTCTATATCCACAATTTTGCAATGTGCTGTGATATGGTGCCTTTTGGTTCGAGAGCTAAAGATATCACTTTTTGACGCTCCCTAAATACTTGCATGAGTTTGCTTGCAGCAGCCCTTTAATAATATTTCATAAATATGGGCGATACAAAGATGAAAATTATCCTAGTGAATAATTTGAGCAAAATAGCTCTTTGCTGGTTGGACTTTGCTGGGTCCCAACAATGATATTCCTGGGTAACTTTGTTTTCTCTTCATGATCAAGAAATACTCATATCAGAGCCTCAAACCCATGAAAGCCACGATTAACACAGGCAAGCCCCCATCCGAATAATAATCCCCTATCCATTTCAAATAGGCGAGCCCCCCAGTGGAGTTAATTTACTGATTTACGGTAATATGTCACTGCATATCATCGATATACCGCCCATTTTGCAAAGTGCTCTTTATGTCTTGGAAGCAATCCAAAGCACACATATCGCTTTAGGTCATTGTGGTCCTAGCTTGCAATCAACAGTCTTGCAATCCCCATCTTATCGTAACTGTGTGCGACCTGGCGACAAACAAGCCAACTACAGTTTGGCATTCGCTATCTGGAAACTGAAGTTTGTTCTAGATAGTGAATAAACAGTGGAAGCCCCATAAAAATTTGAAAATTGTTGGGTTTTAGATCAGTTGTGAAACATTTTAAGAAAAACAAGATAAATAATTTTAATGAAAAACTCAATTAGATAGAAATAAGATTCATATACGTTTTATATTGAACCTCAGCGTGCATTGCTTTAGTATGTAAGTTTTGATAAGAAATTTTAGTCCTTTGCTTTTATTTTTGAAGGTTTTCTACTCTAAGCATTTAATATTACAGAATTCGATAAAAACACGTAAAAGCGGAAACATACATACATGAGTACTTTTCGTCCATGAGACTTCGTATAAACGTACTTCAACGACACCCGGTATGAGCAACAAAGTATAAATATATAAATAATAACTAAAGACAAGAAGATCTCCTAGTGCAGCCATAAGAATACTATTTCGCGGTGTTTAGGCTGTGTTTAGGTAGAAAATGGACAATTATTGAAATCTTCAAGCGATTTGTAAAACACTTTGTAAAAAGTCTTTAAAATTCTTTTATAACATAGAATAAATTCTTTTACAAGATTTATTGAAGGAATGCTGAAATAGCAATATAATTTATAAATTTTTCTATTAAAACACATCGATTATTGTTTACTTTAAAATACTTAGCAGCATTATTTATGTGTGTACAAAACCTACGTATGCAAAATTCACTTATCAAAGACGTTTGGTAGATCGGTAATGCTATTTTGGAAGACTTCATTGCTAGGTTTGTGCCACTGGGGTAGTAGGTGTTGTTTTTTATAACTTTTGCAACCTCAGCCACCATCTGTTTGCAAAAATGTTTTCTGAAGGGTGGAAATAATGACCATTTCATGGTTGAACCAAAGTGATTTGGTTTTGTAAATCTGCTTGAAGCTGTATTCTTCGTTCTATTTAGAGACCATCATCAATAACCGCTTTCGTTTTCCCGTGTTTATCAATGCACTTTTCAATATTTTTCATTGCAGTCTTAAGCCTTCTGTCTAAAGCTTGTAAATGTGATTCTGTCAGAACTGGAGAGATTGGGTCTGACAAAAGTGATTGGCGTAGTTGAAAGCTAAGACGTTCTGACTCTGGTTCCTCCATTGGAATTTTCGACAGTCTGTCATATGTACTCTTTCTTATCCTACGAGAAAAAAGTGTTTGGTAGGCAGATACTTAAATTGATACAGAGAAAGAAAATCACATTGCGATCGGAGCCACCTACAATTAGACCAGGCGAGGAAGGAGGGGGGGGGGAGGGGGGTATCGTCACCCATCAAGTGAATTTGCAAGACCAACTCTATTTGGTCAATTTCGATACGCTGATTACGAAAATCGATGTTATACGGAGAAATTTGGTACCAGGAAGCCTCTATTTCACGTTCAAACCTCGTTTTCGTCCAAATTTGAACGTTGAACGAAAGTTTCTAAATGAATCGATTTTTATCAATTTTGATGTGCTGATTTCGAAAAGTTATTTTATAAATGTAAATTCAGTACCAGGAAGCCTCTATTTCATGTTCAAACCTCATTTTCATCAAAATTTGAATGTTGAAAAAAAGTTTGTAAATTTTTTATTCTCATCAATTTCGATATACTGATTCCGAAGGTTGATCTCATACGGCGGAATTCTGTATGCACTGGTCCCTTTTTCATGCTGAAATCGTTCATTTATCGTTTTCAATATTTCTAGAGTAAAATCTGCTGCGCACATAGATTTGCTTAAAAACCTAAAAAAGATTATGTCATAGGCAATATAATAAGGCTAATAAACATTTAAAGTTGTTTTGAATAAACATTATAGCTTCCGTTGTCATCAAATTTTTGTCATCATCATCAAACTGGTGGTTGTCATCATCATCAAACTATCAGGATATTACAAAATATTACGAAAATCAATATAAAAAAGAATTTACCTGCAGCACTGTGTAAGTGGAGATAATATCGACAAATCGTCAATGGCAGGATTTCCGAAGCTAAGGATAGATGTGAGAAGCTCATTAAAAAAATAATATAACCATTCAATTAAGCAACAGACAACAGGTAATTCGCTAGAAACTAACAAACAAAACTGCAGACGGGAAAATATAAAGCGAAACTGCAAGCATCTAGAAAGGTCTTTAGGGAATTATGTGTTATAGGAAAGTTGATACCTAAACGTAAGAAATGCAAAACGTTTTTTAGAAGTTCATGAAGAGACAGCATTGTGGGGGGGGGGGAAGCGGAGAGATGTTAGCCGTATGCAAGGGGGCTTTCTGAATTATTGGGAGACTTAGGCTCCCTTTTTATATTTTGCTGCCACTCCTGATCAGCAACTATGTAACTTGAGATAAAAAGGAGGTAGGAAAAATGCAAAACATTTAGAAACAATCCGCTCTAAATGCACGATGGTTTGAAATAAAAATCTGAAAACAAAATGGACTTATATCTCGCCCCGTCATACGAGTCATATCGGAGTAAATGCAAATTATTTATATTTGGTCATTTTCATTGTTTTGCATTTCTACTTTTCTAGCGTCTGACTTTGTGTCTGAGAGTATTTGCGATCAAAGAAGAAAGCAAATCGGTAGAAGAAGGGGTTAAATGATGTGGCTTGGGTCTGTAAACTTTCAAGATAATTTTGTTAAATCGTTTGCTACCAATGTCATTTAATTCATTTTTGATGATAATTAAATAAAATTTAACCAGAGTTGAATCTACGAGGGGCGTCTGTCCATTAATTGATTCGCAGTAAATTGATATTTGCTTGCTATTCGTTTTGGTCTATTGGGACCTGCTCTTTCAAGTTCTACTTGTACCCCTTCTACAAGAATATGCGAAATGCTGTGGAGTCTTTTGTCCTAGGATAATAGGATAAGATGTGTGGCTTCATAGCATTTCTGTCCCCTTGGTTGAACGGCTCGACATTGCGTGGGTCTCACTTTGCTTGGTGAAGCTTTATTACAAGAGTGCTTATTACTTCGACGTTTGCTAGACCCATTGTTAAACAGCTGTTTATAATAAATCAAAGCACATTGAAAAGAAGACATCATGTAAATGTTACATAAGAACCTTTTAGCATTGTCAAGATGAAGGAGCATTCCACGAGGTCCACCTTTCTTAAATGTCTCGTAATGATGCCTGTCACCATTTCCTGAAAGACGTGCAATTTTTTTATTCCAATTGAGGCAAATCATATTTATTAAAGTAATGGAAAAGAGTGTATTTTCATTTTTCGTGACAAATATAACAGGTATGCTAGGAAATAAAGGGGAGACTCAAATTGCATGGCAAGCATATTAGAGCCATGAAATGGCAGTTACTCTACCGAAAGAGTTGATTGGCAACAAGCACTATTTGTCTCTTAGATTTTTGTTTTGACTTGGCGTAAAGCTGTAAATAATCAAAACTTTGGTCGGTCCGTAAGCCTATTATAAACCTATGATAAAATTTTTAAACAATTCCTCATCAATCAAGAGATGAAAACAACATCTCACCAATTAAAAAGTCAAAAATTGATGTGTCAATTATGTCAAGCATCCTTGGACCTTCGTTGTAGGGTGAAACGGACACCACATCGCTGCAATAATTTGGATCCAATTCCCATCTAAAATAAGAAACAGCCAACTGAAAATTAGGATATAAATAACTGGTAAGTTATAGTAAAACAAATTGGCTAGACCCCTTTTTAAGAGCCATCAGCTGGAGGAGGGCACAGGGGCGGATTCAGAGTGGTGCTTGGGGTGCTCGAGCACCATTTACGGCAAACCCTTTCTAAGGGACATCTGTTCTTCACAAAAGGGACAATAGCCTAATATCTTAATCAATGATATTTCATCGCGGCTAGAGGGACGATCCCCCCCTAGCTATTATATTAAAAAGGCTCTAGTCTAGTAAGGATAAAAAAGGCCTATTGGCTAGGTAGAAAGAAGAAGTCTGGTACGTACAAAGGAGCTCAGATCAAAAGCAAGAGAAAAACAGGGTCGTTTATCAAAATATATACGGAAGTCAGTGAAAATTACTTTTTTGCTCTGTCATGGAGTGATCGATGTCGTATATATAAAAGGGTGGTTCTAAAACGCAACTCCTAGCTTTATGATTAATGGGATAATGGGATACAGCCTGAAACTTTGTTGTGGAAGATGGCATATATTGTTCTATTTCCTAAAAAAGACTGCAGACAGAACATGCAAAAGTTATCAGCCCATTCTCTGCTGCCTAGTTTTTCTGCTGCTACCAAGGGAAAGTTTTTTGAAAATGGCTTTGAAAAAAAGCAAACATTTTAGAACATACTAACTAAAAGCTTTTTCATCTGAGACTCTTCAGATCATAAAACGTCAGAATAAGGGTCCGAAATAACACGATGAAAAATATATACCCAGTTGTGGGTCGAAAAAGGTCAATTAGAAAAACGCAAGCACAAGACCGGAATAGTTGACCAATCAGTGCCGCGTGCTTAAAGAAAAATTACTATTGGAGTCCAAGAGAGAAAACGAACTCTTTCTGGCTAAACAATGGCGGTTTTTTCATTTGTATGTAGATCGATTCCAAAACTGCTAGATGGAAGGACGACCGGGCCCTGTCAATTATCCGAAACATGTCGTCATTATAGAGTTTAGCACAGGGGTCGGCAACCTTTATAAAACAGGGGGCCAAATTTGATTTTTGAAATGCATACGAGGGCCGCAACTCAAACGACAGTATAATTTTAATATATACCAATTCTACCTAACCACTAATCTAATCAATAAAAATGTATTTATCGGAAAATGTACTGTAACGTGGAAGCTGTACGTAAATACAAACATAGATGTAAAGTACATGTTCACTGTTCAGTGCATTACAAGAAGCTAATGGGCAACTTGGTGCTGCACGTCCTTGGCCAACTTCTCAATATTTGGCAGAATTGTTGATGTTGGCAGCCGCAAGTTGCCTTCAAGGTGCTGATCAGTCATGCGAGATCGCAGTCGACTCTTCGCATGCTTCATCTTTGAGAAGAGACTTTCGCAAAGGAGAGAAGTACTTCCAAACATGCAACACATCTTCTTGGCATGCTGCACCAGACCTTGATATGAACCATCATACACCATGGAGTTATCAACCACTCCATATAAAACGGAATTATCTGAGTTTCCTTGTATTTCTGTTTCAATTCACTGGTACCCTGCAGCTCAATCAACTCCAATTGAAGATGGAAAGTGAACCAAGTTCCATTGATTCAGCTGAGTTTTCCAAAGATGTAGCATAAGCAGGAACATGACATGTTCATACATGACATTCACAAAATGACAGTGGCCTTGAAGCTTCTTCTTCAGCTTGTTCGAGTGACTAGTAATATTAACGAGGAATGCTAATCTAGGCAAGAATCTAAGATCACTGAATCAATATCGAGCTGACACTCGTGCATTGGGCCACATTATTTACAGGTTAACGGGGGCCTTCCGGGCCACACAAAAGTACCTTGCGGGCCGCATGTGGCCCGCGGGCCGCGGGTTGCCGACCCCTGGTTTAGCACAATCTGGGTTGTCTAAAAGATGTTGACTGATGGCAGAATCACTTGTTTTAACAGTGTTTCTAGACTTACAAGATCGAGGAGGCTGTTCTCTTTGGGGGGGGGGGCAGTTTTGTTTCTTATGTTGGAAGGAACATGCTGTTTTATCCTATCCGCCAATCTTTGGGTTGTGCGTCCTACGTAGCCAGAGTTACACTGGCACGTAAATTCATAAATAACGGAACTTTTTTGGTTGGTAGGAACGCAATCCTTTTGAATGGATGGAAGGGCTCTCCTAGTGCTGTAAACAATACGAGAATTGACAGCAAATAAACATTTTGTTATGGCTTGCCTAATCCGACTCTCGAATCGCACCATGTTACCAATCCATGGTTGTTTCAAATAAACTGGGCACTTTTGCAGACCAGACTTTTGAACAGCCGGAAAACTTGCGATCTTCTCCTTAGTATAAGATAAAATGACGTCTTCTGGATAGCCGTTACCCAGAAAGATAGTTTCAAGTTTTTTCCAGTTTAGATTTCGAGCAGATCATAAGTGCCCTATGTGCTAAAGTTTTGACAAGGTTGACTTTGCGTTGTTTTGGGTAAAATGAATTCCAGTGTATGTGCTGACCGGTAAAAGAAGGCTTGCGATATAAAATTTATTTAGTGTAGTGTATAACTCTATGTGTTAAAATTATAAACATCCTGCAAATCTAGCTTTCACCCTGGTGATTCAACTATAAACCAGCTGTTACCTATAACCCATTAGACATATCATTATCATATAAGACATACCATATTTGTGACAGTGTTCTTAGTTTGGAAGATGTGTTACTGTTGTGTATGACATGATGGTGTGGTCCAAAAGCTCAGAACGTATAAATCACCAGTGACATACTGTCCTTAATGCTAAGCTTCTTACAAAGCTGTATGCAGATTGTTGCCTTGAATGGTTCATATTCAAAGAAAGAAATAGTTACTGGCGGTTTATATCAATGATCTTGCTGAAATGTTACTTGTGAAATTTAGCTATTTTTAGATGACACACCCCTGTTTGCCATTGTTCGTGAGAAGGCTAAAGCTTGTCTTAATTTAAAAAGTGTTTGAAAAGATTAGATTATGAGCATGACAGTGGAACTGCTGTTTAATAATGAGAAGACCGAAGAGGAAACCCCAACAACCATCCCTAAAACTAGGCAACAATAAGTAGCAAGGAATAATGTATATGTCACCTAGTGTAATTCTTGACTCTAAACTAAACTACTAGTCACATTTGAAGCAATAAACGAAGTTAGGCATGTAATATGTGTGATAAAATATTTGTCTACACCTATAACATTTCTACAGACTTTGTGCTAGACCAAGACCAAGTTTACAGACCTTGTGCTAGGATTTTTCTACATTATAGAAACATGTCTACTATAAAAATGATCCCAGTGGGAGTCTTAAAAAATGTGTCATTTGTTCAACACAAGGCTAAGCCAACAGCCTGAATACCTTTATGCTGATGACATTCAATCATATCAATTTCCTTTGCAACATGTCAAAAATCATCATTAATATGAGTATGCTAGAAGCAGGACAGTTTGTTTCTCAAATACCTATTTGAAAATTTTCTAGTTGAATGGAATAATTTGACAGAGGACATTTGAAATTCTAAACGAATGCGTGAAGTAAGTTGTTGTTTGAAAATATTTAATATCAGGCTTTTGTTAACATTGCTAGTCTAGGTTGTAAGCTGAACTTGAACTTATAATATAGGTGTTGAGGAAGAGGAAAACGTCATCCTGAAATGCCCATTTTATAATCCAATGTATAACAACCTCTTTGATAAACTCTCTGAAATTTCTTGATTGTACAACTTGAACTCTAAGGATCTTTGTAAACTTCTTCTTTGTGATGCTTCCAAGTACAATCACATTTTCTATTTAGCATTTTTTGCTTATATCCACGCCTTTAAGTTACACCACTGGTTTGAATCATTCAAGATTTCTTCTCAGGCATGCCAATAGAAAAATTACTTTGTTTATAGTCACATTCTACTCACATTTCAAATAAAAAATTATAGTTTTTGTCACTATAACCAGAGTAAATTTGATATGATAATAAATTTTTCAAAAAATTATCTGTACCTTGCTTTTCTATTATTGTATGTCCTTTGCCATGGGTGCCTTGACTTAGCTAGATGCCAACCATCAGGTAACCATATCGTAACTGAACCTTCCATTATTTTTCCTTTTGCACAAGCTGCTTCTGACTTTTTACAATAATAGCACACTCCATAAAAACAATCATCACCATCCTCTGTAATTTCAAGTAAAGATTAATTTATATTTCAAATAGGTTTAATTTCTGTTCAAGACATTAGAATTCCTCTCTATTGGCTATGATTGGCTATGGTGTTGCTGAACTCTCTTTACAAACACATCTTTACAACCACGATATACATGCATGTAAATATCTTATAACTTGTCTGATTTTTAACTGACTTTACTTAAGCTGAAATTCTTGTTTTAAAATTCAAAGATTGCAAGCATTTGCCTTTATACCATTTTTGAAAAACGTTTTCAGAAGTGCTTCTTCTCCAACTGGCTTAACTTCCTTCTCTAAATCAAGTTTACGTCCAACTACTGGTGGGGCACGAAAGAAACCTAAAATCCTGAAAATGAAAGCAAAAATGAATTAATACCATCAACAATGCTAGTGACCTTGAGCTACTTTTAAGTTGTTTGTCCTAATATTTTGTGTCCAGGAATGCAAAAAACTTCTTCCAAAATCATTCAGTAAACCATTATTCTCAGTTGCAACTTATAAAGTCTTCCCTAAACACCAAAGTCAACAGTTACCAGTCATGTTTTGTAACCCTCTAAAACATATTTTCAAAACAAGTTCCCTGATCCACATTAAATATTTTCTGTCCTTTTGTTTCGTAGTTTCTTTAAACTTTTGCTTAAGAGGATGACAAAATTTAGCTTTTGTCTCGGCAATATCTTCCCTTACATTAGATACTTTTGATTGCTTTCATAATGCTAACAAACAAAGTGTTATTGATAGCTGAACCAGAGTTTAGGGGAAATCAAATTAAAATAGAGAAGCCTAGGTAAGAGATAAAACTTGCAGAGGTTATGTACATGGATTGAAAGCATCAAGAGAAAAATAAATTATCTTTTTAAGGATGTATTCCTGGTTTTATTCATTCTACAGTCTACAGGGTCTACAGAATTTGTCCTTACTTCTTGGAATAGAAGCCATGTCAATTCTAGATAGGAGGTAAAAAGAGAAACATATGCAACAGTCAAGAATTCGAGACAAAAAGCATGACATTTTTGCATGAATTAGGAATATTGTTTCATACACACCTATCTAAATGGAATGCTGCAATTTCTGCATTGTGTCGATCAAAACCATCATAAATTTTTCCAGTGATAATAAAGTCCCTTGGGTATCTAGAACAGGAATGAAGATTAAAACTTTTGCATGAAAATATCTAAACATTGGTTATTAACATGGAAAGTAGAGTGCTCCTTTTCCAATGGATATGACTTATGTTTGAAATGAAATATGTTGATTTTGTATATATACATGCATAATACTAGTACTCAGGGTACATTCTTGGTTCTGAATGGTGAAAAAGAAGGTATCTCTTCAAACACCTTTTAGTTGTGAAAATTATTTTTGTATTTCATAACAAATTAAATCTCAATGAAAAAAAGTCAAAACTGACAACATGCATTTTTAAATGACACATTTAAATTGACAAAATACTGCAACAGTTTGAAAAAGGGTAAACAATTAAAATCATGGATATAAGAAATCATAATGATAAAATATCAGCCGACAAAATTACAATTTAAAAGATTTAAAATGCTTTAGTCATAGTCATAAGCAGCCTTATTAAGATTTTACCAGTGTACTATCAGTGCTAACAAATTTATAATCTGTTATCAATGTTGGAAACAATTCAGGAACTTGAAATGGTTTATTACCTCATTGGCTTGAAAACGACCTTCTGCTGAGTTGTGCCATCTAACAAGAGTGAAACTTTTAACTGAGTTCCTTTTCGTAATGTCTTGGCTTCTAGAATTTGTCTTGTAGCAAGCCCTTGAAGAATTCTTTTGACAGCGGCTTTATTTTGTGAACTTGTTAGGTGCCTTTCTGTCACCATTGTCCACCAAACATCCCATGGATCCATACCATCTATGACGTTTGTTTCTTTTTCTCTTATAGCTTTATCTTCAGCATTGATTTTTTCTTTTATGTATTTTGCATTCTTCTTAAAACTTTCTTTAGTATTATCACTATTATCAACCAAATTGTTGCCATGATATTCTTCAAACGGTGTTTCCCTTTTCTTCAGCAAATGAGCATTAGCGAGATTAGACGTCTTATCTTTCTGATCTATCGGCTCTAGTTTGTCAAGAATATCGTATTCTTGTTCGCCATTGGCCGTGTACTGTCGATTTTTAGACAATTTCATTCTCAGCATCATCAAAACACACACACTTACCAACACAGTTAGCAGAACTCGCTCTTTGAGCTTCATATTCATGAGATAATTTTTGATTAAACAAGCATTTGATGCGATTTTTTCCAAACAATTTAATACGAATAACCCCGTCTCATATTTATAATATTGTGAAACATTATCCTTATGGCCATACTGAAATGAATCTTGTCCAGGTGGGCCTCTCTCAGCATATAAAAGGAGCCAGTCTCTGATTATCTGTGTAATAAAGAATTTCCCGATTGCTAAAGTACGCTGAAAGCTCCTTCACTCAAATGGCAGAGTTTTTGATAATTGAAATGTGATGTTCTATTTCCATTCCTGATGGTGGCAGAAATTTAAATTCGCCACGTTTGGACTTATTTACAAGTTATGCAGAAAGAGGCTAGGACCTCTATGATTAAGAGGCTAGCAAAAGGGCCTCACAATTGTTTTGCAAGTATTGAACAACATAGTGAGAAAAGTTTCAAAAACTGTATCGCTGAAATGTCAGCACAGAGTATCTCAACGGGGCCAAAATCTTCGTCAAATATAACTAAATTTTCGGCTGAAGTAACTACAGCACTGAAAGCCACCCAAGATCTTCAAGACAGCGTGCATAAACTTCTGGAAACTTTTACCACATGGAGAAGTCAAGAGTCTGAATCTTGTCTTGCAGGGGTTAGAGATACGATAAAAGACATTCAGACCTCCCAAAAGTAAGTAGAGCAACACTATGTTAAATTTTGTCCTTGTATGGCTTCATGTGGCAATGAAACTTTCTGTCTGTATGACATCGCTTCAAAATTTATGCAGGCAGGTTCTCTACCCCGCATTTATTTGAATAACTAAACGATATTCTTGAGACAGTTTTTGATTACAAAATGATCATCATCAGCTTTCAGAAGCTTCGATTTAGCTGTCGTGCTCAAATTTAATAACAGCCAGGTCAGATAGAGATCCTTGTTTGTTCCAAATTTTTTCTTAAAATATGCACGGCTATAATTTTAAAACACCGCTTGAAAATGAACAGCTTACGTTTAAAACTGAACAAGCTTGCTTTTTCAAAGACCTTTTTTTTGTAAATAGTTTTATACTTATCAAGCAAAAGCCTTCAAATGATTATTCTATTTTCGGGCTTTTTTGCTTGAAAATCTAGTTGTTGTGCATCGTATTACAAGAGCAATGCTGGTAGTGTTTCCTCAAGTTTAGGGATCCCCAGGATGCAGACAATATTAACTTTCTCTGAAGTACCAGTAAAATAGTTTCTAACCATTAATGATTAGAGGCCAGGCAAAAAAATAAAGATACAACAGCTTTTTGTCCAGGTTTTTAGTAAGCAGCCATTTTATAGAGGGAAACCACGCATGAAAAACATCTGTTAAGTTCAATGATAAACATGCAAAAATATGATCACCTGCTTCCACTTACAACAGAAAAAGCAAGAAATTAAAGGCCTCATAGGCTTGGAGATTGTCTATTTGAAAATCATTTAATACCATTTTTGGGCCATGGATTTCCCAGTGTAATAGTGTAGGCCTACTTGTTCTATGAATAATCTGTCAATGTTGTCTTTTAACCAATATACCCAAAGTTTTTACAATCCTCTTTATCAAATCAAATCTTATGCAAAGATCTTCAATTTCATAAAGCTTCAAATGTACATTTTAGAGTTATCAAATTCAAAACAAAGAAATCTACAACCAACACAGCTCCTCCTAACATAATTTGCACAAGCTGCATATGCAAGCATTTTCATCCTTTAGTTTTATTTGTTGTTCTAATTCAGATAAGGTATTGGAGTCTTTGATTGCTGTAGGTAATGTAGACCACAAGATGGATCTTCTGTACAGGCCTTCCTCTAACCAAAATAAAGGTGCTCCATTAAAAGCTTCTAAGAAACTAAGGCGGTCTATTTCACATCCCTCGATATAACCTTGGGAACATCCTTGGGAGTTGTGTAAAATGTTGCAAAAATTAAGCAAAAGTAGAAATTGGCTCCTTTTTGGTATTGATAATGGGGATTGAGCTCCTATAGCACCACATCCCTTGCCTTGGGTGTGATATTGTGTGGTATTTATTGGTATGTACATATCATGTGAACAGATCTCAGGTCATATCTACACATGTGTATTTTCCAAAAGTTTGCATTTTCTACTTAATGAAATCAACTGCAACGTTTTGCATGCAAGCAGAAATGGATATTTTAAGATGTGCTTCAGGCCTTTGCAGCACCTTTCCAGGCAAGGCCAGGTCCAAATTAAGTCATCAAGTTTGCATTCATATTTGTTATTTAAAGATTATGGCTTGCTTTCATTGTCTCAAATGGCTTCATTGTTTGATCTTGGTACCACTTCTTAATCAAGACTTTATTGTGAAATATTTCAGCTTCTTAATTCTGATTTATTCTAGCAAGTTGGAAAAGACTGTTGCAACTTTCACCAAACTTCCAGAAACTCAACCTGTTGCACTTGGGAATTGTGGTTTGATTTCGCTCCATCCAAATGAAGACAAATCTTCAATCTACAGGGATCTTGTTCAAGCGTATTCTTGGGTATCCAAGGTTTGCATCTATTTTCATAACCTTGTCTCTCAGTTTCTAACTTATTCAGTCCATAAAAACTTAATATCACCCTGATTGGCTAGGAATACGAAAGCATAGTTTTAAAATTCATTTATTTTTTGCTTACTCATCCAAACGATTTGAATGAAGAGCAAAGACTTCAAAACATGTAAAGTGTTCCATTTCATCTCCATCTAATCTCCATCTAATCATAAAATGTTTGATCTGTGATGATCTAGTGCCATAGGGGCTTTATAACAGTTAAATCATGAATCTCTGTGTCCTTGAGTTAGGAGCAGAGAGTTCTTTTTTCATATATGGTTCCAGTTTATGGCAGTATGATCACTTAATAATGTAGATGTGTCTCTGCTTAAATAGATGAATCAAATTTGGAAATTACTGCCCCAGACAATGTTTTGTTCTGGAAAACCATGTTCTACCTTTCTAACAACGACTTTTTAATCAACTAAAATTTTGTCTTCTACTTTTAGTTTTTCAATGATACTTGTGTTTGAAAAAGGCTTGTTACATCATTCAGAAACTTGTATATCTTATTTGACAATCATGAAAAAGATTTTAGGGAAAACAGCTGGTTGAACTTTTGAAATTTCAAAAAAACTTTGATTCAATAGAATTGCACTTTTGTATTTAATTGGTCAGCAGTTGTTTAGAATTTAAAAACTTCAAAAACTGTTTCTTTTTGTATTTGTTGATTCTACGCTCTATGTTTTCACATCAATGGAAAAGGAAATTAGGGTTCTTTTAATGAATTTTAATGAATTTGTGCAAGGTGATTGCTGATAAAGTGGATTTTTTGTTTAGCTTAATGCTGATGCAAATCAAGCACTGAAAAAATTAAAAAGAAAATACCCAGAGCCAGAGATATTTCCATTTCCTACAAGCAAAAGGCCCAAGGATTCTTCTGGGTATGTATTTTTAGATTCTAGGGTTTTTCCAAGTGTTATAAGGTAGAAGAGAATTATGTGAAAACTTTATGTGGGTTCTGTTTTCCCTTTGTTTGTTTTCTTTTATTACCCTAACCATTAAGTTTGTTTAATGTTTTGTTCCAGGCTACCAAACAAAAACCGTTAGCAAATAAGAGTAAGAGTAAGCATATTTCTACCATTGTCAATCATAAGGCTGAAGGTGGTGTTTTATAATCGTTTTGACCATTTATTTTTGGGCTGCCAGTGCCCCAATCGCAAAGACAGCCATAAATAAAAACCCAACCGTTTTTGAAGGGGTTGAGAAGAAAAATCAACGGCCTTCCGCCGAGAAGCAACACCTTGTTAATGCAAAAAGTCGCAAGCCCTACAGCCATTAACTAATGCACAAAGACAAGAAATAGAAAGTTAACATGCATGTAAAAACCTGAAAAATACCTAGATATTGGTTGGGTGGGCAGGGTCACAAAGGAAAACCCTTGCTCTCCATAGCCCAACTTCAGATTTTCTTGTAACATTTGAGAATGAAACTATGCCAACATAAAGTTAATATACCCACTGCCAATGTGCACTTGCACGCTTGTTGCTTTGGCCGTATAAAAGACACAATGTAATGCTTACTCAAGCACTGCTATAATAAATACAATGTGCAATCTGTGCCAAAAGCAAAGCTCAAGGAGTACTGAAAAAGCGTACCCTGTAACATATTAAACATGATTGAATTTCATTTAATTAAGCTATTCGTTTTAAAACCCATTTGTTCTAAGGTATCAAGCTATTTAATTTTTAGCTTTATTAGATATGAGAAGGTTTCCTGATGCTCATCATCCAGCTTAGATAATTTATTGTCTGTTTTTATTGATATTTGGTTGAAAATTATGAAATAGAACCATGATATAAAGATTTGTTGTCACCAATAAAATGTATTATTTCTTAATGACACAAGACAATTGGATAAGATCCATTGAAACCAAGCTATGATTCATTGACTCTCTTAAGCTTCATTTATTTGCTCTTTTACTCAGGCTACCTCATTTTATTTTGTTTTCTAGGTTGCTGCAAGGTATTTGTCAGACTTTACAATCACAATGTCCAGATTTATTGATAAATATTCCTGACCAAAAAGTTGCATGTTTGAAGGTAATTTCAAATCACCCTTTTTTATTCTGCTTATATAGTACTGTCTAGAAACTGCTATGTCATTGCTGTTGCAAATCCTTCTTTAATGGCTTTATTATTTGAGCAAGGCTTACATATCTCAATTCCGTTTCAGTACAATTAAAACATTTGTCCATGAAAATAAATGCATATGTTCTTTTTACAATAAATGAATATGCCTTATGCAATCCTTGAAATTGCTTCATGTTAGTCTGATTTAGTGTTCTTCCCTTATTGTAACAACTAACATTAAATAAATTATACAATACAATCCAATACAGTACAGTATAATACAGTACAATAGAGTACAGTACAGTACAGCACAATAGAGTACAGTACAGTACAGCACAATAGAGTACAGTACAGTACAGTACAGTACAGTACAGTACAGTACAGTACAGTACAGTACAGTACAGTACAGTACAGTACAGTACAGTACAGTACAGTACAGTACAGTACATTACAGTACAGTACAGTACAGTACAGTACAGTACAGTACAGTACAGTACAGTACAGTACAGTACAGTACAGTACAGTACAGTACAGTACAGTACAGTACAGTACAGTACAGTACAGTACAGTACAATATAATATGATGACATTTGATACAATGTTGTTTCACTCTTATGTATTCCACTGTTGAATTCACTTTTGGATCAATTAAATATCCTCCACAAGGTACAATAGTAAAAATATGCAGAAAATATGTAAAACAATTCTGTTTGCTCTTTTTTGGATTTTATTCACTTTAGCATTCAGGCATCTGTCATGGGAACATCCAAATTAGGGGGCAGTAGCTGAACTGATCTTTTATGAAGCTGTTCATTAGAAGAGGCATTTTATCAGAAACAACGATATACTCTGGCAAGGGCATGCAGTTTTTGACTAGCTCTTAAATTTAAGATGTGACTCTTGAAATTAGGATTTTTTTCTATTATCCCCCCTAGAACTTTTTCTTCAGAGCTTTCTGAAACAATGGCCTTTCCGACTTTGGTCTAAATATTATCTTGGTTTGTCCTAAAAGTTAGAAGATGACACTTCTCTTTATTCAATTTCACAAATTTTCTAGAAAACCACTTTGATGAAGTAAGAGCAACAGTTTCTAGCTGTTTTTAAAACTTTATCCAATTGACAGTCAGCGGCGAAAATCGTGACATCATAAGCAAAGTTACAAACTGCACTATCAGTTAACATGAAAAATAAATCAAGAATGTGTAAATTGAATAGAAAAGGCCAAGTGACTGATCCTTGTGGTACATCTGCAAAGGTTTCTCGCCAAGTGCAGAATGAACCATTTAATTTGACCCTTTGTTTTCTACCGGACAGGTAATTATAAATCATGTTTGAACCATTTTGGTTGCGATATAAGCCTACTGAATAATTTTATGTGTTTATATGGCTCTGACGAAGGCTAGTGGCTTTAAAAGTCGTCACATTGTTATTTGAAAATACTTTTTTAGATTGTCATCAAAGGGGTCTTGTCAGCATTTATTCTGTTTTCTGGAGGCAGCCTTGATAGAGTCATTGTTCGTAGTGACACCGAGGACAGGCGAAAAGATGAATGCTTGGTATGTGCTGTATTGATATGGTATTATTTTATAGTTATTTACTTTCAATAGTTCGGTGCTCGCACCTTTTAGCTGTTTTATGCTTGCTCGCTCAATAATGTTCCTCAATCATTTCCACTTAAAAATTTAAACATGGTTCTGTACTTTTTCTCACTTTGGCATGAGGTGATACAATAGCGGGAATTCATTTTAAGATGGGGAGGGGAAGATTCCAAAAAAAGAACAAATTTGCCGAAAAATGACAAAAGTTACCGACAAAAGCGCTAAAAACTGTGTTTTAACCGACAATTAAGCAAAAGCTAGGGACTCTCGCCCCCAAACCGCCGCAATTTTCACCACCGAGTTGATATTGGTCAGCCTGGTATCTGTTTGTTTCCTCCGCTCCGATATTAAACGTTTGCTTACTAAAACATGGTTCATATCGTACTTCAATCAAATTGCTCCCTAAACTGCAAATTAGAGGCCAATGACACGAGAAAAGTCTACTCGGATCGAGTTTCATCCCCGGTTGAGATTGGTTTATAACTGTTGGCTTTCGTTGAAAGAAAATTTTCCAGCCAGGACGGGTTTCAGCTCTGTTGATTTTCAGTCCCAGACCTCTTTGCTTTTTTTGTTTAATCAATGTTAATACATTCAATTGCAATCCTTTTTTTGGTGTGTGAGCAGCAAGTAGTGCTGGAGAAGCAAGTCTTTTTGTTAGTAATTTTCATTTCAAGGTGGTTTCCATGATCCGCGACCCAAAACTGATTCATTAACTGCTTGTAAATACCAAAAGCATGCTGGTCGATATGTTGGTTCCAGGGATAATACAAAATATAGTCGACGATATACCCAATTTTCTTACACGCAATGCCAATTGGGTCTCAAGCTCAATTTTTGAATTTCATGATAAACGCCTTCTCTGTTAAATGCCTCCTTCTAAAAAATGTTCTTTCCGAACCACCAATATTTTTAAAACTCTCCCAGCTTCTGTTAGAGAAAATAAGGTAATTTTGCACTAGGTGTTGTTTTCGTTATTTTCCATTAAGCAGCAAGTTGTCCCTAACCATCCTTAATTGGAAAAGGTTTTTTCGATTGACTATGCTCATAATGATGAAGTTTAAAATCTTTTCTCTTCAGGATCTCTGGACGCCATCAGCATTTCTGACATTCCAAAAGGTCTGTTCAAATCTGACAGTATCATAAGGGGTTTAGTACCGTTTGAAATTTCTTTCATTTTGTTCTTTTTTGGTATTCAAACTCAAATCTTACTATGACTGAGTTTAGCGAAAAATGTTAACAGGATCAGCTATTGACAATTTTCTTCTATACAATTTATAAAATCATATTCACATTCTTATTCGTTGAATATTCAATTCTGAAAGTCTAAGGGCCACTAAATATTTGCTGATGGGCCAGATTTGGCCCACAGGCTGTAGGCGACCCATCCCTACTCAACACAAATTAATGTTTTCTCCTTCTTCCGTTTTATCCGCGAGAGAGACTTGTGGCAAGTCCATTCATGGCTCGACGATGCGGTGTAGAGGCTCTAGAATTTAGCAACACCACTGGTGTTTGCACTCTTTGAATATGTATTGATTGTAAAATTTAAACGCCTTAATTGGATCTGTTTATTTCTCCTATGCTTTTTCGTTATCATTAATTTTTCAGATTTCACCAATTCTTCTCAGTTTAGGGACAATTTGAAGCCATCTCTTTGTTGGTTGAAAACTTAAACTTGTATTCAAGCCAAACACCTCTTTTATCTGACAACAGATTTCCTTGGATCGAATTTTTCTCGGGTATGGCGACTTTGTTCACATGTAGTATATCTGCTCGTAGGTTACAGAAGTAAGTCAAGCCGCGCTACTCAGCTTCTATTCCCCTACGGAGTACCAAAGATCCGCTTGGCATTTGGTTGTAAGTTTCTTTGCCTTGATAAAAGTTATATGCTTTTTGTGCTTGGTGTATAGGGTAATGGTCTTTTGGTCGAGAGCAATTCCGTCCTACCCTTACATAACTATTACTATGACTCTAGATCCTGTGGTTGAATCTTAAGTCCCCTTGGAGCGGCGTTACCTTCCTGCCACAATGCGCAAACCATCTGTGCATGATGCGGGGACCCTCATCACCATGCTAACCGACCACATGCCTATACTCTCGATGTTCGAGTGTGTGTGTGTGTGTGTGTGTGTGTGTGTGTGTGTGTGTGTGTGTGTGTGTGTGTGTGTGTGTGCTGTAACTTGGACTATATACTCTTTGTGAACTTTGTGCAATACATATTTCATTTTTTCACATTCCTAACCTTTCAATGGCAATAACACTGTTATGGCTTGAATCTTTTTTCTTTGTCTAACACGGAAATCGATCTCAGGAAAGTGTTGCTAAGCCTTTTCAACAGCTAATATTCAATATCAAGAAAGGTTTAGCATATTGAAGCATTTAACTTTATAATTTTGTCGGGACATTACAGTTTTGGTGGCTAGTGCATCTGCAAACCATGTGTTTTGCTTTGTGTTGAACTTATAGACACTGGAATCGGTCTTACGAGTGACCTTGTGTAGAATCTCCCTGATAATTGAAATATTTTATGTCAACTTTGTCTGTATTTGCATTCCTTCATACTCTCTTGACATCTATCAATACTTTAAATCTGCATTGCTAACCAAACAGAACTCTTAAAGATGTCAAAAAATTTTTAGGCTACTTCATATCGGTCCAAACACACCATTTTGAGTGACCTGTAGTTAGAAGAAGCAACGTATGTAACTGCAGCCTATCGTGTCTTGGCAAGTGGCCTTTCTTTGCATCATACGCGCTGGTGACCTACAATTGCTGGGTGGGGTGGTTCCAGAATAAAGGCCAATCCCCATTGGGCGAATTTTACACTTTTTCGCCGGCGAAAGGTTATGAGCATGCGTATTTGAATTTTTTGTTTCCTGTGCTGTGTGCTACGTTCGCCTTGAGAGTTCAAACTATTTGAACTTTTTTTCTCTGTCGCCGGCGAATTTGTGGCTGAGTCCCAAAGTAGCTTCGTCTTGGATGAAGAAATAATATCATTTCTGGTCGCAAGCGGAAAAATCACATGAACAACGATTCACAATCGACATCATTTCAACCTCATACTGAAGTCCTCTCTAAATTTCAATCGCAAAATTTAGAAGCTGCTCCTGTACAGCAACACCTTCCATTTGCTTTTTGGTTTCTTTGTTTTTTATGCTTCAACAAATAAAGCATAATCGGAATATTTGTGTTTTTGTCCGACATCTTGAAATTCTGCTTTCCATTTGGCACGCCAAGCTAGTGCGTCATGAAGTTCTCGCTTTTCGTCAGCGCAAAAGCGAGAAAATTTCGCCCATTGGAGAATGACCTTTAGTGCACGCAGAGAAACTATCACAATTACAACATCTGTTTTGTGGGAGAGGGAGGGTAGTGGTAGGGAGAGGGAGAGGTAGGGAGAGGGAGAGGGAGGGGAGTGGTAGGGAGAGGGAGAGGGAGAGGGAGAGGTAGGGAGAGGGAGAGGTAGGGAGAGTGAGAGGGAGAGGTAGGGGAAAAGGAGGGGAGAGGGAGTGGATGAAACGTAACTAGCTTGGTTTTTGTGAGTGTCGCAGCATCTTTTTCCGGAAATGTCGCCTTTTTACTGTTCATTACTCTTTTAATTTATCAGATAATGTTGTTATAGTCACGTGCAGTCTGTTGTTTTTTTGCAGCAATGGCTTTCATCTTACAAGACGCTCTTCTCAGATAAATGCGACCAGTGCAATAGGCACCTGAAAGTGGAAACTGCGGAGGGATATTTGATGCCACCATGTTGGAGAGACTTTCTAACTCATAAATCTTATCACACAACATGCAGGTGACAACATTATGAAGGTCTTGATGAAGAACTTCATTCTTCAGTAGTTTTAACAAGTATCCGATATAGCCGCATTCCATTTCTCCTTTTTGACGAATTTCAATCTTCTAGTAAAACGAGGAGACTATCTGAACCAATATTTGTATTGAAATTTTTAAGATAATATGAGATAATAGAATACACCAATTCAATGATCTCAAAAAACATTAAATTTCTTCGTATCGAATGTTTGCCTTTAGGTTCTGATTAAGGACAAGAATTTTGGTGCAATGCAAGTTGTCATGACCTTGATGCTTGTGATGTTGATTTTCTGGCAATGGAAAATAAAATTTATAAGGCAAACTTGAAGTTTTGTATTGGTGTCAAGATTGTTGGAAATGAATTACAGAATTGAATAGATTGAAAAAACCATCGCAAGTTATTACATTGAGGTAATTGTACCTTTGCTATGCATTATCTGGTTGCCTTCCTTCATGGTTGGAAGAGTGGGAACACAGTTTGTTAGAATAGGGGATGTGTGCGGGATTGGTTAGGGGTGTGTGGGTGTTCTATTGGCTAAGAGATGTGGATGTAGAATTGGCTACTGGAAGGACTCTTTCTAAACTGTCAAAAAATGGTGCTTGCATTAATTTACGTGGAATTAGGAATAAATAAGAAGGGAAACAGTTGTGTTGATTTTTTTCCCTGTTTGCTCCACTGATTTTGTAAGCTACCTTGGTTATCTAGACAATGTCTGGGAATACCCCTAGCGTTAAGATACGATATAGTATCGAATTTTTTGCTGCGAAAAACAGATTATAATGTGAAGATATGATTTTTTAATAATGTTTTCTATCAAGCTTTACGAAAATTGTTGAGATTTTAATACGATACTTGCTTTCTTCATCTGCTCTACACTTTACAAAATTTTCGTTTTTCTACCTGTGACATAGATGTTGCTTGGATAGGAGGTGTGTAGAATTTAAAATCAATAGATTGTGGTATTTTATTGAAATTGTGCTTCGAATATGAAACTTTACAGTGTTAATGTGGATTCCAATTTAATTATGCTCCAGAGTGTTTGCCAAAGGCTCAATGAAACATTTCCTTGATCGCGAGAAAACATCTCCTCTGTGATAATGTGATATCCAGATTATATCCTTGATAGCAATACCCTCTTTCTGTTGTCTGATCCATTTGTTTGCTGGTTTACTGGCTAAGGAATTAGAGCCACCAGACCACAAAATAAGCCGATGCATATCGAAACAATATTAAGTACATATTTGATTTGTTTGAGAAGCAAAAATCAAGAGGGAATTGCGTGGGTGTTGCGAATCCGAAAACAGGGCTCACTTTGTTACTTGCTTTTAAAGAAACACATCACGACGCGACGCTGAATATTAGAACATTTGAAATCCTGGCAGTAAAGGACAGTTTGTGGGGTGGGGGATTTGTTTGGATTTTGGATTGGCTTACCATCTTACCACCTAACAAGCAATTTGTTATCACCGAAAATTTGTACGTGGCAGTACCCAGTCATAACCTCCCTGAGCTTGTCGTTCGATATCCCCCCTTGGGGAGGATAGGTCCCTGACCTATGTAATGTACGAAGCTGTTTCTAATGTTTTTCAAATTGCTGGGCGATGTGATGTAAGGTGGTTGCTTGTTGGTTTAACGCGCAGCATTTTGCTTTTTAATTCAAAAGGTATTACTAGTAGGTTATTGGTTTTGCCCTTCCTTTCATATTCTTAAACGTATTCAGGATCTTCTCTTTAAAAATATCTTGAATACGCATCTTCATTGCCTGCCCCTAAATTCGTTTCGTTAGCCCTATAGTGAATTATTTGGTCTAAGGCGTATTAAGGTATGAAGTAACTTTGCTGCATGGATGAATTTATAGATGAAGCTTTTTCCGCCAAATATAAGGGGGTGGGGGTTAACCCCATAAATCCCAAAAACAAAGGGATTTGTCTTTCCCTCTCTTGGCAGTTATATTTAATGTAACTAGTTTTGAAAATATGTTGAAACATTGATATGCTTTTTGGTGTCTGGCGTTTGCAAGGGTTCAGCTGCTTAAACAATTCTGCCAGCTGTTTCTTTTTGTTTACGTTTTCTTTTCATGTGATACCTGCCCTTAACTTGTTATGTTATTTGCATTTGTATGCAAAACAAAACATATATGTTGTATTTAATTGAAAATTAAAAGTATTTGTAACTATTCATGTCATTAAAACAGCTGGCTTTATCAAAAATCTCGTTGATTTAAAATGCAGCAGGGACTAGGGAAGGCGTTATGGTCTCCATTTTGATACCTTTATAACTGCAATGTTTTCTGTCTCCCTAATTCTTATGATATCAACATCAGGCAAACTCGCACTAGAAGAGGGCAACGGAGGCAAAGCGCCAAGAAAAAGAACTCAACAATATTAAAAAAAAAATGCTTGATTTCACAAGGGCAAAGGGGGCCGCTCCCCCCCCCCTCGCTGCCCCCTTGGTGCAGGCACCCTTGATCAGCATATGATAATACCCCATTGAACAACGAACCGGTTTTGTAGTAAAAAGAGGGACATTGTTTTGTCTTGTCTACCGTTAAGATATGGACAAAGGTCCTCTGAAAGTAAGCGTGCGTGCTCCGGTCCATCAGCATTTCAGTGCCCCTACTCCTGCAGATCTGTTCACTTTGCCCCCAGTACGGTAAGTACCGGCATATAAGAAACCCCCTTTAATCAGAAGCAGGCTTCATTTTCTCAAGAAAGGGCTCGTTATATATGAAACAATGCTAGGCCTAAAATTAAAATGTTTCTGGTTTTCAAGTATAAACAATCACGTTTTATGTTTCATTTCCTGCTCATGACTTATGTTGGTTGTAGTGTGTGTATTCTATTGATATGACAACATTATATTGTACAGTGTGTGTTTGCTGACAAAACTACCAGTAATATTGAATACACATCCATGGACGGCAGTAGCGGCGCCACGGGGGGACTGGGGGAGGGACACGTCTCCATTTCTCAACAGAATCGATTTTGTATTTCGTCTAATTTCGATGAGAAAATGTTCGGGGAGGGGTAATATTTTAACACCGTACTTTTTGTGATGTAATTCTATGATTTTCAAACTGACAATTTTCAAACAAAAGTTAGTCATAGGCGTTCCCTTCGGATAAAATTGGCGTTCCCTGTTGGTAAAAGGGCGTTTTCTGGTGGTCAAAAGGGCGTGGCTTAATTTTTTTTTGGTTTGTGGCTGGCGCCGCCATTGATAGACAGTGCTGTCAGCTTGAGTTGACTTGACGGTATAAGAAACTTTGCACCCCTAATGATGAAAAGTAAGAAACGCTGTGAGGCCCCAGTTTAAAAAAAGGGGTTTCTTATATGCAGGTACTTCCTGTAAACGCGCCCCCGGCAACAGCGCTGGTCGACTTTGTTGTTAACGTGTCACTATTTGGTGCCTGTTTACATAGCCGAACAACTCGAGTCAAACAAAGCCAGCTCAACTGCAGACTCTGCTTTGAAAAGTTATGGCCATTGTAGCGCATGACGGCAAGTAATTGAAAAAGATTACGGTAAGATATTGATTCATCTCTTGTAATATTGCTCTTTAAAATCTTAGGTTCAAGATTCAGGACTTGTAGAAGATGACTTAGAAGTCGCTTTATTTATTTTACTGGAGTCATTTCTACTCTCATTGAGATAAATTGTATGCTCAAAGAGTAAATGAGCATTATATTTCTTGAATCATTGACTGGAATCATATGTGCTCAACGCTGCACGTCTTGAAAGCATTTTTTGGCAATGGCAGCCCCTCAACTACAGTATTTGCGTGGCATTATACATTTTTTGGCAAGGTATGAATGACCGAAAAAGCTACTTTATTTGGAGTCTATTTTGTCCATTGGGACACAGAATCTATTCAGTGATAGGAATTAAGCTGTGTGATTTGTTCATAAAAGGATTTTTACGTTACGATCTTGTGCAGGTTGTTCCGTTAACCTTCACGTTTGTTACACGAAAGACCCTTGTTGATCTGGGCTCTTGGCAGGTGATCGTGAAACGGAAGAGTTGGTTACAGTACAGGGGGTCAAATATTCTTCAGTCTTGCACTATAACGTCTATAACGTGTTAACGTCTGCACGCTTGCCATTTCGTAGTGTATAATGCTACTCAAAACAAGATCAAGGGAAAAGGCAGATGTTTGAAGGAAGAAAGCGGTAATATTTCTCGTTCTGTGACAGTCAGGTTATCAATAATGGGTTGTGGAGGAAGCGTGCCAGTGTCCCGGTTGACACAAAACAGAACCGGTGAGTAACTATTGCATCTTCAACTTTGTTTACTTCATTGAAACCTCCATAAGTATGGCTAACACCTGTGGCAACAAAATTATTGTCCTTTCTAGGCAGGTGTCCGTTGTGTGGAGATGAATTTTACCATGATAATATACAAAGCTTTGATCGCAGAAAAATTGTCTGTGGATAAAATTATTGCTCCCATGTTAGTAAGTGTCCGTTATTTGCAAGGGTCCGGTATTAGGAGACGTCCGCTAATGGCAAATTCACGCCATACTCACATAGAATTGTCATAATGGGTCTCGTGGCAAGTATCAAATGCCTCAGCTAATCCAGCCTTCAAATAACAACTATCCTTTTTAATAAATGCGCCATAATTTCGAAAAGTTCTGTAAAGCAAACTCTGCTTTGTTTTTGGATTTTACAAAATTTCATTGTTCTCAGTTTTATCACGATTAATAGTTTCTTAATTTTTTTGCTTCGAGTACTGAAGTTTCTTAATTTTTTTTATATTGTCTAGTACTCGTTTCTTATAGCCAGTTTATAATAAAAAATGAGCGTACAGTGGAATCCTGCTCTTACCAATTCGGTCTGGACCAAAGATCAAGTTCGTAAAACCGACAAATCGTTAAGCAGAGAGTATTCTAAAGGACAAGATTTTCAGTTCTTACTAGCAAGAAGTTCGCAATAAGCAGGATTCCACTGTTTTCGTCCCGCTTAAAATCGAATTAAGAATTTAGACTCACATACGCATAATTTCAAAAATACCACATCGTTTTCAAACGACATTTGATGAGACTTCAACCTAACTCTACTGTGTTAACGGCAACCAGTAGATATATCCTCTCAGAATATCACTCAACAACTAGCTTTATTCAAATTAAATCAAGAAAAATTATTAGTTCTTTTGAACGCGTGACACTTTTGAACAATTTACTGTGTGGGGCTACTGGCGCACCCAAGATCTGTCAAACCGCTATGTTCTGCAAACTGGAGAATATCGAACCCCCTTTTTGGCCCTCCTTTGTGTTTATCAACGGGGGCCAAATGTAAACACAGATGATCATCTATGTAAATATCTGCCCGTACCGGAGAATGGCTGGGCCCAGAGAATGGCTGGGCCCGGAGAAGCTGTATCAAGACTTGTAAACGAGCTTCAAAATAAGAACCACGGTACCATCCGATGACCATCACAATAAAAAATGCAAGAAAGTTTAACAAATGCAATGATAATACCTTATTACACGAAAATAATGCGGTACAATAATTAACGCAAATTGAAAAATCCCACATTAATTAGAACCCCGTTAATTTCATATCCGCGTAAATTCTTATCCGTTATTAAATGTCTAACGTCAAGTAAGTATCCATTTATTTCATCCAACTATAACTTTATAAGCAATTTTTCAAAGATACGTAAAAAGCTAGAATTTGCGATTATATCTAATATAAATCATCTAATCTGAAAAAATAAGAATAATAGAAAGCGTCCAAAACGGAAAAAGCCAGAAAGCGTTCTTTTCACACTTTCCTACTTTTAAGTAAGGTACAAGAGCAACTAAAAATAACTTTTGAAACATTTGAATTTCCTCATCTTCACATGTCTCCACTTGAAATCCTACACCTTCATCTTCCTCAATCTCTAGTTCTTGTAAAATATTTTTCGAATCATCAACATACTCTCCGGCCAGGGGATATTAGACCTCTTTCAATTTAGCCACTAAAATTAACAATTTTTCAGGCTTATCCTACCTGGCTGATACCTTTAATAGAATTTCCCGAGGGGCGAATCTCTGCTTAAAATCACGTACGCTCTCAAGAATAATCACATTTTAATAAAAAATGTCTTTTACAAGGTGTTCAACAACTGTTCACTGTTTTTCATTCCAGGCTATTTGCATCCATGTTGCTAATGTCCAGGAAAGATAGCTCTATTGATGCAAATTCAAATTCTTATGAAAAAAGTTGACGGCCCACTAAAAAGAGCACATGCATTTGTATCTTTGGTCTCATTCATAGTGGTGTCGCTTGACCTTCCAGACCAGGGGGAGGTGTAGGGTCATCGATAGAAAAATTTACCGACAAAGACAGGTGGAGACGAATTTAGGTGCTATTTCATCTACTGATAGTTGATTTTACCGACTAGCTAAGGATTTTGTAGACAAACTGAAGTTTTACCGACGAATTCATGAAGTATTGGGGGAGGGGGGTGTTGCACCCTCTTCGTTTGCAAATCTGCAACGGCCAAATTTTTTTCTGGATCCACCCCTGTGCTGAACTGCTAATCTTTCTTTTTCAATTTCATATATTATTTAGTCAATTAAATCGTTGACGACGTTTGTTGAGCATGAAATTATTTGAGAGCACTTTTGAATCTATGATTCAGTTCTAAAGAATCAAATATTGATGAAAAACATTAATCACTTTTACCACTAAAAATCAAATTAATCACTAGTGATTATTAATCTCGTACACCATTTACAAGAGTGATTTGCCCCTCAGAATTTCCAATCAACCTTGAGTTGAAGTTTTAATGTAATTTTGCCTTTTCCTGGACTTAATTTGAACGTATTCTGCAAACATTGAAAATTCACGTTTATTAAATACTTTCTAAATATTTCAGTTTCATTGATTCGCTTTAATTCGATTGGTGTACCGCGTTATTATTTTCGTCTTCTGCTTCACTCAAAGACTGCCATATGATCAGACATATTTTATATAGCATCAGATGGTTTCTCTCATTATAATGTGATTATTGCTTAACCATAGGCTTTTCGAAGGGGAATTAGCTGCTGGGGCAAGCCTTTGTTTATAGAAATAGCAGATCAATAGCCTATCGTCTAAGACGATGGAGAGTCACTAGGGCTGCAGAGGCAATCCCCCACCCCCAAGTTAGCTTGTTAAAAAAGCCCTGTATCTAACCCAAATCTCTATGTTACTTTCACCTAAACCAGATGGCTCCCATCGGCAGAGTTGTTTAACGTTTGTACAAATGTCGCGGTAATCCTTTCAAATTACAAACTCCTAATTACCAAAAACTAGTAAACTAAATTCTAGCCACAAGAACTCTAAAAACACAACTTGATAATTTAGTAGCTTTTCATAGTGACACACACACGTATCCGCGCAGATATCTCTCTTTCTCTGGAGGGATGTTGTCTTTGAAATGGAAAGTGACAAAGGCATGGTCTGGAAATTGGCCCACGATTATCTATCTACAAGCCCTAAGTATTTGGCCTTGCAATGCAATATGTTATCAAGCCTTTATTGTTTGGAAGCATCACAAAAAGTCCTGGGCAATCTTTTGTAAAGTGTCCAGTAAAACTTCGGACAAACATTTGGACAACTGCCCAATTAACCCAATTTTGCTCATGGTGCCAGACTTGAATTGTTGTTTTCCACAACTGCTTAATGTAGAATTCATCACTGCCTTAATGAGATCATTTTTTATTCTTATTTATTAATTCTACAATTAGCTACTGCATATAGATTTGTACCCGGAGGAGAAGGAGTGAAGAGAGGAACTTCTCCTCCGCACTCTCCCGCAACCCCCTATTTCCTCGACACTGACGCTCTGGAACCCAGGGTAATAGATTTGTCACAATAATTAACAGTGTAGATCATGCATGCAACAGTTTTCTTTAAATTCGAACCTTAGCTCTCCCAAAGCTCCCAAGAATCCAAATTCTTCTTTAGGAAGGAATGTTTTTCGCCAAAACTAGCGAGTCATAATCTTCGTATTCAAAATTCCCTTGTAATTTCAAAGGTGAGAGCTACAATTTATGGAATCTGATCACTCAGTTTCCAAGGGCCGAAATTCTTGAATCCATTTCGTAAATGATCTGTAGATTCCGATCAGTAAATGAACTGCCTTATGCAATCCATGAATTTGCTGAATTAGTGTTTATCCACAATTGTAACAACTAACAATACAACATAATGCCCTTCAATGATATACAATACAATACAACATAACACAACAAAATAATATACAATTGCGGAATTGTTCATTCTAAGGAAATCGCTTAATCAATTTCAGACTTACAATATTTCGAGAAGCACCCAAAGTTACGTGACAAAAGAGAGAGTCTCTCGATAGAGGAGGCACGGAAAAGGCGTGCAGAATGTGCCAAGGAAAGAGCTCGACGGGCCAGTGTTATGGGTCACCTGGAAGCTGAGAAGCTTTCCTACAGAAAGCGCTCCAATGCATCCATGATTAATGTTTCAGGTTTGTCTATATCATATCATCTGTAAGGTCATGTTTGCCAAAAATCTGTGAAGGATAACTCTGATTTGCTTTCAAAGAAGTTCAAAGTTCTAGTGCAGTTTCCTTTCCTATCAGCGCTTGCTAGAGAGTTGCTCGGCAGTTATTTTCGATACTCCATAGAAATGATGGGCGTTTCCCATGTTTTCAGAACAATCTCCTTGAAGAGCGTTTTCGTACTTTCATTAAGATCTACTAACATAAAGGAAGCGTTTCACGGTGTACTACTTATGTATGTTACCCTGCCTGCATTTAGGCCTTTGTCGGAAGACATAGCTTGCTCGGACTGACGTACCCTGGGTACCAGACTTCAGGGTAGGACTGAAGTAACATAATACAAATATTCAGTGCTAGAGTTCCCTTTGAATGTATCTTATTTTGGCTCCTCGACCACTGTCCCGTCAATAGCGAGATCCATCCACGGGCATTAGAGCTCTCTAAACTTCGAGTAAATAGCCAAGTCTCCTTATTGTTACTTTTACGATAGCGCCCTTTAGAAGCAGTCCCTTCAAATTCAGCAAAACGTCCGCATGCAAAGAGACTAAGCTCCAGATGGTTCCAGATGAAAATTTTAATATACTGGCAGATTATCAGAGTTCGATGAATATGATTCCTGCATCAATACATCTTGGTCATTTGTTTTATTGTATAAATCCGCGTGGATTTAACATTTAAGCAGTAATGTTGCCGAATTTTTAGCATAATTCCGCAATGTTTGTAAGTTAAGATACACGGCCATTTATAATCTTGTAACCATAGGCTGACCAGTTTACTTGACAATCCTTGAATATTTACATCGACATTTTTGCTTCCAATAACACTGATGGAATAGCATGACAGATAGATACAACTTTGGTTGCATTCGTCCACCCAGTGCCATCACTCAGTCATATCCAGGGGATGCCAAAGTTTGGGCTAAAGGAACGTAGCCCTCAACAACTCACAAAATGTTCATAAAACCAGACCGAAAGAATCATCTTGCTCTTTGCTTTTAAAGCAGGTTGAACTTCCACAAGAAGCTTTTAGCGCGCTCCCCCCATACGGTATATGCTCAAGGGCGCATTGGGAGTCTATTTTCTATGGGGGGAGACGGGGTTGGCTAAAGATAATATTTTCCAAAAAATTCCGACGAAGTAGCAACACTTCCGAAGTTTTCCGACGAATTCGGTTCCTCGTTAGCCCCTCTTGGCCCTCGGGCCACTGCGGTATTGCATATGATCTGTGGTCCCTGGTCATAATTAGAAATGGCGAATCATTTTTACCTTGTTTCCTTTCCCCAGTGGAAGAACGTATTGGTGACGGGTTTGAAGGGTATTCAGCCCAGAGGTGTTTTTTGACGCAGGTTCAGTAGGAAAAAATTCGTAGTTTTGGAAAATCGATAAACCTATTGTCATTGTCTGGTCTATAAATGATATCTAGATTTGATGTCTCTTGCTTGTCAGAAAATCGTGGGCCTTGGCCTCGTTCCCCCAGATTGGTATTTCTGTTAATTAACGAATATCTGCTTCAGACACTCAGATCTAATTATTCTGTTGATGTATGTTTGTCACTGAGGAAGGAAATCAGGAAAGTAGTTTTTTCAATTACTTCCATCAATTCTGACTTGAAGAAAAGTTTGCAGGGCAATTTTCTTCACGGAGTAGGCACGCAAAGCAACATTAACCCTGGGTACGGGAGCCTCTGAAGACTCGTATCAGACAATTCACTTTTCTATTCAAATCTTTAGCAAGTATTACTTCTTATTAGTGGCCTGATCCCAGGGTTTGCTGGGGCAACTACCCCACCCAACTTTTGTCCAATATACTCGAAACATTCCTTAAAATGCCTCAAACATTGGCCAAGTTTGTCAAAATTGAGTTTACAAGATATACCAAGCATGCTTTTACAGGGCACTCTAAGTAAAAAGTGCCTCCCACAACTCTTTTCTAGGAGCCTCGTTCCAGATACCTCATTTCTACACCCAGTGGTAGCTACAAAATGATTATGAGCCTCCTCCCCACTATGAATCCGGACATTTGCCTAAAATATCAGATATGTAAATCAGTGGCGTAGCTTGACCTTCCAGACTAGGGAAGTGGAGGGTCTTGAGTAGTAAAATTTACCGACAAAGACATAGATAAAGAGAAATTTCGGTGTTATTTCACCTACCGATAGACGATTTTACCGACAAACCAGGTAATTTTTGCACCAGCTAAAAATTTACCGAAAAACGCATGAAGAATTGGGGATGTCATACCCCCTACACCACTCGCTAGCTACACCCCTGATATAAATAGAAAGTGGAAGTAAAAAGTCTGCTCTAGCAAGAAACTCGGATAACTTACTGTACTTGAAGGCCCACCAATCCAAACGCTCTATTTCCACCGCTCTTTATCTCTGCCTCTTTATTTGCTCGCATCATGCCACCATTGCTTTCCAATGCGAATTTTCAAATGTTCAATGTATTGTGAATTCAAGCATAAAATCTCAAAAGTAAAACAGTATTGAGTCGTCGATTACAACAATTTTCAATGCATATCTGTATCGTGGACATGATTCTCAAGCCAGATCGGGCAACAACCAACGGGAGCGGTTAACCTACTTTGCAATTCGAACATCAATTTTTTCTTATGATTGCCCCTTCTAAACCAGCATTAATGAATGGGCTACCATACTTGAACAAAAGATGATTTGATATATATGATACGATTAGCTGGTATCGACACCATTACCCTGGGTACCAGACTCACTATATATTTTATATAAAGTGAGTCTGGTACCCAGGGTACGACACCATTGACAAGAAAAAGTAGCCTTTTTGCTGGAGTGTCTCCCTACTCCTTAAAAGAAATCTTTCTGCTTGGCCAAACGATTTAAGATATGCTCAACTCTTATTACTTTGACTTTCATTGAATTTATTTATTTTCTTTTATAAAAAGCAGCGAATTTTACTGCAAATTAGGATCTGCTTTTTTTATGCTGAAGGTATTTCTTATCTTATACCAATTTCTAGCCCATTTAAGCTGTGTTAAAAGGATTTATGTTATAGTACATACATTTTGAATGAATTTTTGGATTTTGTTTTCGGATGAAGATCGAACTTTTTGGTTAAAGCAACCCCTCCCTTCCATTTTGTTTAATCGACTACATCATTTAATGTTTAATCGTTTAATGTAAAAGTCGGTGTGGTTATTTTGTATATAAAGGTCGGTATGGTTATTTTGCAGCGAGTGACGTGTCAGAGGAGTCGCGAATTCCGCCGTTTGAACCAAAACAAGGCGGATCGTTAACAACCTCAAGCGATAAGACAGCCAATACAGAAAGCACAGGGAACCCAGCAACTCGAAATGGTACCAGCAGTTTTACAAGGCAAGACCTATCACCTTTTCAATCAAACAACCTAAGAAGAACTCAGATCGAAATTACAATAAGCCCGGGATCTCGGCCCGGTTCATCCAAATCAGGCGGTTTGGAGGCGGACTTGCCGGGTATGGTGATAAGCAACGAAACGAAAACTAAGCCGGACCAACTGAACGAGAGCGAATTTGAAGAGGCAAATAGGACACGTGCGGCAAAAGTAATTGTCGATCGAGCTATATCAAGTGCATTAGCAAAAATGAATACTCGCTGACGTCGGGAAGACGGTAAAACTTTCTTTAGTTATAGTAACATTGATAGGGTTTTAAGGATGGTAAGTTAGCGCAATTTTTTTAAATTGGGGATAAACTAATTTTTGCTAACTCAACTACACAGTTAATTCCCTAAGCTCAACAAGTTATTAATCTTCTTCATCAAGAAGACTGGTAGAAATTTTTTAAGTAGAATAAAAAAATTCAAACAAGATATTTGGCCAAGCTGGATTACTTTCTACAGGAAAGCCTTTCAAGATAAATAACGTAAAGTTTATGAAATTGTGCATTTTTGTGCATTTTTTTACATTTGCCTTAGCAAGTTTCAAATAAAAAAACCCCCCTTAGAAACGTACCATGAAAATCTTTCCCGCAATTCTGTTGTACCTCATGACTAGTTATCAAAGATTAACGCATTGACAATGAAAGGGACCTGTGGGAACATTATCTCTCTACTATGATTATTTAAAAGTTTCCCTAGGACTTAGAATGGCGTCAGATGGCAAATTAAAAGGAAATTTCAATGCAACGCCAAATCCAACCTTGTTTTTTGCCTGGTTGCTTTTATTTGTTTTCAGTGCTCAAAGGTATAGTCCAGAGGTAGGATTGAGTCCTTCTTTGAACTCTCTTTTTTGCACGCCTTCTCCGAAACTATCCCCATCAAAATGTTTATCGATAGGCCTTTTCGTTCCACTGGCACCCTAGAGGTATAATCCAGAATGTAAACAAGGGTAGTGTTTTGAATAATTCCAACTGTATCATAAAAGAGATTAAAGAAGCGACGATATTGTTATTTCCCAAATTATAAAGTGTAACTAATTATCTGTACTTTATGTAACTGTAATCATCATAGTCGAGCAATATATATCTCAGTTCAGAGAAACAAGGTTCTTTATCACGACCCACCAAAAAGTAAGCTGATATATGTAATAATCTTTATATTTGATTTTTGTGAATAACATGCGTTCCTATCGATTAAGCTGAAACCGTTTTATGAATGACGTATTTTATCTAATAAACGCCCCTATCCAACAAACGCCCCTTTAAAACAAAATTTACTAAATAAACGCCCACCCTCAAATATACGGGCTACTTTTTGAAATCAAAACGATCACTTTCGTGTTTTATGCCGTTTTATAAGCAATGTCGAAAAGTCTATCAATTGTGTTGCACATTGCCTTTGTCGACTTTTGGCTTTGATGATACAAGAAACATCATGTTTCAAAGAGGGAAATGAGCTGCGCCCTGCAGGTTATGAAAAATTGAAAACCATCGCTCCTTTTGATTGCAACCAGAAAGAGGATCTATTTGAAACAGAAGATTCGGACGTAGAGGAGAATCTATAAACTGAAATTGATTCAGATAAAGCGAAGGACGAATTATTAACAATTGATTAAGTGATAAATTCTTCTTATTTAGCGTAGATTGATTTAAAAAATGATTAAATCTTGCAAAGACATTTTTCCTATAAATGCCTCTCTCTAATAAACGCCTCTCTCCAATAAACGCCTCTCTCAAATAAACGCCTCTCTCCAATATTCACTCCTCCTCATGTTAATAAATGCCCGGGCGTTTGATAGATCAAATACGGTACATATCTATGCATGGATTGTTTCCTGCATTGAAAAGTTAGCGTTGCATCTTTCATTCCATTTTTTGCAAAGAAATTATAATGTTTTTTTTGTTTTGGCTAAATCTTGAAACTAGGAGGTGCTGAGTTTGTGGCTTTGCATTAAGTATTTTATGCAATTTCTGCATTTGTGACTTTATCAAAAGTTGAAGAAAGTTTAAGACTTGAAAAAAGTAATTTCGTCAAATTCTGAGTTGTAAGGCTAAATGTTCTTTGGTAGAAAGAGCCTTGTACTAAACTAGTCGGGATCAGAAGGAGTACATCGGACTCATCCAAATTGATGGTTATGTTGAGAAGGCAAAACCACCTTGCAAGACTGAACACAGGTCAACAATACTGATATGCTAAACGACTGGCAAATGGTATAGCCTATTCTAGGGGGTTTTGAATGGGGGAAGGTGTGGAGCCTCGGGTGTGGAGCCTTAGGTGTGAAGCCTTGTTCTAAATAAAAAGAGGGATTATATCATGTTGTTCATATCAAAGGAAGGTCGCTAGGGCTTGAGAACCAAAAGTGTCACCACTAAACATGTAAAAGGAACGTCTGGCCAATGTCTGTCACAAATAGACAGTCTCGAAAACAACTGATCCGTAGGTCAATACGTAGGACCATTTTTTCTAATTTTTCCGAAATGTTTCTCAAATATTTGACGGAATAAGCATGGCATTACTTCGGTTTCTAAAATCTTTTTTTCAATAAAACCAACAAATAAAAACTTTTGGGCCCTTTCGGAAATTTTACAGCTTCTTGTTTTTTCTTGAGCCAAGTACTAAAGTTGCTTATTTTTCGGCATCTTTTTCATACAAGTTTCTTATAAATAAAAAAAACGTGTATTTTGGTACGCATAAGTGTCTGACGCCTGTTTTATGGGCGGCCTTTATGAATATCATTTGCGTATTTTAAGACATTATTTGAAGCCCATCGAAAAATACTGGCTGATGGTCCGTTAAAGAAATCTGAAAATAGATAGTGCGGTTGCAGTGGTTTGGGTAAAAAAATTAAACACGAGAATAATTGACGTCTAAATATGCGATGGGAAAAAGTAGGTCGCATAAAGTGTAAAAGAAGAATTTTAATAAATTCCACGCATCCAAAATTTCAAATTCCACGCAAGGTGAATGATTTTGCAGAAGAGGGGACTGGGAACTAAGCAAACAAGTGCGTCAATTTTGTTTTGATTTCTCGTGGCTAGTGACGTGCTAGTGATGATACAATGGTAGTGACAATTACATAAAATTGCCATGGCTTTCAGGGGCCTACAGCCTGGTTTTTGAAGCATAAGATGGGGCTAGAAAAGGTTGATTTCTTCGAAAAATTTGCTCTTTAATATGCTACTATACTGTTTTCTAAGTTTGCTTATCTAAGGAAAATCAAATGCAGCAAATTTAATAGCGTAAAGTCGCTCTGACACTAAGAGTGAAGAGTACTTGTTCTTGTGGAGGCTCATCCGTGAATTAGATGACTCTGTAGTCAACTTGCTCACTCTAGACAGGTAAACTGGCGGAAGAAAGTCTTCACGCGGAACTATTCTAATCTTGTGTACATTATAAATATAACGTTCGTTTTCGGAATAATTTCCAGTGTCGCAATAATATAGCCACTTCACTTGACTAACAGGTGTCTATGCTTGCTGTATGGTCGATGCCGTAAATCCTGGTTTCTTGGTTAGGCCTAACTGTCCTGCCTGAGGAAAAGGACCTAGATATCTGATCTGCAAAGAACGAAGTCTGTCTGTTCTGAAGAAAATGGATGTAGGTAAGTGTTGCAAGAGATCCTAAAGACTATCTTCAATATGCCTAAAGGTTATTCAGCATTTGGGTTCGTGGGCAACGCTTCGCAGCAATACACACACATACAGACATATTAGTACCACAAATTATCATGCTTTATTGAAGTATGTTTCATCTGTCTTTTGCATTTTAGTCTTTTATTACATGGTAAGGCAGCAGAATTGGGTTTTTCGAAATACATCTATAATCTTTCAAAGTAAAAGATTCTTATGCTTTTTTGTCATTATATTTTGAAGACAGCAAATTTTATAGTTTTGATCTAAATATCAGCCCAGTTTGGTCATCGTTTTGATTTCATCACAAAGTACGTTGGGCCTGTAGAGATTTTAATCAAAAATATTTTAGTATTCTGCGTTTGAATGAATGAAGGCTATGGCACAATTAGGAAATAAGAAATATGCTTTTCCTGTATGGCCACCTGTTTTTTGAATCTTATTAAATATTAAATGAGTTTTAACTGTTTAAGGATTTTCGATTCTTGTCAGGTGTGCATGCAAGACGTAATGTGATTATTTTAATGCCAAGAATCCTATATTTATATGCTGGTACCTGTTTCAAATAGAATGTCTTCCCCAGAAAGAGCAAAACATGTAACAATGAAACTTAATGGCTTGGTATATAACTTGGGATAATAAGAAGCAGGCCTATTGAATGTGAGGGGAAACTTTTATGTTACTGCAAGTTAGTTTGTTTTGAAATAAGTATTTAATTGTCACATTAATCATGAAGAAAAATATAGACAGTAAATTTAAGTTGCAACATGAAATTTGGTTGCATCAAACATCATTAGATATAAGTCAGTGGAACCTGGAAAACTGCAACAGACCCTTGTTACCTGACATTCTATAGCCTCTTGCTTTAAGAATTGGAATCTTGTAGCATATAGAATCTGTCCTCATAAGATGTTGTAGCTGTGTCCTATTGTTGCCTTAATCAAATCTGGGTTCACTTTTTGACTAGAAAACTTGATCAATCAAGCCATTTTTTAAAACAAAGTGTTTGATTTTTTGTTAGTTTTGGTCTTTTAACAAAATATGCCCTTTTAAAGCAAGGTATATATTTCAAAATTTTAAAAAGTATGCTGTCTAATTCTGTTTTTAGGAGACTGATAAATAAATCATCATCATAGAAAAGCTTTAAAAAATAGAACAATCAAGCAAATTGATAAATAACTTTCTCCTTTCTTTCATTTTTCCTCCCCTCTAATGGACATAAAAGTTCCTGAAATGAGGCAAATGTTATTAGATTCAAGAAATAAATAGCTGACAAAAATAACTGACTGGCATCTGGAAAGGGAAGACATCTGCTTTTGAAGGATTAAACAAACATAGTAGAAGCCAAAAACTGAATAGTCAAATTTATAACAGACCATTCCAAAGCACAATTTAAAAAGGTGGTAAAAAGAAGCTTCTAGCATTTTTTGAAAAATGCAAAAAACTTCTACTAGGCTAGTAACTGCATCTGATTTCTTCGTTCATCAAAATTAAGCTCATTTTTACAACTAAATCTTGTTCACATTGTGTTCCTCTAACTTATTCTTGTTTCTCATTGCAATATTGACAAGAGTGTTACTCTGCTTTTTAAAATTTACAAAATCTAATTGCCTCTTTGAACTAGTGGTATTTGTGTCAACCTTGGAAACCTGTTAAATGTCGATGAGATTGCCACATGGCCCTTTCTAAGCAGAAATTTTGAATAGGCCCCCTTTCTATTAGGCCTTCTTTTGAGAAAGGAAATAAAATGCAATCATTTAGCAGCAACATGTGATATCTATTATATAATTTGTCCAGTTGTGCTTTTAATTTCTCTAAAAGCTGAATGATTTAAACCAGTCCATGTCAAAGCATCCTTGGTTTGACTGCTGTAAATCGAAGCAAAACATCCACTGTTAAGAAATTCATAATAGCAGTTCAATGACCAACTACCATATAGTTTTGAAGCTATAGTATATCCAGTGGAAGTATTTCACAACTTTTAAGGGCATTACATCCCTCTACATACCTCAGTCTCTAAAATGAGCCTGTTATGGGCTTGATAGAGCATTCACTATAAAATCTTGAATATCATTGAAATTATATGTGAAGTTGACTGGTTCAAGCACACTGGGATTCAACTGATACAACAAGCACACAAAGGAAACAATTCATTTAAGACCACTCTTGGTATCATATTGTTTGCAAAATTCTATGATCTAGTTAAGTTACATTTTGTCCTTGTTCAAACTTTTCAGATTATTGAATTTGTATGCTTGCTAAAAATGAAAGCCTTTGGAATTACAGAACCTGCTCCTACTCATGATGAAAGCAAGTACAATTGTTTGTCAAATTTGTACATTGAGAAGAAAATTGGAAAGGGACAGTTTTCAGAAGTTTATAGAGCCAAATGCCTCATTGATAATGAAACTGTAGCTTTGAAGAAAATACAGGTAGATACTGGTATATTGTTCTTTTTTCCTGTTTAAGACGTAATCATTTTATTTTATATTGCAGGGGTACAATTATAAGTCTTACTAGAAAGGAACATGTCCACTTTTCTCAATCTTATTTTCTAAGCCCAGGGTAAGCAAATAACATTGACTTTTTTCTTTACTGCCTTCCCTCCCACATCCTAAAGCATAGTATGTTTTCTTGACACTGTTTTGAGAAGTAAGTTTGTCAATAAGAATTGATAAGGGGCTTGATTAAATTCTGATTTTTCAACTTGCTTTGCTTATTAATAACGGAAGTTTTATATCAATATACCAATTGGTGATCCTTCCAGAAACCTACCTAATGACTTTGATCCAACCAGATTTTCCAGATCATGGATCACAAGGCAAGAAATGACTGCATCAAAGAGATAGAACTTCTAAAGGTAATTTTTTTCAGTATTGTGTTATATTCAAGCTGGTAATGTGAGGGAAAGGCCTGGAAGCCTATGGCAAAGTCCTAACAAGGGAAATTAGAGAGGGGTTTGGAAGAGAAGATGGAAAGACCAAGCTTGCTAATTTTAGTTTTGAATAGAGACAGGCTGTAAAAGTCTGGGAAGCCGGAAACAGGAAGAGTGTAGAGCATTCCTATGTTCACAAGATCTAGGGAGAAAGGATAGGTTGTGGGGCAGAGTTTGTAAATTTGACAAGGAGAATTGAGAAGTCTGTGCACTAGAAAAGTATCTGGTATTAGGTTATGAATGTGATCTCCTGAGAGCAATACCCATGGTAAAATCTGTAGGGAATTGAGATATTGGCAACAAAGCGCCAGTACAAAGAGGCTGAGAAGAATTTGAAAGATTGCTGTTGTTGATGAGGCAAATGGCTTTGGATAGGATTGTGTCAAAGAGGCACATAAAAGATACGTCGCTACCTAGCTGCAAGCAGTAGGGTAGTCTCTTGTCAAAGATTTTCATAACCCTTGTTTTTATGCAAAGCTAATGAAACCTTTCATCATTGTTACATTTGTTTTGTATCTGTTTCTTGCAGTCCTTGAATCATCCAAATGTCATCAAATGTCTAGCATCTTTCATAGAAAACAATGAGGTCAGTTTTTATGTTATCATGTTGACTAATACATTAGAATATCAATCATTAAGACCTTTAAGGTAAATGAGGGATTCACTGCAAAGTATGATATTTAAAGATTATCTAATTTTATGCGTTTTTAGATGAACAATTTTTTGTTAGTTTATCTATTTTTTCTGTCTTAGTTAAATATTGTATTGGAGCTAGCTGATGCTGGAGATTTGTCAAAGATGATAAAGGTTTGTTTAATAAATATAGGAAATATTCAGCTGTTGCAAAAACTTTTAAACAGTCTTTTATCTGAACAGTTGATCTTTGTGTCTAAAAGGTTTCAAACAGTGCATGACAGTTTAGATGCCAGTTTCAAACAACTCAAATAGGTGCCAGTTTATGTGCCAAACAAATCATGCCTTGTCAGGAAGTATGCTTTCATAACATTGGCAGTTTTGATGCATATATGATTGAGTTATTGGCTGTTGAACAACCCTAGAATACAGAAAGGATTAGGTTTTAAACAAAAGCCTTATATGCCACAACAATAAGAGTGATGTTATACTGGGGTTCTTTTACAGTATGTAATTTTCTTTCCAGGAAACATATTCCTTTAAGTGCACTAAAATCTAAGTGTCAAAGTTTTTGAAAGATTATGGTGGGATCACTGTAAAGGTATCACTGTGAAAGTTGAAAGCCTGTTTAAACATAAGTTATTGGTGATTTTTTGAAATTTTCTTTGTTTGAGAAAGCATATTGGAAGTGAATAGGAGGTCCTGGTTACATAAAGTTTACAAAAACAACATAAACTTGGTTCTTAATATAATCTTTAACATGTCCCATAGGGACAGAGATTTAGAACGACCAAGAAAGTAAAAACCTTATGGCTGACCTGGAACAAATCATGATATTTCGAGTTTATATTTCTTGTTTTTTTCACCATGCAAGGCTGGGGTTAGCGATAGGGAATTCGTCCTTGCGTTTAGGATGTCCTCATTATTGTTAATTTTGTACAGTCCTCTTTTTAAGGCTATTGGTCAGAGTATCAAACCCCCTTGATTCCCGACAGTTTGAGTCAAGTCAAAGAATAGCCACCCAAACAGTCAATTTTAGAGTTTGTAGTTCTTGCTGAAGAGCTAAAGAGTTTAAGTTCTCCTACTGATCTTGATTGCTTTATACATATAACTGCCATACCATAATCCTTTCAAGTTCATTAAATTTGATTATTTGAAGGTTTTTGTAGCTTTGATAACTTTGATATTTTCAGCACTTCAAGAAAAACAAACGACTTATCCCAGAAAAAACTATATGGTATGTATGTTGTAGAATTTGTCATTTTAGGGGGATTTGATATGCTGTTTGTCCTTGAAGATAAAAGAAGAAATTTGTTGAGATACCTTCAGATGCCAGTTGGTTTCAAACCAAGATCTATTTATTACAGATTTCTCTTCTTGAAATTCAAAATGCTATGAAGGTAAATGCTGAAAATTCAGTGTTGTTTGTTTTTATTTTAGGAAATACTTTGTACAGCTAACAGCTGCACTTGAACATATGCATTCAAGAAGAGTGATGCACAGAGGTATTTTTTGTCAAGATCATTTATCGACTCTCATCAAATTTTTTTATGCCAATCTTTTTCCTGCATTATATAATTTGGAATTACTGCTTTTGAAGTTTGTTATTTGATCAAATGCTATTTTTGTTTTTTCAAGCTTCCCTAAATACCACAATGTAGTGGTATTTTGATCTCTTTTGCAATGCTTTACCATAATAACAATTTTTTTTGCTAAATCTGGATTTTATCTTAGATATCAAGCCAGCCAATGTGTTTATTACTGCAAATGGTGTTGTTAAGTTAGGTGATCTCGGATTAGGAAGGTACTTCAGTTCAAAGACAACAGCTGCACATTCATTAGGTAATGTATTTGGCAGGTGTTTTCCAGGTTTAGACAAGAAGATAGAGCTCAATATTCCAGTTTAATAATTGCTCATTAAACTAAATTTACAAAGTTTTTATGCTCTGCGATATAGAAAGAAAAAAGGCATATAAATAACTAATATGTTTCAACTAACCTAAAATTAAGGACCTGTTGTGGGAATGTTTCTAACTTGTACTACTGCCAGAAACCTTCCCATATCTTACTATTCTCTTGAAGTCTATCTAGAATGTGAACAATTTTTTTGCGGTACAAAATTTGAAAATGGCTTTAAAAAAAGCAAACATTTTACAACATACTAAAAGCTTTTTCGTCTGACACTCCTCAGAGCATAAAACTTCAGAATAGGTTCCGAAAAAACACGATGGAAAAATATATACCCAGTTGTGGATTCACAGTTGTGTACCAGTTGTGTGTTTCTATCCACAACTGGGTATATATTTTTCCATCGTGTTTTTTCGGAACCTATTCTGATGTTTTATGCTCTGAGGAGTGTCAGACGAAAAAGCTTTTAGTATGTTGTAAAATGTTTGCTTTTTTCAAAGCCATTTTTCTATCTAGAATCTAAAATCCTTGAGATACCCATGGTGAAAGTACAGCTACAATAAAATTATCTGTATTTCTGGTTTTTCAATAATTTTGCTCTCTCTTTCAGTTGGAACCCCATACTATATGTCACCAGAAAGAATTCATGAGAATGGCTATAATTTCAAGTCAGATATTTGGTCACTGGGTTGTCTGCTTTATGAGGTATGTGATAAAATGCTATTGTAATGAATTGTTTTAGCATATTAGACCAAAGAAGTAGGTCCCACATGTCTCAAAGGAAACCCTAATAGCATATATACTTTATAGCTATCATTCTTTAAAAAATATTTTTAATTCAGAATAAGCTTATTCCACCTCACATTTTTGCATTTTTGTTGATAGTCTTTACAGAAAGCTTTTCTTGAAAAAGTGCAATGAATTGTGTTCATTTATTTTTATGAATACAGGAAATGACTCAAAAAATATTTTTCACCTTTCATATCTACATTTCATCTTTTGTAAATAAATTCTCCAATATTTAATTTTGTTGCCTCTTGGGTAGCACATGTATAGGTTGCAAGTTGATTGGAGATCTTCTAAATTCAATCTTCTTTTTTTCATTTTTGACAATTTTGGTTGGTTTCTTCTGTGGTAACTTCCTCTTCACTTCAAGTCCACTTCGAGAAGTTGAAATTACATAGCACCCACTTGAAATGCAAATAAGAAGAAGGATTTGAACATATTTCTATAAAGTTTTGGTAATATTAGGTAATACTTAAACAGAAAATGCCTGCCTATCATAAATGGATTCCCTATAATGATTTTATTATTATGCCCTCCTGGACTGCCTATGAATATGATCACTCGATTTTAATGCAACTTTTAGTACCATCTGAGTTGAATAGAAGTCTATTAAGACTATTTACTTGTTTTTTATTGATAGATGGCAGCACTGCAGTCTCCTTTCTATGGAGATAAAATGAATCTTTATTCTCTATGCCAAAAGATTGAAAAATGTGAATATCCTCCCCTTCCTGCCGAATACTACTCTGAGGAGGTAAGCTTTGCTAGTAAGAAATTGAACTTCAATAATAGTTGGTTCCAAAAAGATTGAATCATATCTTAGGCTTTCAGATCAAATTCTTTTACAAAATATTTTCCTTTAGTTGGACTGACCCCTACGTTTCAAAAAAATAATTTAATCAAAAAGTGGAAGAAAACGTTTATAATTTCTTTTTAAACAAGATTTTAAGACAAAATTTTCTGTTGACCATTGCTTTGTATGCAATAGAATAAATTGGAACAGTTTCATTAATATGTCAAGGCTTTGCAATACCTTGACTTCTATTCTTGTAATGTAAAGCTTAGGCCTGTAGTTGGCTTGAGTTAATAATGCTTGGTCTTTTGGATTTTCTAAAGTATTATGTTTGGCTTGCAAATTAAAAGCCTTGCAAAATATTCTATATATAGACAGTTTGAACAGTAACTGTGTTTTTTGAAAGAAATTGAGGGAAAGTTGTCACATAGTCCTGTTTCTTCATGTGAAAAGATTTTTAAAATGCAAGAGGAATTTGTTTCTTTTAAGGATATATAGAGTATATATGGATGACAAGGTTTTATAAAAAGCCAAGAATGCCATATTTGCTATTAATGTATCTGATGGAAGTGGATAATTACCTTTAAGATATTAATAAAAATAAAAAACAATGTTCCATCAAAGACTAAAGGTGAAGTTCTTTGATAAAAGCTTCCTTATTTTTCTTTGTTGATTCATAACTTAAGTTATAGTAGTCAAGGTAGACTTCAGGAATTTAGGGTTTCTGAATAAATCAATTTTTTGGATCTTGCCTGTCATCCTCAGATCAGGGGCCATAGATCTTACTCAATAAAATAAACAGCTTTATACTACAACATCATTTGACTAGATGATTTTTTCTGTTATTGCAGTTGCGGAGTTTGGTAGAGCTATGCATAAATCCTGACCCAGACAAAAGACCTGACATATTTTACATACACAGTGTTGCAAAGAAGATGCATGCTGTCAAAGTTTCATAAACAATGATAGTAAACCTTTTAGTCAAAGGTCAGAGGCACTTACCTTAATTCCAATGGCTAATTAACAAAACAATATTGTTTCTGATATGGCGACAAACCTTTGAAGAAACTTTCAAAGATTTTCTTCTCCTTTTAGATAGAAATCCCAAAATGCACTTATTTGATCATGAGACACAGTATTTTGAAATATTTTGCAGGGTGTAAAGTTTTATTTAATATGCTACTAGTGTTAATAGAAGTGTTTTTCATCATCTGACATCAACTACAGTTGACTTGCATCCAGGGGTGGCACCAGAAATTTTCCAACAAAACAGCTGTCAATCTACAATTAAAATACCTTTATAATACCAGGTTTTAATAGCAAGCTTGGTTTTTTATCTTTTGAGAGGGGAGAGGTGCTAGCATTTTCCTAATGCCACCCCTTCTTGCATCAAGTCATAATTTCTTCAGGTAAAAATTTGAAGAAAAAGAAACTACAACTTGTCAAACTTGAAAGGCAAGTGCAATCATATTTATATTTGTTTCTTTAAAAACTGACAGATTTTTCTGAATTATAAGCAATCCAATTCTTATGTTGCCATTGATAAATGGGCCAATGTCAAAAGAGTTGAAGCACAGTCAACTTGACGATTTTATTGTGTGAAAATGTCAAGCTCACCCCATGAATAAGTGTTTGCTTATGCTGCCATCTATGAACCGAATTGTGCTTTACTGGATGTAATATCACCAAATACCCTCTCCCTACCTTCATCTTTTACAGCTCACAAAATTGATGTATATATATTTCCATTAAAGAGTTTGCTATAAGCAGACTTGCCCTTAGCATTTATAATATTGTTTTATTGTGGATAATCATTGCTTTGTTGGGCAGGACCCAAAGTTCGGCTTATTTGTTATTGATAATATTCGCTTCCCGGTAAAGTTAACTCATCTAGGCCTGTCTTCTTTATTCATTTCATTCCATGTTAAATAAAAGTGAAATCACTTGCACTGAATGTATCTATAATTTTCTGATTGAACCAATTTAAATCAATCTTTGGAAAGCTAGCTTAACATTTAATATCTTGCAAAACCAAATCAAGGGTTTTTTCTTAGTTAAAACAGTATTTAGTTGTATTGTATTTCTGAAAATATTGTGTGCATCCAGTTCATTACTGTAACATTTTAGTATTTAAAATATAACTTGCTTTGTTACTAAATGATGTAAAGTATCAACCTAGAAAAGATACCTTTACGCAAATTGAAAAACAAAGCATGCATTGGAAGTTATGACCTATTCAAAGACTCATTTGAGTTTTCCCTCTTTTACTTTTTAACTTTTTCTTTTCATTTTTATTTAGAAAGACTAACTGTTTTTTTGTGCTAAATCAGTTTGTTATGTATTCTTAGAAAAAGCAAAATTGTAGACATATTCTCAGTAAGAAAATTTTTGGTTGGTATTCTGTCCTTCATGCAGTCTATTATAAACATGCTTTCTAACGTGGCCTTCTGTTGCAATTTTTTTGATTATGACTTTTCAATGGGTTACATAACCCAAGCATCAGCCGATACCGATTACACAGCATTTGTTCTGGCAGCAACATCTTGCAAAAAGAATTTTGAACAAAGAAGAACAGTAACAAAGGAATAGTAAAAGTCAGAGATTCAATATCAGTTAGACCTTTGATTGTTTAAAAACAAAAGATCTTAAATGTAATATTAAACTTTCTATAGTTTTTGACTGTCAGAATTTATGTAACTAAGAAAGATGACATGTAGTTTGTATGTGTCTTTTGTGTCAAGTTATCCATAGAAGACAAACTTATCCTGCCACTTTGACCTTCAAAATTGTGTTTCTGTGTGGGAAAATGCCATTTTCAGTTGTTCACTTTTGTTGTGCTTTTACCATAAGTTGTTGATACTGTTGTTGTAACTTGCCAATGCCCTCTCTATGGGATGTTTGTTTAGCTTCAAGATCTTGCAAACTTTTTTCATGTCTTTTCCTAGAACATGACAAGAAATAATTATTTCTTTCTGATCCAGAAAACTGCAAAACAATTTTCACCAATCTTCTTTGTATAGTGAATTTCAAACAAAGAAAGTATAATTTCAGACACAGTCTGGCATCAGCTCTTGTCATATGTCTAAGAGAGATTTTAAATAGTTCCAAGAGCCACATGTCTAAAAGAGGTTTTGTATCCGTAGGTTGTTATGGTTTGTTTTGCATTATTAATAGGAGTGTTTAAGTACTTACGATTCTGCTTGGATGTATTCTATTCTCTTTTCAACATTAAGTTTGGCTTCATTGAGATCTTGCTTTACAAGTACTGGCCCTACCAACTTGAAAACATTGGCATCTTGTTTTATCAAATCAAGTTCCTAAATAAAGTGGGTTATATATCAGTTTTTATATTCCAAAACAAACTAACACTCAGCTTTAAGAATTGATGTTAGGAATGAACCTAAAAATACTTAATTACCGGATCATTTAAAGTTTTTATTCAACATATTCATTTTTAATTACCATAAATTGTTCATCTATATATACAGTAAAGAGTTGTGAGGTTACAACATAAAAAACTGAACAGTCAATTTCTTTGAAATGAAGTTGCACAGTTTTTATCCAGTCTAAATTGATATTACAGCTTTTGGCTTACAAAGCTAAAGGAAAAACATTAATTTCACACTAGGACATCAAACAAACCTAGCTATTAAACATATTTACCTCTTTCACAATCTTATTTTCTGTTAGTTGCGTCTCTAGTTGTTGTCTTTGTGCAAACAGCTTCTGCATATCTGTTACAATGGCAAAACATTGAAATCATTATAGATTTTGATAACACGGCCATTTTATGATTCATTTGATGGCCAATTATATTCATTGGTCAGTCTATAAAATGTACAGTGCTCAAGCTGCAAAACAAGTCTCAATTCAAAAATAATTTGAAAACTCAATAATGTACCCCACCTTTCTGAAGCTTTTGAAATTCTTCAACTTCTTTTTGAAGCTGTTGCTGAACTACTTTCTCCTGCCCAGCCATGTTGCTTTTCCACTAGAAACCTCGTATTGGAGGGAGGTAACTTTTCCACTAGAAGCCTCGTATCAGAGGGAGTTAACCAAAGTAGGTAACCAAAAAAAGAAAGAAGGAAAGGAAAGAAAACGAGCACAACAAGGAGACAGAAGGGTTTTAGTTCCGGAATTACTAGAAAATGATCCAACAGTTGAGAACAAGAAGCTTTCTATCTGTTGGAGGAAGATATCTCTTCAGTGAGCCTTGTTTTCATTAAACTTTGACTTCTGTACTCATTTTCTTTATAAGAAACAAAGGTCGATGTTGAGTACTCCAGTTTCTTAATGTTCTGGAAATTCCGGTACTCACTGTTTCTTAAGAGTTTCTTAAATACGATGTCATGAATGATGTTATGAAATGTTCGTGACCTTTTTTTCACGTCAAGAGATTCGCTTCCGTTTCGATGCTGTATTTAGATGTGGAAAGTATATTTTTATCTCTTGTGTCTGAAGTTCTAGGCCAACAGGGCAATCTTGTTTTTGGATTTTACAAAACTGTTCTCAGTTTTATCACGATTTAATAGTTTCTTAATTTTTTTGCTTCGAGTACTGAAGTTTCTTAATTTTTTCTGACTGTCCAGTACTCGTTTCTTATAGCCAGTTTCTTATAAAAATAATGAGTGTAGAGTCACAATAGCTAGATTCCAAAACAAAAGCATTCCAGTATTGCATGTTTTAGGTGTTCTTTTAGATCTGCAAGACGGAGGTGGCTGTTCTCCTCTGGGGATGAGTTTTGTTTCTGATACTAGATGGAACATGCTGTTTTATTCTATCCCTCAATCTTTTTTGAATCTATCTACATAAGCATGAAAAAACCACTATTGTGTAGATGAAAGGAGTTTGTTTTCAGGTAACATTCTCTATAGGCAAGCAGCACTGAGTGGGCAACCTCATCAGTCATGTGCCTGTGTTTCTGATTGACCTATTTCGATCCTCAACTGGGTATATATATTTCCTAGCATAGAGTTTTTTATCTATGTTTTGAGAGTGTTGCCATTTGGCCGTTTTGACATCCAAATTCCTCCATTCTGGCTGTTTTTCAAAGCTGTTAGCCGTCGAAAATTGATTTGGGCACATTTTTTTGAAATAATCTCAAAATTGGAAGTAACTAAGCAAGAAAAAAGTAAATGATAACAGAAAATTGAAACTGAAAGCAAGTGGAAGCTTTTGTAACAAAAAACCAATTTGATTACATTATTACTCCAAAGAATTAGCCAGAATGTAGTTTTTTGTATATTTTGTTGCACTGCCGAATTTGGCCATCAAGCGTAAAATATTTGGCCATCAATCATCTCTGGCATCTGGCAACCCTGTGTTTTGATGTTTTAACTCTAAAGAGTGTCAGACAAAAAACTTTAGTTTACTCAAATAAAGGAAGCCTTATTTCATGTAGATAAATGAATATATAGTGCTTTAACAAACAAAGATTTATAAAGAGACTAAACATATTATAAAGAACTAAAGATAAGTAAGGATTTTTAATGGCTGAAACCTAAAGTATGTTAAGCAATTTTTAGGGCTGGCCCAGGAAAAGGGAATATTTTAGCCATGGCCGATAGTGGCTGTTCTTCCATTATTTTGGTCTTAAAATGTCATTAGAATAGAAAAAATGCTTTTAGATTGCAAATCTGAATTTCATTGATTAACAAAGGATCTTTGAGCTACAGATGAATATACATTGTATTTATTGCAACTTTCCCCCCCTCTAGTTAGGGCTCAACAAACTCCAAGATGGTCTTTATGGCGTGAGACAAGACTCCAACAGATTGTTTTTTGGCTGACATTATAAAGCCTCTTGCTATTAGACTAGAATCACCTTTTATGTTGCCTTAGTGGGTTATTGCTAGTTTATACGAAAGCTGCTCACTTCATGCCAAGTGAACACAGTCATACAATAAAGCTTTAGAAATAGACAATATCTGACAATAATTACTGAAATTTCTTTATTTTTATTCAGACACAATATTTCAAAGTTGCAAAAATCTACCATTTAATTCTGTTTATAGGGCGCAATTTACTAGAAATGGGAGAGAAGTTGTTTATTCAAAAAAGAAAGTGGTGTGGTCTGGATGTACATAAAATTTTGTCATAAAAGAACTCGGGTTTCAAAATACAGCATAATATACAACTGCTACATGTCTGCAATGACTTTCCCACGTTTTTTATTTGGGCATCATACACAACACACAGAAATAAATTCTAAGCTATGTGACAACACCCAGTGTAATTAAGTTGTTGCTGGTATTAAACCATCGTTTGTTAGTTTCTTACAGGCTCTCTATATTTCTTTTATATAGCTACTCAAAAAAGTCTATAGAATTGAAAAATTAGAAATAAAAAAATTTTTTTGATAAAAACTGAAATTTTGTGGAAGCTGAAATTTTATTTGTGTGTTTCTGAGAGATTTATTGCCATTTCATTCAACAGAGTTGCAAAGACATCTTTCGTCAAATGGGGAAAATCAGTTGAAACCAACATCCAAATCAAATTTGCTGTTGCTTGTTCCAGTGGTAACGTTTGGTCTTGGTACTTGGCAAGTGTATCGACTCAAATGGAAGAAAAACCTCATCAAAGAACTTGAGCTAAAAACATCTGCTGAACCAACTGAGCTACCTCTAAAGTAAGTTAAAAACAAAATCTTAAAACTATTCATGGAGGAAAATTTTAAAGATAATCAGGAAATAACATAATGGGATTTAAACCTTATTACAGCCCAAAACCAGTCAATTTTTAGCTACTTTTAAGGAAACAAGTCAATATTAGCTACTTTTAGCAAGTTCCATTGTTTTCATTGCTTTTTTAAATTCAGCCTACATTTTAAAAAAATGAGCTACATCTTAAATAGCAACTAAGGATTGATATATTATAGGAAAATTGATAAATGTCAACCAAAATGTTTAGAGAATTCATGTTGAATTCGCACATTTAAGATTCTCTTTGTCCATGTTCATATCTGATTTACTAGCATGCCATTATCCTTGTATTAAAACTAATCTTATTCATAAATTTAGTGAGAATAATTACCTTATCTGGATAATGTTTATTCTTGTCTGTTGTAGAGTAATAATTGAATATATAATTAAGCTGTTTTTAACTTTAGTCTAGATCTTCAAGAGTCAATGATGTACCGCCGTGTGAAAATGGTTGGTGAATTTGATCATAGCAATGAGCTTTACCTTGGACCTAGGCCCATTAACAAGCAGCAACAAGGACTGGCATCAAACAAAGTCGGTTACCATGTTATCACACCCTTTATGCTTACTGATTCTGGGTAAGCAAACATTCTTACAAGCTTATACCCTAAGTTAAGCTGCATTTTTAATAATGTTTTCTGTCTTTTTATAAATTAAATTCTTATGCAATTTTCATCATCATCAGGTACCATCTTCTATCAGAAGGTTGGCTACCATGACCATCCAACTATCCCTATCCTCAGAATATCGTTTAGCTCTCCCAATGCTCTCACACCCGCTCCATTCCTTGACATCATCTCCCTATGTTCTTCTTTGTCTTCCCCTGTCTCTTTTTCCATCAATCATACCTTCCAAAACAAGCACTTGATAAAATATGCATGAAACGTCATTATTTTAAATTCGCTTATTTTCCTCATACAATTTCAAGCTATTTGATTTTTTTTTTATTTCTGTAGCTTACTAAACGATGAGACAACTGTTTCCTCAATATTCAATCTGCTGGAGAAGCTGATTTGAAAAGGGACAATATGAAATGCGATTCTGAAAAATGTCTTGTAAAATCTTTTTCTGTTACTGAATGTTACTGGTTTTATTTCTGCATATTTAATCTGCATATTCAATATATTGATTCTTTTATGTTCCTTGTTACTGTTATTTTAGAGAAAAGATCCTAGTCAATAGAGGCTGGGTGCCAAAGAAGAGGCTGTCACCTGAATCAAGAGCGGAAGGGCAGGTGATTGCTTCTAATCTAATTAGCAGTGCCGCATTTTTCTGTGAATTTTAAGAGTAGTTTTCATTTTCAAGTTTTTTAAAGTTCAATCAAACCATATAGATTAGTTCTTGTAATCCAGCAGAAAGTCTTGGTGATTTTCTTGCGCAGATAGACCAAATATCCAACTTGGTCCTAGTAAGATGTACCAAACGTGGATTAAACCATGTTTGTATGCAATATTGAACGAGATGGCCAGGTGAATAACAGAAAAAAACTCTTTACTGTAGCCTGTAGCAAATTTAAAGAAAGTTAACAGATCAAATAACTATATTTTTGTTGCCAGAATGTGACAAAAAACTCTCTTTTCAAATACATTGATAATGAGTTTTATTTTCTTTGCTCGGAATTATTCTTTCTTAACAAACAAACCTTAGGAGGGCCATCAAAGTGTGCCCAGGCTGCCATGTTTTTGCATCATTTAAACAGTATCACGCAGTCATAAGGCCCTGGTATTTTGAATTTCTATGGTTGTATGTATAGCTCTTGACACGGGTAAATGAAGCTTCATTTCCAATGCACATCCTTGTCGATGTTTCATATTTTCACAAAATTATGCGAAATAGCTTTTCATGCTTTTCTTATAAGCCTGAGCATGGTCTGGGTATTCATGCTCATTTTTGTACTGTACTTTCTTTCCAACCCTCTTACATGTTTTATCTTTAATCTGGGTGAATCAAGTTGAATCTTAATGCTTTCGTTTACTTTAGATCGAAGGACCTGTTGAGATGACTGGAATCGTAAGAAGACCGGAAGAGGTTCGTAGGCTGCGAAGGCAAACAATTTTTGCTATACCATTACCTATATGACGAGTTCGCAGCTGAGCTAAGAGCATTGGCAATCATAGTCCATGTGCCTTGCATTGTTGTGTTTGAATATTCGCTTGTTTATCAACCACCTTCCCGTAAAACTTACTCCCAAAACCCTAAGTTTATTGAAATCGAATCAAACGAGAACGTTTTCCCAGTCTTTCATCTCATTTCAAGGTTAGACCATAGATCATTTCTCTTATTCTGCTGAATTTTTCTTGTTTTCTATGTAGCGACCTCCTTTTGTTAATCGGAACGATATAGAAAAAAATCGCTGGCATTACCTCGATGTGAACACTATGGCATCAGTCGTTGGGACGCTTCCCATTATTGTCGATTCAGACACTGCAAGCGCTGTTCCCGGAGGACCTATTGGTGGACAAACAAGGGTTACCTTACGAAATGAGCATTTGCAATACATAATCACATGGTATGTATGCGTCTTGTCTATATGCCTTTCTTTTTGCACAGATAATAATCAGAGACCTGGATGAAAAGGATAATTTTTTATGTTAAATTTGTTCCTGACTCTTAAGAACCCTAATTTTATGCAGGAAGCATGCTTGTTAAAACTGTCTTTCTAGCCTTGATAGCTAGCTATACTAATTACAGAGGTTTTGAAAATTTAATGTTCAGCGCAAAGCATTTTTATTTCGAAACTAAATGTACTTCACATCCACGATTGTTATTTCTATGTAAGGCTTCTGCTTTCCTACAAATAGAGGAAATTTCTCTGTGATATTAGAAATAAAGACTCCAGTGTTTGAGTTTATTTTTGTATTTTATTTGTTTTTCGTTCTTTTTCATTTCACGTTATTGTTTTATTTCGGTAGATCTTTGAGAATCAGTGTCTTGTTGAATTTCTAGCACGTATATGATATTATTTAAATATTAAACCTTGAAAGAAGGGGTAGATATATGTGACAAAATCCATTTTATCAAATAAAACATTCTCTAGAAATGTATCTTGGCAATGGAGAATGGTTAGAGCCATTTGCAGAATCGAGAATTTTTGCAATGGGCTATGTCGAGGCCAAGAAATTACTTCAAATTTTTATTGTTTTATGAATTTGTTCAGCAGAACAATGTTTTTATTCGTAACTGATCTTCTGTTTCTATACACAATTTAAACGCATATCTTGCTATCTTTTAGGTACGCTCTAAGTGCAGCTACAATGTACCTCTTTTACCAGCTGAGAAAAAGGCCGGCAACAATGTTCAGCAAAGGCCCTCGATGATTTATCTTGAGTGTTATAGTTCACAATGCAGCATGTGTTTTCGTCTAACGAATTGACAGAAACTGGTAGAAGATTATCAAGCGAGAACTGTTTATTCTTGTAAATTATGAATTTTGGTGAAGAAACTAGAGTTAGATGTAGAGCAGTAGGAAATAAAATTATTTCTCTTGTTTTCTCAACAGTAACTTGATTTATAATTTTTTGTAGCGATAAAAGTCCCGACTTTGAGATACCTGTCAAGCGATATATCGGCTATTGTAGCTGATGAAAATAGGGGATTGATCACGTCTGTAAGATTTTGATAAGAATGTGAAGCTCCAATTTGCCCACTTTTGTCGCACTCTTAGCCTAATTCTTATGTAATTTTATTCGGTAATTTCATGAAATGAGCTCCTTGGAGTTTATTAATTAAGGCATTTATATGGGTAATATTTCGAGGGAAGGGGCTCCGACGAGGGATGTTGACTTCAATTAAGTTACCGAAAATCGCCATAAATGAGTCTCTTTTTGACAATAACATTTTCCATTTCCAATTTTTAATTTTACCTTTAGTAGGTTATTTATCACGTACTGAAAAGCGTATTGTAAAAAAATTGGCATGTCGGGTTGGGGACTCATTCGAGAGTGAGGATTATACTCGAGAGATAGGATCAAGAAAAATTTCTCCCAGGGTGAGGGCTTACTCGGTAGAGGAAGGCTTATACAACGGAGGGGGTGATTTCGAGGATTCCAGTATTATATTTAAGCTGTTTTCTTGGCATGCAGATTTCAATTCTTTGTTTGGATGAAGTCTTCTCAGAAAATTGTTTCTAAGTATAAATATAGATAATTAAGTCTTGCTGGCAAAATCTCAATCTCCTTTACGCTATCAAAGTCGAATATGCTTGTAGAACCCTATCCTTGTAGGTTTCAAGTGTTGGACTCGAATTAATTTGTCACCGTTGGGACAAGAAGTCTCCTTATTTCAAAACAGATTGAGAAATTATAAGAAGCTGTAATTGGACATTTCAGCATAAAGCTACAATCCCGGATAAAAATGATGCAACAAAATGCAATTTTGATAATTTTCTACTCAACCATTTTTATCCGGGATTGTAGACTCGATCATTAATTTACACGATCTGTCTTCGTTGCTAAAAGAAAAATTTATTTGTTGCTCCTTTGTTACAATTTTCATGCATTCTTTACCTATTCCTGTATTCTTTATTCTAAAATGCTTAATTGGGAGGGAGACCTGTGATTCTATGATAAATTGAATACGAGTACTTTCAGAAAGTAATAATTTATTTTAGTATTTTAAATATCCCAACAGAAAACGGTAGAGTTAAAAGAGCATAGTTTTCATGATACATATCATCGAAAATGACATTCTATTGAAGAAAGCACGCCTTGCCCCTCTCACTGCTATGCATTGGTGATTAGAGTGAGGCGGCCTATCTGACCATTCTCACTCTACAAAGGTAACCATTATCTCATCATAATCATGTGTGCCTATTTCACACTGCTGTTGGTTGGCCTCCTAACCTTTTCTCACGCCCTGTAATCTTGTGCTACTCGCATTTATGTGTTTACGATACTCGTTCTACCTCGGCTGTTTATTTTACTCTTGGTCTTCTTCCTATTTTCGTTCCTTCTACTAGTTGAAGATAACAGATTACTTTGTTCTTTTCTTTGCTCAGACTTGGTGTCTGACAGATTTTTTATTATCTAACCCAAGTTTAAGTATAAACGGACAGTTTTATAGCAAATGCCTTGGATTAATGACTTTTCTCATCATAAGCGTACGGCGGAATTTTTACAGGGGGGGGGGGGCGGTAGGATTTTTGCCCGAGTACAGAGGCACGATATATTTATGAGCATGTTGGTGATAAGGAGCTTGACATAGGAATATTTACATTACGAGCTCTTTTTCACCGAAATATCAGTAAAAATAGTCAGTTGAGAGTTGAGAAAACCAACCAGAGACATGTTTGGGGGGACATGCTATCCTTATCGATTCTTCTATAATGTCTACTGTTCAGATTTAAAAGTTTGATGTAATTTTCTCATAGATAAGGGCAGCAATGTATAATATTTTCCAATAATTTATGTAATATCACTTAAAATACTACTTTTAACTCTAGAATTCGACTACAGTAAAAAAAATGTGAGTCCCGACCCTTTCTATGTCCAAATGTATCAATCATCGCATTCATGTCACTTTTCAAAACTTCGTTTGAAAATTTCCTCTCGATGCTAAGTAGTGCCAATAGGAATCTCTCAGCCGTTCTTGGCCCATGGTTGATCTGATATATGTTTGATCTTTCAGCAGAGCAAGATGTTGCTGGAATCGTTGCCAGCAATGATGTTGTTTCATACAGGAATGGCAGACTTGATGCAAACCTTCTTGAAACATCTTCTGGACAAGCATTGCTGCATTATTACCATACAATTCAGAAGCGCTTTGCTTCTTGTAATTTTCAAAAACCATCTTATCATTTTTAAGGCACTTTTGGTCGATTGGATAATGCAACGATATTGATTCGTAGCTTTCAGTCTTTGGGTTATTTGAAGTCATTTCTGCCCGACTATTTGCGGAGAATTTTTGAAAATTTGCCCGACTGACATGGTTTTTCGAAAACTGGGGGGGGGGGCTGCCGCCCACCCCAGCCCCCCGGCCCGTACGCTTATGTTTCTCATGAATGTTAGACAACCCCATAGAGTTAACTCTATGGACAATCCACACACTCCAAAGATGTCCTGAGTCAGCAAGTCTCCTTTTGAAATCATGACGTCATATCATAGTTCTAATTCAATACAATAAAGTTTCGAGGATGCAGAATGTCAACGCATGAAGTCGAGAGAGTTTGATGAAGTTCAGGTAGGAAAATAAAATGGTACTATACGTGAAGTGAATTACGGTTTACATTACATGTTATGCTGATCAATTGGGAGATTGAGAACCATTCTTAAGTTATTAGATCATCTTTTCTGCAGTTTAAAGTTTTGCTGCGACTTTTGGGCCTAAATTATGACAACCACATCTCAGTTTCGACTATGTCTGTATGTTGACTTTCATAATGTTGCAAGTGTTTTTGAAACGCACCTCTAAGCATGTAGTCACTCATTCAAAACCATATGTAAGGTTATACGGATCAGCTTCTAAGAGGACCTTAATTCATTCGCTTCGTAACTTGATGTATCTTGACCAAGATTATTTACTTAACTTTGCTGTCTAATATTTGCTTCTACATAAGCATATTTCATTTTACAGAGTAAAGCAAAATGGCTTCCAATTCTGATCCAATAACAAGAATTTTCATTGTAACTGCTAAAGAGAATCTAGCACCTTCAAGAAACTTAATAAAGCTTGTAAGTGAAATTTTTATTTTTCAAATTAATTCAGAATTTTTGGTGCTGAAACTAAAACATTGTTCAGTAAAAATGGTTACAATGTACCTATCTATCAATAATATATATGTTTCGAAGGAGATTTGAAAAAACCCTAAATTTGCTATCTAGTCATGAACGCGTGTGTGTTTCACATTTGTTTACAATAATGATTGAAGTTAAATATGTTTAAAAAAATGTACATTATTACATAATTACAACAATCAATTGAGTAAAAAATAATTAATTTTTTATCAAGGTCTATTCTAATTCTGGAAGCAAGATTGAGCTCTGTTGAATTGAGCTCAAATTAGTTTCTTGAAAACTTGAAAATTCAGACTTTGCCAGTTATCTTTATAGTTAAATTTTTCAAATTTAAAAATATTTTATGCTTTCTCCCTGTTAGCTTACATGCACTCAGAGGGGTCATGATGCAGATGTGTTTGAAAGCTCTTGGAGATACAAAGGAAAAAGATATTTATGTTATGAGAAAGATCCAACCTCAACATATATTATAACAGATCTTATCATCATAAAAGATGATGAGCAGGTTCCAAATGGATTCAGTGGTATTTTTTTGACTGAAGATACAAGTATGTTTCTCTATCCATTTTTATACAGGTCTAATAGAAGTGATGACTCTAGTGAAGGCATTTTTCAACCTAGGCAGCTTTTCATCGTCTATATAAATTTGCATTACTTTCATGGTATTTCTTAAGATCATTTATATTTATAAATAGATAACCTTGATTTTAATTTTTATATGTTTTTTACAAATTTAAGATGGGGCTGTCCAGAACAGCCATTTTGCCTCTGCTGCTTGTCTGAAAAAACCGTTTTTAATCATCTCTTTTTTCCTTTTCTCTTTTTTCCCACAACCTTTTTTTCGCTAGAGGCTTTCTGTTGTACTGAGCAAGTACAAAGTGTTGAAAAGGGCATAAGGGTAACTTGAAGAAAATTACTAAATTTTTTTAGGGCAGGGGAAAACTGCCACCATTGCTGTTGGGATCCTTACAATGATAAAACAAAAATCTTCTTATTTCTCAAAGCCCAATAATAATTGTTTTCAAACCATTCAATTGTACTTGTACTTGCTTAATAATACAACTTGTATCTCTGGGCAGATTCAAAATATGGGAAAAGAAGGAAAGGGACTATGACAGAAAACGTCAGTTATCACAGTGTTTTGTTTCAAATTAAAATTTCTGTCATTCATATGTGTGAATAAAGAAAAGGTTACAATAGCAGCCTGCATGATGGACTCCAAGGAGTTTTTGCAGTGAAAAATCGATTAAAATGTAGCAAATAAGAAACACCACAATATGACCAGAATGAACGACAATAAATACGCTTAAATTAGTGAAGGCTAATATTTTGCCCTGGTATAGTGATGAAGCTTTTGCTCTGATGAAGCCCTGTATGCCAGAGCGATTTATTGTTGTTCATTCATAGAGTATTACTTGTTATCATTCCTTTGTATGGATATCATAAATTTTATGACAGCCTAGAATATGTTTAATTCTTTTTTCATATTTATTTAAACAGAGGAAAAAGGCCTACGAAAGCATATTCTTTGTGTGAAAAACGAGGTCAGGAATAGTGCCACTAAAGGAATTGCCGAACTTGCATTGATAAGTCAGTCAAAAGGTGAAAGAGCGGATCCTACTTTCTATACCATCGCGTAAGTAGATTGAACATTTTTTTCATTGTTAGGCTGCAAAGCTAAACTGTTGGGAATTTCGCTCATAGTCAGTCTTAAATCTATGGAGGCTTAAGTTTATCTTTCTTTTCTTTTGAAAGTGATAATTATGTTGAATATTTTTGCTGAATGATGAAAGCATTCTTTTGAACAACAACTGATGTTGCATAGCTCCTAAAATATTTACATTTATCAAGTATTCAAATCATTTAAAGTGGTCATTTATGGATATTTTTTTCAATATTGCACAAAAATTTGATGAGGAATAGTGAAACATCAATTTTAAAGCACATCTAGCTTAGCAGCTCCAGTTAAACCTCTGGCTACTGGCTTGATGAAACTTGGTATCAAACTTTTTTGCCGAGAAGTTGTAGCTTCCTTGGAAATTGGAACCTTTTCATCGATTTGCATATCTTGTTTGATATAGTTTAGTTTTTATTTATCTGTCAGCTACAGAGTAACCAGTAGCAGCAGCACGGGGTGACTGAAGGGATGTGTCCCCCCAGTTTTCAACAGGATCAATTTTGTACTTTGTCCTATTTTGATGGGAAAATTTTGGCAACTTTGGGGAGGGGTAATATTTTGGCAACATACTTATTGTGATGTAATCCTATAGTTATCAGTCGGCCTTTACGTAACCAAAAGTTAGTCATGGGTCTTCCCTTCAAGTAAAATTGGCATTCCATGTTGGTAGAAGGGTGCTTTCTGGTGGTGAAAAGGACATGGTCTAAATATTTTTGCTTTGTCCACCCCCCAGAGCCTTGTGGCTGGCACTGCCAATGTAAGTAACCCATACTTCATAACCTCATAGCCTTCCAGATTAATGAAGATAATATTAGGTACTATCATAGTATAAATAAGAAGCGGTATATATGATTTATGAGGTACATCCCTGCACCCGGTTGAATATGCAACTTTGCTAACTGTAAAATTAAAGGTGCTGTTTGCGAAGAATATATCCATAATATGATATCAAATTATATAGTGAAATTCTTCCTCCCCTGGAAAAGCTCCTTCAATTGTTATGTAACAGTTATTGTTTTACATGACTATTTTTTGCAGAAACGAAGTGAATGAACTTAATCTGACATTCAGAGTAGAGAGCTTGGTGCCTGTGCAGTCAAATGTTTTGCCCAGACCACAGTCTTCAAACAGAGTTAATGAAATGCCATTGCAGATGCCAAGGAATACATCTGGGTGCGTATTTGTGTTTAGGATATACACTTCCACAGCACAAATTTAGAACTGCATAAGTGGCAAGGAGGAATTTAACCGCCAAGGGATGCCACAGCTGGGAAGCCGATCTGTTTTGGCATCACCAATAACGCTTGCACTTCATGAATTTCTAATGAATTTGAATACTTTCTACTCAGTGAAGAGAAATCGTCAAACGACTGGTAACAAAAATTCCTCAGGAGTAAGAAAAATAAGCTTCAGGCATGATTTGTCTGCGGTTTTTATATAACTTAGAGATGTTCCATTCAGTTATTGAGTTAAAGGGCAAACTTGCCAAATTTGTAAGTAGGAGGTGTAAAGATATCTTTACTATCAAATTCTCTATATCCAAATGTAACTTTAATAAAATATATTTTTCCAAAATGTATATATTTATATATGTTAATGATTGCTGATAAAGTGAAAGCGAAATATACACATTAAAGTATGACATTGTTCTCTTTTGTATTACTTGTAATCACTTTGAAAACATTGCTAACAATGGGCCTTTGCGAGCGTGGCGACGGTCCAAACAATGGCAGTAATTTTCTACGGATTAACCAAAATTGATTTTAGACAGTCTAAAAATGCATTATGGGGTGCTTACGTAGCGCAATGGCTCATTGTTAGCAATGAGTCTTTAAGATTCCCTGTCTTTTAGGTCGTTCAACACAGGAAGCGTGCCACCCGCCCAACCTGCCGCTATAATGAAGAGTCCCGTAATTGGTAAGTTTATATAAATGTTAAGCTTAAATTTTTATAATCTCTCTTGACATAAGTAACAAAACCGTACCAATAAACTATTAATTTTCGTTGATTGTGCCGCTTGTCGCCTCTGTCTACATGCTTGTTCTACACGGGAATTTCTTTTGATTGTCCAAAACAATTTTTGCTTCGTGAATTTTATCTCAAAATAATTTTCGCTCAATGGTTGTTTTAAGTAGTGTATGCTCATCCCTCAATCGACTTCAGTCAGGACTTCAAGAGTAACCCCTATGATCCTGCACCGTGCTTTTGTTCTTTTAATTTTTTTTATATTCCAGTTTTAAGTTTTCGAATATAGTCCCGTTGCATATAGACCCCCGAATGTAAGCCCCCCTTTCATAGGCTGTTATATATATTTTATAACTCTTACCCTTTGTAACTGCTATAATATTCTTTATAAATGCCATAAAAACCGTTGCTAAGAAAAAGAACAGAATTGACAAGGTTTTTGAGCACAGGAACGGGTTACGTTAAGAAGTCGTAAATTGACAGTGTGGTAACGTTGCCTCAGTTCGAAAAAAAGTTTCGATAAATGAGCTATGATTTTGATGTTTTGACTATGATATTATTCAGTTACAATGGTGTTCAACCGTACAACTATCCCAAACATAAATTTTTTTGCGTTATAAGAAAGGTTCTTAACCTTTTTTCAAATTACAATTATGCGTCAATCAGTGAAGTCGATTTCTTGCGTTTGCAATAGAAGCTGAATTACTTTTATTCTAGGTATTGAAGGAGTACCGTTTACAGTCAATCCAAAACTCAATTTTGATTCAAGAGCACAGGATGTAAGTGCTAGCCAAATTTTATATTTTCTTTGACAAGATTATGTTATATATATATATATATATATATATATATATATCAAGGGAAGGATGAAAGTCTGATGAATGAGAAAGTTCGGCTAATATTGTAAATTATAATGTAATGTTGATATTTTGCAACAATGTAAGGGTCATTCTGAATGGGTCTTAGCGACATTAAAATTTTTAACTACTGCTGATCAGTGGGCCATTATGGGATTTGCCCAAATAAGGATTTCCCAATGCCCAATTGATGGGGCTTTTTTCTGGTCATTTCCAACATAGTATAGAACATATGTGCCAAATTTCAGCTTTATAATATTTTTGTCCGGGTTAGACTGTTTTTATATTTAATTCCACTACACTATTAGAGTAAAAAAGTTTGAAATAGTGAGTCATTCAAATGAAGCTAGAATCCTTGCCGAAATTAGTTGGAACACCTCAGGTTGTTTAAGTTAAAGAAATTGACAGAACATCGGGATTTAGTAGTGTTGGAATGAAGGGGGGTAGCTATGTCAAACTGCGACGTTTTTTGTGCAATTTTTCCAACAATTGTAACAAGGACCATATGCTTTTTTTAAATATTTCTACAATACCGAAACCAGACAGTTATTCCACTTCAATTTTGTTTCAATTCAATTATTTAAAAAGAACCAGCGGTGAATTGGTGGAAAGTACTGCAAACAAACTAACTCACTTTGAACATATGTTGTCAAGTACGAAAACGCAGTACTCTGTCGTATAAACTGATGGCATCAGATTCCTCAAACATGCTTTGAATTTTGAGAGGGCCCGTATTTGTGCTAGATAAGGCATGTAGTTCAATTTGAAAATAAGGTGGGAATTGCGAAGGCAAAGTTTTGTTTGAATCTTTTATATTTATTTAACCGCGTTGTAGATAATGCTGATAATGAAAAAATAACGCTAGATTTTCTGAATATCTATAAATAACCACTTTCAATGGTTCGACTACTTGATGAATGTAAATATTCTTTGCCTTCGCAATTTCCTCTTCGCATGTAATCAATTTTTTATATGATACTTTTTCTAACTTTTGATTTTCTTACTTTTTTAGCCTATAATTTCGTCAATTCCATTTATAACAGTCGATGATATAAATAGACAGGTTTGTTGTTGTTTGAATCTACAGCTTATCGTGATATTTTAATTTCTTATCAAATGTGAAAAATTTCTTGTCACGTTTTTCCTGACTGTTACAAGTTTATTTACTTGCTCTAACTTGTAAATCTGTTTTTTTAGAATTTTTATGGGATTAAAGTAGACTTGTGCAGTACATGGAAACAAAACGGAGATTGTTTCTCCAGAGCTACATTATTTAGGAAAGGGTTTGGCCAATGAAATCATTTCTTAGGTCTAGACCCTAAAATAGTCTGAACTCTTCATCACTTATTTCATTACATATCATGGACTGGGTAGTGAGCTTCAGGTGTTGATCGTTTTATAAATATTTTCAGGTAGCGTTACATACGTAGAATTTCTTGAGATATCACTAAAGCTTTTTATTTTGCAGTACCAGTATGACTTCAACCTCGAGAATGAGACAGTTAGAAAATGTACATGAAAGAAGGTTTTTCGATTTGCACTTATCAACTGCCAAAGACCGAAGCCTTTGGAGAGCCTGTCTGTCTTAGGCGTGAATTAAGAAATACAGTGACAAACCGATGATTGCTTGTATGGTATGGAACAAGAAACTTTTGTCAAGTAAAAGATCAAGCAAAAGTTGCATAGCCATCGATTGAAATTGCAGCTTTGCTTTTAGAATTCGTATTTTTGTCTAAGATACTGGAAGGATTTAACAACTATTATTTGGCTACATCTTTTTGGAACATTTACAAAATACAAAGTTCTATGAATAACTTGAACATTTTCTCCCCTCCCTCGGATCTCCTTGTGATTTGTATATATTCTTGGTTTAAAAAAGTCATTAAACCTTTATTCCTAAGCCTGAACAACTTTGTTCATGCGTTATTTGAAGAGATTCCAGCTGGGTGACACACATTTGATTTTTTACAGCCGAATTCGGCATTAAACATCACTAATAACAGTCTTTTGGCACTCCAAGTACACCTAAATTTATGAACAGATAATGGTGAAAACCTTCGCCCAAAGAAAAACGAAGCTACACAGTATAAATATCAAGAATTAATATCTTTTGCCAACTTTGTTTTTGTAGAAAACTGTTATGTGATCGCTACTCATAGCATTAAATAAATACTTGTGACAGATATTCAAAACAGCTTATTTTGTTGATATGTTTCACAAATTATGTTCATATCTGTTTTTTTTGTTTTTGTTAATCCTCAAACTACATTCACAGCACAGTCAAATTCCGCTAGTTTGTCAGCCTAGTTTAGAGGTCCAGGCAGAATACCTAACTATACAGATGCATGAGTCGCCAGAAAGACCGTTTTGCATAAGTATCCAATTGCTTGAAGGACTGCAACTTTGCGACTTTTTCTTCTGGCTCTACTGATATTGCTTCAAGAAGCTTGGTTTGAAGATTAGATGATAGGTTAATTCTATGTGCTGCTTAAGCCTTCTTTTTCCATAGACGCAATACTCGTTAGCAGGTATACCCTTCAGTTTCCTTTTGGGAGATCTCTATAGAAAGAGCTTTATTGCTTAATGGTGCTTGACACAAAAAAACCTAGTGGCAAACCTACGCATTTCTTCTACTTGCTCCATTTTCTCTTCGCTTCTGTAAACCGTGCAAATTTTGCTATAGAAAGTACACTCATTAATGATGACCATATTGCCTTTGACATGCAGCCCAAAAAGTTGTTTTTTAATTTAAACTAACATTTTTTACCATTCCTGTTAAAGTTCAGGCATTTTTTATGGTATGAACAAGGATAAAAGTATGTATTTGCAAAGAGCAAACGAATCTAGATTTATATCAAGCATTTATCAAATTTATTCACGAAAAGGTTGAGACAGGTTACTATAAAAATTTCCAAGTTTTAGGTGATATACATGTTTTCAATTTTATAAGAAACTTGGATCAGCAACAAGTGCTAAAATTTTCTTAATTTTGCATCTAAATTTGGCGTTTTAGTGCTAAAATTTTATTAATTGGTTTCTAATTTCGGGACCTAAAATTGCCTTATTGTTTTGAAGTTGTGCATTTTGAAAGAATATAAGCGGCGCAGATTGTCACAAAAAACCATGCAGATCAAAATCAATCTTTTTTTTAAAAAATTCAACAAAAGAAAAACATTTTCGAATCTTTTCAAAAATGGAAATTTTACAGCTTCTTATTTTTCTTGAGCCAAATACTAAAGTTTCTTAAATTTTTGGGCATCCTGGTACGAGCTTCTTTTAAATAAAAACGTGTACTCTTTTAATACAATTTTTACTAGGCAGTTTTTAGAATCAAATTTTATGATCACTCCATGGATGTTTCGTACATCTTGGTAGAAATCCTATATTTTTGTCGGTAAATTTCTAGAAATTCTTTGGTTTTGATGGAAATCTAGTACGCTATTCAAATGAGTGAATTACGGATGTGGTCATATTTAAAGATCTTCAAAATGGATGTGCTGCAACTTTTCGTTTACTTGACAGCGATGCTGGAAAGATGGAGGGAGAGGGGAAGCTGCCCTGCCCCCTGTGCACTTGACAAGGGAAAAAGGGGTACGGAAGAAATTGCCTTTTTGACTGCTGTCTAGTGTCCGGAGAGTAGCAAATGTTCCATGTCCATTATGCAAATAAATTTCCTATATAAATATCGGGGGATGTCACACCCCATCTCTACACCCCTCAGTTAATACGCCCCTGGCAACATCATTACATTTCAATTGTTACCTTCTCCCTATAAACTTTTGCTGAGATAAGCGAAATTCAATAGCGCTTGTGGCCGTTCATTGTTCAAAATGCTTATACGAGGCTGACGCGAAAGTTGCTTTGCGTCGTACAAGGACGTGGTCTGTGGAAGAGTAGTAGCTGAAACTGTAGCAATCCGGCTAGTCCAGAGTTGCACAGGGAAACTTAGCGATGATTACTATACAGTTGAAGACCATCGCCACCATCTCCTTTCTACAGTGCTTGATTCATGGAGTGCTTTGTCTGGTTTGTCCTAGCACATGGCCCCCTTATTCAGGGCCTCCAATACCGAACATTCCAGACCACTTCTCGAGCGACATGATCACTACTGACATTGTTAATGGAGCTACATCCTACGAAATGAAAATTGAGAGAATGTACGTAGATGCAAAAAGAAAGCTAATGGCAACAGGTTGGTTCGTTTTTTGAATTGTTTCTATTGATGCATCGTCGTTTGGGTGCCCTAGTGTGTCATGTGATCGTGTTGTGCTTCCAACCACCTTTCATAGGCACGACGGAATTTGGGTGCTGATGCTCTAGCCCCCTAGGTATCGTTGTCAGAAATTTCGTGTTTTCAATCCCCTGAAAGACTGTCTTCTTCCATCTTCCTTTCGGAAAATCGGAGGCCTGAGAAGCCACCAAAATGAAAACCTGAATTTCCACAGCTCCAAGTCAGTTTTACAAACCATACTTTTTGCAACGACAAGAAGCTCGTAGTTTGTCGCAAGCGGGGTACAAAGGCCTCATGAAATTCTTTGTCGAAGAGTGATTATTCAGTACTAGAGAGTAAGATATTTCAAATGCAACGCGCATAGTTTTCACCTGACGCATTTCTTGTGATTGCAACATGCAATGACTTCCACTCTTGCTTTTGTTCTCATTTTAAAACTAGAGGCTGTATCCTGCTAGAAATAGGTAAACCATTTTAATTCTTGTAAATTTCAAAGATGGTTTTTTAAATTTGCCAAATATTACTTCAAAAGGTAAAATTTTACTTTACAAATGTTATGCATTTGAGTGCAAAATTCAGAAATTCAATCATTCATTTTTTTGAGTTTGAAAACCCATCAGTTTTTGCTATGTTCATTGTTGTTGAAACCTGGTATTGATAGCTATTGTGCTCAAGGGGGATGATCATGTCCTGCTTGCATTTCCCAGTTGCCTTAAAAGTGGGAGAGTCATCCTTTATTTGCTTGATTACATGGTAAAAATCTCCTCGTTCTGCAGGGGCGGATCCAGAACTAATTCTGACTGCCGCACGATGAAGAGGGCCAGGGGGCGGAGCCCCCAGAAAATTTTACCTTGCCATGCCCTCTAGTTCTTCAGAAATGTCCACTTTGAGAAAGCATACAGGGGAACTGCCTATAATTACACTGATAACTATGGTAATCATTTACACAAGGTTGCCAGCATTTCACCTGAAGAACATGTGCATTTCAAAACGACTTTGCTCAAACAATCCATAATTGCCCTCTAATTCCCTTGGAGAGATTTTAAATTTATTGATGGGAGAGTCTGGGTATGGGGGTTGTTGCCCCCTTTACTCAGACAAAATTTTAAAACTTTTATCGTTTTGCAAAAAAGACCCCCTGCACAGATCTTCCAACGTTGCTGACTGTTTCAGTATTGTTTACTACAACAAAATGCTAGGATCTTTTTATCAATTAGATTGACTTTTATAAAAAAAACTTGCTATAACAAAACAAAAACGGGACAGTCGGAAAAAATAAGAAACTTCAGTACCCTTGAGTGAAAAATTAAGAGAAGTTAAATATTGAAAAAGACCCAGAATACTGAAATTTCATGAAAATCCATGAATATATCTAGCTCTGGTTAGCATAAAACACAAGCCACAAAATATACTTCCCTCTTCAATTCAAAGTAAAACATTAGAATGGAAGCAAATTTCCTGACAGGAATGTCTCAAGCATCCCGAGCATTTGAAAACCTAGAAACGTTTACCAGTGTTACTGTTTGCAGATGCGAAAGTCCTGCCCCTGCCAAACAAGTTCTATCGAAAAATTTCCTAACATGAACAATCCAAAAAGGACTCCGTATATTGAAGTTAGCAACAACAAAACAATGATTTTTTAAATTTCCCAAAGCATTTAGAGGCCGGAACTAAAGAGGTGCCAGAATCTATCAACTCAAAAATTTTGCTTCAAATGAGTCAACATAGACAAGAAGAAGTGATATAGAATACCTCCCCTTGTCTGAGTCTGATAATCTGAGGAAAAGAGGCCAACTGAATTTTCTTCAACCAGGTCACGCAAATACAACACACTGGCACTTTCATTCGATGTTTCTTTTACGTAGTAGTTCGCATTCCCGCCAAACAAGTATAAGTTAGGCCACTGGAGTTCAAAGCTTCGAAAGTAGTTTTCTGTTTCAGCCTTAACAATGCTGTACAATGTGCAGCGGTCCCCATCGATTGGCGGCACTCAAAAGCTTTTGTTATTTGCCTGAACAACATTGTGTAAACTGTCAAATCGATTGTGTTTCCTAGATATTGATTGTGCAGCATCTCAAAATTCCAACAATGGCTTGTGCAGCAGTTCAAACTTCTGGATGCCGCACATTGTTCCTATGGCCGCAATGCTGAGTTTGCAATTTTTGTAAAACTATAGGGTTATAGGTTCACTCCAGCCCCTTATTCTATTTTCATTGTCTTGCTAATTTTTGATAGGCTGTGTTTTCCACTAGAGCAAGGTGGAGATTTTGAAATTGGAGGAAGGAAAATGATAATGGATCACAACCGGAAACAGGCTATGATTATTTCAAAGAAGAAATGCAATGTTACAAGTATTTCAGACATTCCACTTGATGGATTAAGGCCATATGGAAATAACGAATTCAGCTCTGGGAATCAGCTTTTTCGCTTTGGTAAAGACTATCACCTTGTTTACAATGGAAATTTTAGCTATGAAGATAAAGTGTAAGAAGAACTTTGTTATTTTACTTTTTCTTTGCCCAAAGTTGTCTTTTTACTCGATTGCAATTTCCTTAGCTGAATTGTGAAGGACATGAAGAAATTTTTTATTCAGTCCTAACTCTTCTGGTTTGAAAAAAGGGAAATTTTTTTAATAGTTTTCAGAATGTTTGGTTATCTCTAAGTAGATGTTTGTTTATTACCACTAAGGCAATATCGTTTTTGTTGATTGGATAAAAAATTGATGCCAGATTCAAACTATTGACCTATATCAGCCAGAATATAATAATTCACCTCCAAGCCATCATATAGTTTACATTCTTAACTTCTAAGTAAAAGCTTTTTGAGACCCCTACTTTGCATAAAAAACATTTAGCATACAGTGAATAACTTAGATTTGAGCCAAATAATTTTTGTAAAATTATTTGAGTTTAATAACACTGAGGGTTAATGTGTCAAAAAGGGTTTAACAATCAGATATTAAATAATATTTGTTAAACCCTCATTCAATTCACACTGAAAAACTTTTTTTCAAAATGTACAAGAAACTTTACCAAAAGCTTATCTATTTGCCTATCAATAAGTCAACATTTCAATAATGTGCTGCAGCAATTCTCATTTCTGTCTATCTTTTAATCAGCGTGTAATAATGCAGATAAAATAATATATTGGTATAGAAGAAATGAAGTTTCTTTGTTCTTGGGTCTATGTATTCATTTCTGATACCATTATTTGTATCCATTTTTTGCGATACTTGCTGCCAAAATTTTGACCTCAAGTTCAGAACTTGCATTCAGAGACGGTAAGAGATTATTTACACACAAGTATGTAGATTACATAATGATTTGAATAAAGTATTGTTGAATTGTGCATAAATATTTAACAAGATGACAATTTGTAGATTGGATGCTTGGACAGAATGTCTGCCTGCTCTGGGAAAGGGCAATGACTTCAACATATCTGTGCAGTACCTTTTCACCAAGAAAGATTCAAAGCATGGCCAACAGTTCTTTGGATTTTCAGCTGCAGCGTTAACTAAAAACCAGACTATAATGGTAAAGTTTGTTAACATGAACCCTGGCACTCCTTCACCAGAGCATTTGCAGGTGCCAAATGGTATGTTTAGTTTTCAAAATTGTCTCTTTAGCTCTTTGGTGCTTAGTTAAAACTCATAGACTCCCATTGTTGCCATCTGGTGTGGTTTGTTTTTGTATTGTCTCATTTTTGGGCTTGTTTTTAAGCTTCTGACAAGGCACCTATTCCAAGGGGAGGGCAGCTATCAAAAGCTGTGATCTGCTGCATGATGTCCCTATTAAATAAGAAGTTTTTAAAATGTTTTGAAAATGAATGGTATTAAGCATAACATGTTGTAAATGATTTTTTAACTTTTCTTCATTCTAACACTACATTTTACACTTTACTGTCCATGTATTTTATTGGATGGAGGTGCTCATTGCTATTTTTCTTCACAACTGAGAGCTAATTAAAAAAGATGCAATTCTTCAGCAGCGAACTTATTTCAGATTTGCTTGGCTCTTGTTATCAACTATATGCTATTGAAAAAAACATCCCTCTACCCAGAATTGATGCTTTATCAGCCTGTTATGAACAATTGTACAGCTGAGACAAATATTGTTGAAACAAGTTTCTTTAACGCAAGGCAGTCCTGTTGGCTTTTTAATCGCAATTAAAAATGCTGACATTAAAATCTTTTTCAAATTCAACAATGTCTTTGTCTTTTTTCACAGTCCTTGTTTATCTTTGCAGATGTCTTTTGTAATATGACAACAACCAAGGTTCAATTACCCCGGTTTCCCGACGAGTTTGAAATGAATATTGAAGTTCTTATGTTATCTAACAAAACTGGCTTCAATGCTCGGGTAAGTAATTTATGGATCAAAACTACTGTAATGACAGTACAATTTTATTTATAGTTTACAGCATAGGTTTGACAATTTTTGTTATGCAGATTTAGGATTGTATGTAAGGAATATATTATGACTTGGCAGTCCTTATGTCAATGTACAAGGGTAGAAAAAACTGAAACAAAATATGCTTTGATCAATTATAGAGGGTATATGACAAGTAAGACTGCAGATATCTTAAAAGACTGAAAGATTGAGGAGTGTTAAAGGTTTCCAGAAACAGAATTTTACAAAAATAGAACAGAAATCATGTGTTTGCTAAACTGTATGAGAATAATAAGTGCAACCAACAATAAGTGGTTGTAGTTAACAACATGTAAAGGGGATGTTAGTAAAACAGGTAACAAAAGAGTAAGAGTAAATGAGTAAGGTATTGTTCTCTTGAAAAGGGATAATTGTTCAATCATCATCATTGTTTGGATGCCATATTTAATTTTCCCATGTCTTGGACTTGTGCTGATACTCTTCCATCTTTGCTATCATGCCTTCCCTTTCATTGACCTTCAGGTCTTTCAGGTCTTCTTACACTCACCCTATCTACGTTTTCTTTTGTCTTCGAACCGGTCTTTTTCTTGGAATCTCTAATTCTTCCTCCAATTTCAGTACTCCTTCATTCTCCCTTCTAACATGCCCAAACCACCCTAGTCATCTCTCTTAAACCGCATGTCTTCGCCGCTTCTTCACTGGATATCCTATCCTGCCATTTAACTCAAGCTATATCCCGAAGCACCTTTCTATCACAGTTTCAATACATCCTTAGCTAAATCCGTTTATAGGCCACGATTCAACCCCATAAAAACGGATCTTATACATGCTTCGCAGACATTGCCTCAGATCTAAAAAGAAAAAAAATTTATCTAACAAACTCGCAGCCTCTCTCAATTTCTTCCATGCCGCTGCTACTCTAGTTCTCATGGTTTTCTCTGCCTACGCCTCACTGTCCACCATATCACCCAGATACCAAAACTCGTGAATCGCCAGCTTATCAAATTATAAAAGTAAGATCTTAGATGGAGCTCAAGCAAAGAGTATAACAACTTCTTCGCGACATCTTTAACAGTGGGGCGGCTTGCTTCTGATAATTTTCATTGTTGCATGTTGAATTAGCTTTTATTTTGTAGCTATTTTTATGCGCCTACGTTGAATAAATATATAATTATAATAATAATAAAAGTAAAAATGACGGGAAACGATCAAACGGGAGGCTTCTAAGTTACCCACTTTTGTCGGAAGGGATCATGACTTAGTCGATTTGCTTAGAGTGTAAAAACGTATACAAAACATGCTTCAGACAATTTGTTTTTGATACTCTACCTAAGATTATTAAAACACGGGATATGCTCTTGAAACTGCCTATTCCTAAAAGTGGGAAATCCAAACCTGATTGAATACTTCGTGTGATATATTTGCGGAACTACTTAGTGCAGTGCTTTTGTTTTTTGCTAAGGAAGGATGTTTTTACAGCCATACATATCATAGCTCAGATGTGTCTGAGAGTTGATTACAATATAATGCTCTATGATCGGATAGGGGGGAGGGGTATTCGTAAGCCTTTATCAAGTCTTTGTTGCAATCAGATGTTTTGTTTGCAATTTCTTAGACTACTAGATCTTCCGTTTTAGGATTACATCGACACTAAAGAGAAATATTTTAGGTCGGATCATCATCACAGAGAGAATGGTGTTTTTGTTCCAGTCCATGAAATTCATGACTTTAACACAGGTATTACGATCTATTTCTGTTGCATGTTGTAGGTAAATCTCATGCAAGCATTTTTACTCAAGAAAAATTCCTTTTCAATTTCAGCCTTGCTTCTACCGTAAGTTTGGCGACGCTTTGTTGTTATGCGCTTAAAAACATTAGGCAGACAGCCCTCGTTTTTCTATCATCCAATTTTGTTATTGTGACTTGGACTTTTCACTCTCGTGCTAAGAAAATAATCCTTAAACATTTTGATTTGGGTATTTTTATTTTCATATTGTTAATAACTTGTTGGTGATAGTTCGAAGGATGCATCCTTGTTAAGCGTTTCAATAAAGAGATTGCTTCTTGTAGATAATTATCGCATACGTAAGGAAATTGTTTCATGGTCTGGTCGTGTAAATCTAAAGCCACATAGCTTTGCGCGCAAGTGAATTGGTATACACCAATGAAATTCATTGAGGCGGTATATACATTAACAGTAAAAAATTTCGTCAGATAATTTTTCGGCGGGTAAACTTTGTCGAAAAAAATTTCGAACAACTTCGTCGTGACAAAATTCCGTCGCGGATTTTGTCACAAAGATATTACCAATAACACAGAAATATGGTGCAAAAGTATACAGTTTGCTTCATATTCAGTCCCATAGGTACCGACCCCGTGGAGACTTGGGGGCTTGAGCACCCGTTCGGAATTGGTCTTGTCCTCCCAGGCAGCTTTTTAACAGAAAAACATTTCAGGAAAATCAAAATATTTTCTCAGTTTATGCCAAGAGAGATTATTTTAGCACTCAAAGAGTCTTTACTCTCCATCTTTATGGTATGATAGTTTATTAACAGAGCATGATTAAAAGTATGTGTATAAATAAAAGTATAGGATTCGGAAAGGATAAGACCATCTCCAATAGGAAACGTTGGCCTGGAAAGTTTGCTTCCAGTAGAGTTCAAAATTTGGGTTGGAAATTGAAAATACCTTAAACGAATGAAAGAAATAGAGCAATTGAATATAAAAAGAGAGAGCTAGATTCCTTTGAAATTGGTGACAAAGACAGTTAGAGCTATTTTTATCAAACGAAGTTAGTTCAAGAACCGACAATGATGATGATTATTATTATTATGATGCTGACAATAATAGTTATGAAGACGATGTAAAGGAGGATAATTGCGAAGTTGGTATTGACTAGGTTAAAAGGGCTCATAAATTTGATTTCTGACCTCACACAATTGATTTTCTATGCGATTTCTCAAAAATCTTAAATACAAAAAAATCCTCGTGACCAAATTTCGTCCCATTTTGAATTTAGTTGAAGAAAATTTTGTCAAAATATTTGTCCGAAATTTTGTCACGACGAATCTTTTTGTAGTTAATGTAGCAACTATCTAAATGGGGGTATTTTAACATTAATTAGCATAAAATTATTCACCTGGCCCTAAGAAGAGGAAGGAAGAATCTGATGAAAGGGATTCTGCTTACAAAGATATTGAAAAGTACTTTGACAGTGACAACTTTCTATCTATGCAAGACTCTTCAAAGTTTTCTCAAGAGAAATCACACCTTTTATTTTGAAGAGAAATTTTTTTAAGACTGAAAAATAAATATACATACACTCACAGAATTGAGTAAGTTCACATGCGTTTCTTCTCCGCTGATGCCATTAACATGAATGGAGCTGGCTACGATAACTAGTTTTCGTGCATCTTTTATTGAAAAAAAAATCTGTGAGCACTGATTGAAGTTGATCTGCTGTGAACACATATTTTGGAACGAACAGTGAATACAAGACTAGCTTGAAAGCTGCCTAAAATTCTTCTTAGGTATTGTAAGCTGCACATTGCTGTTTATCATTAGTCTTTTTATACATAATTTTTGCTCAAAATTTGATGAAAGGAGGAATACCCTAAAAAAACTTGAATTCCCTTCTTGCATTTTAAGGCATATTGTGTTGAAATCATTATGACACAGATAATTATACAGGCACTGACTTGAAATTATCTTGGGGAAGATTCATCTTTTTGAACTAGTTGACATTTTATTAAAATCTCTTGCGCAACCTGCCTAATATCGTACTGCATGAAAATATAAAAAAAACGTAGTCAATTTCTCAAGACAACTGCCGCTAAGCATGCCGGTTGCGCAAGGACCTTTATGGCCTATGTCTTTATCGTTTCACCCAAACCATTTTCGAAGAAGTCTTGATAATAAAAGATTCATCTTTCCAGGTATAATGTACACCATTGATGTCAACACGTTTGATTGTAAGGTCAAGCCACTGAGTAACCGTAGTTGGGATTCAGTAGAAACGGAAGACCACCATCATATTCGTATGAAAACCACCAATGAATTCATGGGAATTGATGGGCAAAGATATATTCATGAAGGTTTTACGACCGTAAGAGGGATACCTGTGGATGTGTTTTCAAATATGATGCCTAGTAGGAGACATCCTGGGCAAATGGTAGGTTTCATCAAATAATAGCTAAACTCTGAGTGAGATCATGTCTATAAACAGATAACTTGATGAGGTATTTTACTTTTATAACTATTAAGCCTGAAAATAACGCCATGGAAACTGTAAGATTGATAACTTCCCACCTTGAAATGACCTTACGTACTTACGTGCTTTAAGTTAGCATCTGCAGATTATAAGAGAAGGCTTGCTGAAAAATCTTTCGAAACACAGTCGTCTTTATTAAAGTATTGTCTTTAAGGTCTCCCCACAAAGACATTTGATGCAGTCCCCAAAAGATGCCTTTTTTGAGTAACTCCTGCAGTCAATTCTGCATCGTTGCCAAAGTACATCAGATGAATGCCTTCGATGCAGACCGTTAAGCATGTAATATTTTTATGCAAGGTCCACATTAGTCCCATCTTTTATTTCAAATACTTATTTAAATGTTTAGATGCAGGTGAGGGTAGCCGTTGGGGGATAACCCATTTTGAGAAAAATCATCTGTGCATAGGATATGCCCAAAAGCTTTGCACGACCAGTTTCGCGATAGGACTAGAAATACGATCAATGCTCCGGACAATACATATGCCATCTTTTGTCAGAGGATTTTTCCCGGATTTCCCCCAGTGATTTTTAATCAAAGTTTCCACCCTGGCGAGCTTTTCTAATTGCATTTCTGAACTACGTTTGTTTCGTAAATAGTAGAATAGCAGAGGGGTTTGTTAAATTTGCAACATTATCAATGGTTGACTTTTTTGTATTGTTTATTAACAGGTTTTGCGAAAGTGGTATTTTTCACGGCCTGACTGGAAAATTGGTGGAATGGAAGGACCTTTAAATGACACTCGCGTACCGGTTATGTTAACATGGGGTCATGATGGCCGAAAAAGCGTTATGAATTTCTTTAACTATGATCCTGTGGAAACTGCTAATCACATTTTATGGCCACTACGGTGAGGGGTTTTGTAATTTTAATCTACGTAATAGGATAGTACTGCTGTCCAACTTGAAAGGCAGTGTTTTCGCAGAAGCAGCATGCTTTTAGGGGTATCGCTTGGTTTAAACCAATCAACGTACGTGTACGCTTGGTTTAAACCAAATCAATCAACAAATAAATAGTTACAAATCACGTGATAAATCAAAGATCACAGTACAGCTGCATTCGTGTTCGTCAATTTCTTAAAGAGCATGCTTGCAACTGTGATCTTTATGCAAAAGCTGCCTCTACTGCATCTGTTTTCACGGAGACCTTTTCAATTCGAACTAAATACATGTAGTAGACTGTGAACAACACTATACCAGGGAAGGGGCTAAGTCAATGTCCCCTGAAAGCAAAAGGGGCAAAACAGTTCAAAGATGTATTTCAAAGAATTCTCGCCAACTCCCTGCGAAAATCGCAGAATAACTCGAGACAGAATATGTACTGTCTCATAAAGGACTCGGTCAATATAGGTTGATGCTGTTCTCATATTTTAGCTCCTGGGCATAGATAATTGAAGGAAATCACAACCTTAAGCCAAGTTCAGAGTCTCGGATGGGCCGAGGGAGGTTTGTCTCTCCCAAATAATTTGTCTTTGGTCTATCTGGCATGCTACCACTGCTTTCTTGGAGCCTCTTTCATCACACAGTTTTCATAGAGCCCTTTGTATTTTCTGTCATCGGTTGATCAATTTTACCAAACAATATTTTCCTTTCTAGTGCATGCTATTCGAACAACCGGCATTACATGTACTTTCGACTTAGTGGCCAATACGATTCGTTTGGTGCTGAACATCAAAGATCACTTACAAATTCAATACGCAATTCATTGGCTAAAGCAGCTGGTATCAGTAAGCTTAGAGTGTCATCTGTCTTGGTATGTGCGCTGAGAGGTATTCTAGGCCTCTGCTTTTTTACGGTCAAATGCTTAGTTAGACGTAGCACACCGTGATTTGATTTATTCGAATTACGGCATGCACGTGGCATATGAAACAAGAGTTTGCTGTGTATATGTCAATGCCTTAGTCTTAGAGGTTTGTTCATTCGAAGAGTTAAGATTATACTGCTATAGAATAACACAGAGGGTTCTGTTGATTAGATTCAGTGGAGGAAGGCCTAACGGGTAAACACCCTAGAATAGGATGGAGATTTTCAAATTAAAGGGCCTCTCCAGCAAAATTTTGCACTTGCATTTTATTGGCTAATCTAAAGGATTTGAACCTGCTGATCACGAATTCGTTATTCGTTTTTCGATATTTTGTACAGTTTGTGAGATATTAGCTCTTGCATTTCGATAATTGAATGGAATTAACCGACAAAAATTTTTCGGTTTGGTGACACTGTGACGCAATTTTGACGTCACTGTGCCTTCGTTAGTCTCGCCTCAAACCGAATCGAACGACGGCGATTCGCAAATTGAACACTGCAAGTGAAGGTACTCTCAGTTCTGTTCTACCGGCTTTTAGTTTGAGCATTTAAGACACCAATTCTGAAGCCTTTATTGTTCATCGTTTCTGGAGAACAACTGTGTCAATTGCGATTAATTATACGCGAAGGAAGAGCTGGAACAGGAAACCATAGCTTTATGGGCCTTTACAGGTGATTAAAACAAAGTCATGACACAGCATGGACATATTCCGACCCGCATACTTAGAATGATTCTAAACATTTATTATTTTTCGATCCTAAAAATATCCTGCTGTAGATTTAAATGCAGTTATCAACGCGTGACCATGACTCCTTCATGCTTCGGTGGAAGAAATACGAAATTCATGGCGAACGAGAGCTGCACATTGTGACGTCAGAATGTCACCAAACTGATTCGGCTTTTGTCGTTTTTTTCTCGGAAAGGTGCAACTTTAAGCCTTATAACTTCTAAACTAATTGGAATTTTTCAAAAACAACGACTTTGGCTGGAGAGGCCCTTTAAACAGTTTGTAATTAGCTATTTGACGACTTCTCTCTGCCACGCTCTATTTTTAACTTTTGTGCATTCATGTCTGACCCTTCTTTGGTTGGACCTTCAATGGCATTAAGATATGAAAATGCTTGTTAACAAAAGAGGATTCTTTTTCAACATGACGGCTAATTTCGCTTCAGAATTTTCTGTAACTTTTTTTGTCACCATAGTCTCTTCCTTGGTTTTTCCTTGAGTCCTAGGAGGATTACAGCTTAAAATTTTTACCATTATTTTCTGGTATACGTGATGCAAAATTAAAACTTTAGATATATTTATGATTATGATTTTTTGATATGTTTAATGCCCTCGTAAATACAATATCAAAGAATTGTTTTTCCACTATTCTCACTTTCAGTACGTTGAAAGGGGCTGGGTCACCTAACCTTAAACAAAATTTTTGTGCAGGATAGTCTGCATGTCAGAGGAATTTGTTATCAATCGTCAAAGCGAAGTGTTTGAGAAAATGGCAGGCCGTGAATTCCTGATGCTCGCAGCAGTACTGCCAAGACTGAATCATTCTTAAACCATCGTTTTCAGCAATGTATACTGTTTGTGAACCTGGGCATGCACATATAATGTCTCTGTGCTGTCCCTTCCGCCAAACAGCCCGTAAGGCCGTTCACTTCTTGTGTTCCCACTGCAGTATAAATATCTTCTTTTTTGTGGATTGATCAATGAAATGATGTTGAAATATAGTTATAAAATCAATCTTTAAGATTTTGGCAATGACAAAATAATTTTTGGTAACAAGGACTTTAAAATCTTCTCGATGCGCTGCGATTCTCTGTCCTACCAAATCTCACTTCAGTTGCTGTGATGGATTCACCCAATCCACAACAGCAACACAACAACATGGTCCTGCGGTCTTGCACGTAATCCAATCCCTTTAAGGAACCCTGTTTCAAAGCGCCTTGTTTTCACATAGGATGAAATACTAGGAAAGTAAAAGTGCGGAAAAACTTTCATCTCGCATCCTAAATACTCAGCCGTCATCCATTTTTGAACTGCGCAACAAGTCTCTTTTAGGTGCTGTCTTTCTAAGTTTTTCAAATAAAATGTTTCTTGGTCTCTATTTTTTCTTAAAAGTTATTTTATACCATTTCCTAATTTTTCTTCCTATCGTTTTGTAGATTTTTAAATCCGGTTATGGAGGTGTTGTTGCCGTCCGGGTTTATGTGCTAGGTCTTCCCCCTGTCAAGGGTTCGGTCCTAGTTCTGCATCCGAAACACGAGCTACCTTTGAAGACTGCAGTTGACCGCATACGGGATTCAATCACCTCTGGAAAATTCAAGGTTCTCGTTAATGTGAAAGGTACTTTAACATTTTATTCATGCTTGACTTTCATGTTCTTGTACGTGCCTGTGCTTGCTCTTCCTGTCCTCATCCTATTCCTTCATCTTTTATTGCACCCAAGCCTTGTCCCAAGATACACAGTTCACTTTGAAAAGCCCTCAGTGCCTTGATTAAACTTTGTTGTTGTTGTTGTTGTTGTTGTTGTTGTTGTTGATTTTCGTGGTATTTTTGCGATGTTCACCGTAATAAACTTTCCCGTTGTTGAAAATATGTTGAAAAAATATATTTTTTGCAGATGCAAGCTAGGCATACCAATAACTTTATGCTCATCCTTAGAAACAGACTGGACCCCTTTTCTCTGACTGTCATTGTACTTGAAGACCCCTAATTTTGGCAAACGACAAATTTTAAACTCTATTACACTTTCTCTCAGACACCCTACATGTTTTGAATGCCTTTCGGAGCATCTCCATCAATATGTGGTCATTTGATATATTTGATGCGAAACAACCATGATCCCTGTACATTTTCTCCTGTTTTTGATGGCTCCGATTTCACTGCAAAACAATCTCTTTTTGAAAATTAATGTCATAGGTCAGTTTTATACCGCTTGTTTGAGATATCAGGGCGACGCAAAAAGGGTATAGAAATCATCGGATTGCATACACGGGACTGCAACCCTGTAGTCGCCTTTCCGTAAATCCACCCCAGTTTTATAATGTATATTCTCTCTGTCTCAGAATATCCCTAGTGACAGCTATAGGCCTTCTAACGATACTGGTTTTCCCATCTACCATGTGGTCATTCATAAAGGATTCTATGGCACGTAGTTTTGTTGCTTTCTTATTTATGTTATGTCAGTGCATGATCTTAGCCAGATCAACTAAAGAGGTGCGCGTGTCCTTTTTTATGTTCATTTCTGTTTATTTTTCTCAAAATTTTGTTTATCCGTTGCAGATGCTACTGGAGTCAAGGTTAAGTCACTACCAGCGCAGAAAGATTCATATTATGATGTGTTTGTCGATGGTCCAGACCCACAGCCCCCCAATAGTGTTAAAAAAGGCAAGGCAGGAATGGCTGCTGGAGCAGTTGCGGCGATATCAATCGCATTTATCGTGATTGCGGTCCTTCTTACGGTCGCCCTGATGCACTTCATTCTCAAAAGACGTGGAATTCAATTGTTTCAATATTCAAGGCACTCAGATGACCCTACTGCATAGACCTTCCTTCTACAAAGTGAGTTTTCCTTTAAGGTATATTTACAAGATTTAGGCGACGATTAATGCCTGTAAATGGTTTCAAAATTGTAAATTTTTTGTCAGTCTCAATCGCATAGAGGGCTAGATAATCCGCTATAGTTCTGGCTGTGAAAAATTGTAAAGTGAAAACTTCTAGTTACGAAATTTTAATCGAAAAGAGCAACCATTCGTGTCTATTGTAGGGCACAGAAATGCCTTTAGGTCATAAAGTCCAAAGGTGCTTTGGTGGAAATATGCACCTGTAATATATATATATATACATACTAGAAGACGTTTAAGCCTATCCCCTATCTGTAGGCATTGAGAGCAAAACGTGGAACTAAGATGTAGTTTTTCTTTTGTGGTTTTCATCATGCAAAATACTTTAAAGAACTTCATGGAAATAAAGCGGTTGCATTAGTTATCGGCCTGAAGCCAAACAGTAAGCAAAGCCATTGCTGTTGGTAACAAAGACTGTAAGCAAAATCATCCAGAAGTTTTGTTTTTATTGCGGTACATGAATAGCAATTGGCACCGTATATCTATTGATATCGTGTTCTGCTTCCATATATCCATCATATTTTAGGTATTCGTGACGTCATATTGCAAAATATTTCAGTAAAACAATGTTAATTTCTATTATCAATGGGTATTCGAGGTGTAGTTTATTTTGATATTGTTTCGGATATAGCCAGTCTAATTGTTTGTTTTATCAATTTTCCTTAGTGAGAAGAGACGGATTATCGATGAATTCTTGCCACAAGTTAAAATAAAGGCACATAATTAACATAATTAAATACTACATAATTAAGTTTGTTGTATTTTCAGTATAACGTGGGATGTGATATCGCCTCACTTAAAGACTAGAATGATAATTAGATGTTGGTATTATTTTTGCCATAAGTTTTCACTTTTGAGTGGTAGCCGACAGTATACCCCGGCAAAGCATGACTTAATTATTCAAAATTGAGTTACAAAAAGTTGTTCTCGGGTCTTGTTTTAAATGTGCCTATTGGCGTTGAAGGTTTAAAGGTTGTTACACAAGGCTTATATCTAAAACATGTATTGGTTGATGATGCCTGGCAATAGGGGTGTCTTGTAGCAATTGACGGTTCAGGAGACAATATCCTTTGATATAAAACCTTATGATGTTAATCAAAGAAAGCTGGTCTGTGAGCTCTAAATTTTAGGTTCTACTTTGCGACTATTTACTGTATACAAAGCAGTTCTATTTTATTCTTATATTTTAACTCGTTAGCTCTGTTTTAAACATAACGAGTTTAACTACCCTATGGACAGATTCAACTGTGCATGCAACCAAGTTGTTTTTTCTTTGCAAACCAACAGCATTTTATTCGTGTATTATGGCAGTCCTAAAATAAAGATCCGTTTTGTTAGAATATCCTGTTATAAAATTCGAATAGCTAGTTATCGTCAAAAGCTCTCCTTTTCTATTGATTCCTTGAAATTCAGAATAAAAATCAGGTTAACCTGTAAAATCAGTAAAAATTAGTAAAATGGCATAATCTAATATCCTACTTGACTCTTTCTTTCGTTCCATGTATTTATGTAGTTGATATCTTCTTTAGAGATCAACAAACATGTATAGACTGAATTTGACGAGGTCGTAGCAATTGAAAAATGTGTAGCCGTTGCTTTATGTAGTGGAAACAGCTTGCCAAGTAAGCATTTTACAACTATTGTGATGTTACATTGAAGCTCCAGTTTTTTTAAATCCCCTTGCAAAGTTTTTGTCATGTCGTATATGCTTAACTAATGAATAATGAGGATTAAATATGATGAGCACTATATTTTCTTTCATCAAATGCTCCATCTTGAACGTGTTTTAAGGTTTCTAAGAAAAGCTTTACTCTTGGTTGGAAAACTATTTTTTAATAGTAAACAGAAATAATTTCAAATGCAAATCATCGTGTTTCTCTGCTAGGGCCAAGGCCTGCCTGTGCGGCTGGTCATTGCATAGACCCGTGGATAGGGGGGGGGGGGCACATTTTAAAGAAAATAAACTCATTTTCTGCCATCTGAAATTGTTGAAAGTATGAGTTTGGTTATTGTTGTTGAATATTGTAACCGGGTTCTGTTGATGTGATCTGTTGCCTCAAAAGCGGTAAGCGGAGTGCTCAGAAGGCCGGAGATGTATATACATACTGGAAGAAGGTTGAAGCCAATCCCAAAATAGTAAACCAATTCCTTGTCTGTAGGCATTAAAAGGAGAGAGTTAAGATGCTGTTTTTCTTTGTCATTTCCTTTTTGCAAGATACTTCCAACGAGCCCAGGGGGGGGGGGCACTCTGCACATAGACATACGGGGGGGGGGGTAAGTCCAAGAAATTTAAAGGCCACCCAAAAATATCAGCTCATTTTCAATAAGACCCAAAAATATCAGTTTTACTCATATCTTGTACCCAAAAATATCACAAATTGGAATTTTGGGTGAGATAATATGACATAGCTGTAATTTATAAGATCTGCAATTCAAAAAAGCCGTAAATAGTTGCAGTTGCCATTACCACACATGGAGCAAATGTTCAATTTGGATATTCACAACAATTGAAACTATCTCTAGCATATCTCGTGCCATATAAAGTTTACAGTGAGTACAAAAAGTTGCATTAAAATTTCCAAAGAGTATGGTAACATGACTCCCGACATGATTTGAAGTGGGTAAAATAAACCTCAGCGAATTAGATCCATGAACAATACATTTGATTCGGATATGGAAATCTCACGAATACCCAAAAATATCAGTGTTTCTAAATTTGATACCTAGAAATATCATAATTGTATCTACTATTTTCGCAGGACCAAAAAATATCATTTCTGACAAATATTTAACCCAAAAATATCACTTTTGGCAATAATTTGACCCAAAAATATCGGACTGACCCCCCCGTATGTCTGTGTGCCAAGTGTCCCCCCTCCTGGGCCAACAAGTTCCTGGAAATAAAGCAGGTGCATTAGTAATTGGCCTGTTTGGTAGCAAAGTCATTGCTTCATTGAAGCTTCATGATAAATAGCTGGTATTTTCATTGACGACGGCATCATTTGTTGCGTTCAAGTACGGTATATTTGTTTTGTCACGATAATGGACTGTTGAGATTTGGATTTTTCCAGGGGGTTTACCTTGCGAAAAGTGACTGGGATGTGCCCGCCAGAACAATTTGTTGGGCCTGTCCTGGAACAAAACTCCGAAAACATGATGTCTGTCAGGAAGCTAATTGTTTGCTTTAACATAAGTTAACTGATGATACACTTTTTGAATTGATATGGAAAGTTAACCTCTTTTTGAATATCTAGTTTGAGCTTTAAGAGAAAAACTCCATAAAGTGGACAACACTCTCGTTTTCATAAAAAATCTGAGCAGTCTTGGAAAAAGTTTCTTCAACACGCATTCCTGTGCCGGAAAAAGGTACTTGGGGTATAATGCTGTCGCGGAATTTTAAGCGCAAAAATGACTCTGTTGGCCGGCACATCTTTGGGTTGTCAATATATTAATTAGACCCGCTCCCAGCCTGGGGGTTCCCGATTTTATGAAAAACCTCATTTTCGAATCGATAAAAAGAAATGAAACATTCGTACGGATGAAGGTAAAGGCCGATGTTACAGTTCAAGGGCATTTTCAGGGACGTCGTGGGTAGTAACTCTAAGGGGAAGGCACAGCTCGCAAATTTTGTGACAACTGATTTTAAACAAAGTAACGTCATCTGGCGCATGCTTAGCTTAGTCACGCTCAACATATATTTTTACAAACTTGAGCTTTGAAAAGGTATGCTCATATTTGGTAGAGCCAATAGGTAAGGTTGCAATTATCTTCTACAAATGTACCGATTTTGACAGGCAAGCTGTAAACTTTGCAATTTAATGGGCCAGATAGTTTGACTGTCGTCAAAAACCTTTTCTTGTCTTCGTTTTTCTTGACAATCTCCTTCCCATGCTGGTTATTTTCTGAACGTTCTTTTTTTATAAAATTGTCCAATATTCTTTAGCCGAACAGAAGCGAAATTTCCGACAAATCTCCGAATGGTCGATGCTAGGGGGCACGTGTCCCCCCAACTCCAGCTACGACGCCCCTGGGCATTATGGTCTCGGTCACGGTTGCCTCATGTTTGCTGATCTTCTTCGATTAACCTTGATGACAGAGCACAAAAAACATGGCGGTTACACTGTTAAAATTGAGGATAGTCAATGAAAAAAATTGTGACACCCAAACCCTATCTTATTTTCGCTGTTTTACCAATGCAGGTTTTGAGAGCTTGAAGTTATTGTTTGGAGGAATGAAGGATTTTTCTGTGGACTCGCCATGTTGCCCCTTCACATGTCAATTTTCTTATAGATGTCTTTATATTATGAGCTATGCATTCGTTTTTTATGCCAGCTTCGTCAATTCTTTTTATCGCTTTCAAAATGGATCTTGAATCTACAATTTTGCTCCTTGTAATGATACATAAGTGCACTGGGAAAAAAGGTCATCATCATCATCTGTTCACAGAAAGCCGGTCTTGATAAAAGAAGCTTTTTTCGACAAGAGACGAAATTCCAAAAGGAATTCTAAAATGTCATCAGGCGAATCCAAAGCTGACGCGTTGTGGCGTACCTAAAAGTGGAAAGGCACGGTAAAATAGAGACCTAGAAACGTATGCGAAAGGTGCAGGCCAATCTGGGTGCTACGGTAGCCAACGTGCAGACTTTACTTTCCGTTGTGGAGGAGTTCCAAGACGGAACTGGTTTTTTCTGCGTGTAGCGTGCATCTGCGGAATAGAGTTGTCAAGTGATGACGTCACAAAAATCTATTTTAGGAATTTTAAAATTTTTCCCATAACCTCAAAGAGCATCACGAAATACCTCTAAATATGCAAAATTAGACCTTAATATGTTAAAGGTTAAAACCGAATTGCGAGTAATCAAAATCTAGAGTTCAACAAAACATATTCTCAGCGTGAAGCATCCGGAAGTTAAAGCAACAACAGTTCGAAATGTCAATCACTTAATATAACACGAGTCATCATAGTAATAATCATATATTTTCAACAGTTTTGAGTTCTGAGACCTTGCGCAATGATTCTGGCCTTTGTCTAGGTATTACAAGTTCCTTCCTGGCACTCCTTCCAGTGCCGTCGGAACGAAATTCATATTGGGGGGGGGGGGGCGCTGCTCATTTAGTACACTGTTATAAAGGAAATATACTACAGTCTGACAATTATTGGGGGGCTCCAGCCCCCCCCAACCCCCGGTTCCCGACGGGCCTGCCTTTGCAAAGGAAAGTGAAGTCTGCACGCAGGCTAGTGCTACGGGGACATGCTCGGTCATAAATATTTGATTGCTAGCGCTGCTTCTTTTGGGACCCAATAACCCGCCAGGGTTACCGATTAGATTCCTGCTGTTATTTTAAGTCTAGTTCTATGCAGAGAGCACAGTTCTGGTAATGAAATTCAACCAATTGCATGGAAAGTGGAAAGCTATGAATAAATGATACCGATGATACCTGCTCTAAGGATGGTCTTCAAAAAGACATATCGGCGATGGAAGACTGCAAATACTCAGGGCCTCGCAATTTTTCCATTCGGATGAATTCATACCCCTGACTGTCTTGTCTGAAGCACTAAAAACCCATTCTTGACACAGGGAGGGATTTTTACTTGATTTAAATATTTGTTTCTTCAAGCTCTCATGGGATGATCAAGAAAAAACTTTTCCTTATTTGATAAACAAAGTTATTAACACTATGAGTAACATAAGGACAACTTTAGTTGACAATACTAGAAAGGACTTACATGTGTTTCGTTAAGGCCCTAACCTAACATCCACATTCATCACATCCTTAATACCTTGTTTAAATTCAAGATGGTAGCGCTTTTCGAACTTCGTAGACACTTATTGGTTCTCGTCATTTAATTCTACGTGTAAGATACGCCCAACAAGGGCTAAAAAAAACGAGAGATATATTTATCTTATAATTAAAGAGGACTGTATATATATTCAAAAGCAACGAGAATCTTATAATCTATCAAAGCTAACAAACGAAATAAGCAACGAATAATTAATGTAGAGTCCAAGAATGTAAGAGGTCCTTTATTCCGAATTTCTTCGACTATATCAAGATTCCATCAATAAACGGAAAGATTTCACCTGGTTTATGTCCTTGTACGGGAAACCTTTATCTTGCGAGTTCCTCGAGAGTTTCTTGAGTTCCAAGAGCGATTTCTAGAGTTTCTTCGAAAAGAGCGATAGTTCTTCGAGAGTCGATTTCGAACGCGAGAGTTCATTCCTTCTTTTACTAGGTGTTGACACCTACTTCCACCTTCCACAACAAAACAAAAAGCCCAGAAGAAAACAAAAGACACTTCAAAAAATAAACAAAAGAAACAAAACGAGGTTGGGGGGACATTTCCGCACAAGCGCTTCAGCCAATCAAAACATTACTCCGAATTGTGATTCTTGGAAGAGTCCTGCAGTCGGGATTTCCCCTGCGAAGATAATTCCCCCATCTCAATATCTAGAGAATAAAATGAGTGTATGAGTATAAAGAAGTTATGACCTGGCAAGTGGTAATTTTTTTCTTTACACGAGTGGCAAGTAAATTTTTTTTATTCTTAATCTGTACTTTTTCAAGCATGCATTGATTGTTTTATTTTAATTCTCGTGACGTGCAAATGCTATATTTTCCTTTGGGGCTCAGAATTGTTATATAATAAAAACCAGTTTTAAAAAATTGCAAATATTGCAGTCAAGATAAAATACTGAATGACTTTAAATGTGGCAAAAGTAATATCTTTAATCGCACCTTCATGTTTTTTATAAGAAAGTTCGGAATTACCCAAATACTCGAATTTTTTTAGCAATTCTAGGATTCCAGTGTTCGACTTCGAACAAAAGGTCAATTGTCTTTCCTTTGCTACTTTTGGCATTTTTATGTACGAAGAATGAGTACATGAAGGGGGGATTTTGCTCAGCTCAATGGGCATCCATATATATATATATATGTAGAAATTTGTCTTTTGATACTTCCGTAGCACAGTGCTCAATACGTTAGCACGTAGAGCGTGATATATCATAGATTGAAGAAAGTAAAACTACATGGTTTATCTCTACAAGCCTGTTTCGTGAGTAACTCACTCTTCAGGAGATTATACATATATATATATATATACTCTCAGACAAGCTCTGTGCTGCACTGACGAGCCCACAAAGGGCGAAACAGTACTGTCTGCAGATTGAGTATATACTCATATATATATATATATACTCATATTCCAGATTGCGTTGTCTATTCTGACGTGAACAGTGCTCGATGTGCAAAAGCACAGAGCAATAGATATAATAAAATAGAATATATACTAGAAATGAGACATGTTCTCCGTTACTCCGAGTTTCGTGCTTACGCACTCATCAGACAGACTATAATGAAGAATATTCCTGTTACCGAGGTATAAATATACAAAAGGTGTGATAAAGTTAGACAAAAGAAATTTTATTTAATACAGGTTAATTAGTTAGGTGGAGTTCTATTGTTCATGAGGTAAAACTTGTTTTCGTGTCGGCATTTGGAGATTAATTCGGATCGTTTGTTTAGAAGGGTGTTGTTATTTGCTTTGATGATGTATAGTTTTTCTGTTAAGCATAGGTCACAAATAAGCATAGGAAACTCGGAGTAACGGAGAACATGTCTCATTTCTAGTATATATTCTATTTTATTATATCTATTGCTCTGTGCTTTTGCACATCGAGCACTGTCACGTCAGAATAGACAACGCAATCTGGAATATTAACGCTCCTGCAAAGTCGAGCACTTTTGTCGAACACTGAAACGCAAGAAATGGAACAGACAAGGTTCAACTATTCAATGAAAAATATACCGATACCGCCAAGAAACAGCTACATAAAGAAACTTATCGAGAAAACTGAAAGTGTCATCAAGCGTATGAGATGGAAAGCCTTCTTCCACGAAAAGCCAAAGGAAGACGACCAACAAACCGAGGACCAAAACAAAACATTCGGATTCAAGTCTAGAAAATGTCCACCACAAAACGAAGACCTAGATGCATTTGAGTCTGATTTACTCAACATGATCAAGCACATCCAATTCAGGAAAACACACGACCAATTTCAAGACCAGCTACGCGAAGACATCAAAAAGATCAACGCCTCCACGAAAGCCTTCATCCCCGCTGACAAAACAACCAACTACTACAAACTGGATAGTGAACTACATGACAAACTACTAACTAACAGCATAACCACAACCTACAAGAAAGCAAATGACAGCGCCATCCACACAATGCACAATGAAGCATGGGACATTGCCACTGAACTCAACATCCAAGACCGAACAGAATGTATGGCAGAACGACAAGCATTCATAACTCTAAAAGACCATAAAGAAAACTTCCAGAACAACCCCACCTGCAGACTAATCAACCCCGCAAAAAGTGAAATAGGCCGTATCAGCAAACAGATCCTTGACAGAATCAACACGACCATCAGAAACCAAACTACCCTAAACCAATGGAAAAACACTTCGTCTGTAATCAACTGGTTCAACAGCATACCAAACAAGCATCAACATACATTTGTTATCTTCGACATTGAAAACTTTTACCCCTCAATAACCGAAAAACTCCTTACAGACTCTATCTCCTTCGCCAAGAAATACTGCAAAATCACCGAAAAGGATACCAACATCATAATGCATGCCCGCAAATCACTCCTATTCAGCAAAGGAAATACATGGACGAAAAAAGACAGCCACATGTTCGATGTGACTATGGGGAGCTTTGACGGCGCGGAAATTTGTGAACTGGTTGGTCTTTTCATCCTCAATAAGCTGGGTGCAAAATACGGAAAAGACAACATAGGTCTATACAGAGACGACGGACTCGCTATCTTTAAGAACACCCCTGGTCCACAAGCAGAGAGAATCAGGAAGGACATTACAAAACTTTTCAAGACTCACGGCCTCAACATCACTATACAGACCAACCTAAAAATTGTGAACTACCTCGACGTAACACTAAACCTAACAAATCAATCGTATTGTCCATACAGAAAGCCCAACGACCAGCCACTATACATCAATACAAAGTCCAACCATCCCCCCAACATCATCAAGCACTTACCTGGAGCAATCAACCGTAGAATAACTGACATATCATGCAACGAAAGTGAATTCAACAAAGCCAAGCCCATCTACGAAAACGCCCTAAAAGCCAGTGGATACCCCGACACCCTAAAATACAACGACCACACATCACCCACACGTAAAAGAAGAAACAGACAGCGCAACATAATCTGGTACAACCCACCATACAGCAAGAATGTACAAACTAACATCGGCAGAACTTTCCTCAAGCTCATACACATACACTTCCCCAAGAACCACAAATTCCATCAGATCTTCAACAAGAACAACGTTAAAGTCAGCTACAGCTGTATGGATAATATGCAAACTATCATCAACAAACACA